TGTCTCCTGCGGTGTAAAAAACTGAACCAATGCAAACCTGGGGCGAGTACCTTAAATGTTCATCGCTGTTGGATAGTTTTCCATAAATGGCCCCCCTTCCAAGCTTACCTTATCTTACCTCGAGCCTCTGCCAACACAACATTGAAGTTTGATGATGGTTGATGGAAGGGGACTGCAGCACTAGACTTGTGATGGAAATGAACCTTGGAATCTTCAAATACACATCAGAATATCTCCCTGCAGTTATATATCTATATATATTATCGGCTATATCTGAACTGGTGATCATGTCATTAACAACTTAACATATCTTAACCATCCCCAAAAAAAAATGTCAACGTCAAAAAATGAGAGAAATTTCAGAGGCAACATCTCAAAGAATCCAGAAAAATCCCCACTCCGGATCCAACCGGATCCCCCCGCTGTCCGTGGCACCGGTCTTGAGGTTTTTGAAGGTGCCATCCGGTGGGCCTCCAGTGCCCGCTCTGCGGCTTTTGGGGTCCTTGGAGTGAGGGCATCCAAACCTTAGCGCGAGGAACTGCCAAGACACACACACATATATATATAATGTATATATAATCATATATTAATATACATATCTATATCTATTATCTATTTCTATATCTATCTATAATCTTTGAATCACCGGATTGGTTCATAACCAAAGAAAACTAAAAGATACTGTGAGAGAGAGAGAGAGCGCGGGAGAGTTGTATATTCTGTTGGTATATCTATACATGTGTGTGTGTGCGCATATATATATATATGTGTGTGTGTGCATGCATGCATGCATGCATGCATGCATGCATGCATGCATGATGCATGCATGCATGCGTAGATGTATACATGGATGTATACATGGATGTATGCATGGATGAATGCATGGATGTATGTATGTATGCATGCATGTATGCATGCATGCATGCATGTATGCATCTATATGTGTGTGTAAATAAGGACACATGTAATATATAATTTTAAAGTAATTTAAAGTGTCACAATAAGATGATGAGAACTATGATGAAATGGTGAGGACCAACCCGCCCGGCTTGAAGGATCACCGAATCGTAACTGGTGAACATGACCCTGGTTAGTAAGTCCCCAATTGATCGGTTACTGTGACCCGTCCAAAAATATCATAAATGGGCTATAGTTTATAAATGTTTATAAGTTATAACGAGTTAACTACTTTATCTGCAATGATATCTATATCCTCTAAGAGATGGGTAAACTAGCTATGGTTAAATTCACCTCTTCCACTCATCGCGGTAAGTCTCCGACATTGCCCAGGCACTGATCCATGAAGTCAGGGATGACACGATGGAAGTGGAGCCCATTGTAGAAGCCCGTCTTGGCCAGGTCGATGAAATTGGACGCGGTGATGGGCATCCTTGGGACTGCAAAAAACGGCTGGGATATACCCCAGTTGCACCAGTTCAATCATTTATCCATCTATCCATCCATCTGTCCATCTGTCCATCTGTCCTATCCTGTCCTATCCTATCTGCCTATCTGCCTATCTGTCTGTCTGTCTGTCTATCTATCTATCTATCTATCTATCTCTCTCTCTCTCTCTCTCTGTCTCTCCCCCTCTCTCTTGCATAATATAAATAATAAATAAATAAATGAATAAATAAATGAACAAATAAATTTGACAAATAAACATAAAGACATATGTATATACATATACATATAATTATAAGTTACATTAACCACCTACTAATTGAGATGCATGTACCCCGAAGTAACGTAAGGAACTGAGCCCTCCATGAGAAGAAGAAGCTGGCCATGGTGAATTTGGGATGTTGACACCTGAGTCCAACACAGTGTTTTGATGTTTTTTGATGTTTTTTGTTAAGCTTCGCCTTCAGTTGCCACCTGAGCTCAGGCGTTCATTGGTGCTGCTTGAATCTACAGTATTGTTTAGTTCAATTTCATCAACGGATAAACAGCGGGGACAAAATGTAAGACTACTAGAGGAAAAAGAACCTTAAGCTTTCTGACCCGAAATCTTCCTGGAAGAAAATTAAGGCACTGGAAAAGCTATTTACCGTAAGGCACATTTGTGTGGCACAAGGACTGTATAATTCGTGGCAAACTGTCGCAGGTTGGAGCTGGCTGGAGCTTGTCATGTTGCAAAACGGTGCAAAAAGCACCAGTTTGGAGCTCAAACTACACAGTATATCCATATGGCTATGAGTCAAAACCCTGGTACCTAGTGAACCCCAAAATAGCTGGTAAATGGATGTTCATCCCACTAAAAATGGTATTAATAGGTATTGATCCATAGCCATATTGACAGCAGCATATTGGACGAAAAAGATGCTGTGCCTTTGCATGGTACGAGTGCTTCAAAGGGTTTTTGCAGGCAATTGGCACAAACAACTTCTATGATTTGGATGGTATTGTCAGCATGTCGGAATCCCATAATGAAAGCTCTGCTTGAGCTAAAGGCCTTCTCAGTCCTGTGGTATGCGCATGGTATCCGCATGAAATATACAGCGTTTTGGATTTGATACCTAAACATACCTAAACTGTGCATGATATAAGCCGCTTTCAAAGCCAGTGAAGCGTTTACTGAAGCATTTTGTGGCCTTAAAAAGTTCAGGTGCCGCGGCAGTCGCAATAGCTACGCAAGGTGCAGATCTTATGAGGGTGGAGAGGGGTTGGGGGGCGTTGGAGCAAAAGTTTGCTGTTGCCATTGCTGCTACTGCTGGTGCGCATGGTATTTGCAGCGCGTTTTTTTTACAAAAGTCTATAGTCTCACTTGATCTCACTTGATCTCACTTGCATGACATTTTTCCTATGGTATCTGCAACACTGGAACAAACAACTTCTCATTTCTGCGATGCATTGGAGCGTCGATTAAACCTGGTCAGCGGACAGGACCGCGAGGGGATCATCCCAGAAAAACAGCATCTTAAAACCACCCATCAAGAGATTCGAGCTAAATAGATCTAAATTTAACATACTATGCATATATATATAAGATGTATATATATATATAATATTATATATATATGATATATATATATATATATATCATATATATATATCATATATATATATATCATATATGCACACTATGTGTACGTATGCATACATGTGCATATCTGTATGATTATATATATAATGTGGTAAAGCCAATGATAAGCCATCCCATTAACCAACCATTTGGGTGTCTTTTTACAACATCCCAACCTCTATCGGGGATGGTTTGGCTTTGGGGTTACCAACTTACATAGTTTGTTCATATAAATTATATGGGTTTTGTTTGTTTGGATCCATCATGATCCATCTAGTCCCTGAAAAGAGCTACACAAAATTGCCTCCAAAATGGATGTTGAAGAGTTGACTAGTCCGCCATCCGGCTGCGGTTTGGTTTTTTTGGTCAAAAACAATGACGCTCATAAGTTGGGATATGAGCCATGGTCAATACTCACTATATGGTTGATGGTCATCCCATCCATAATAAGGATCCTTATAATGGTTATTATAAATCCCTATGAACCATTGGATGACTAGCCCCTATTAATGGCTATTAACCATGAGTATTGACCATAGCTCATATAACCCCTATGACTATGGTTCTGAATTATTTGATGGAACTGCACCCGCCAAGGACTCGGACTCCAATTCTTCGCCCATTGGCACCCCGTTTTTGGGTATTTAGGACCATATCTACTGGATAATATATATATATACCTATATACAAATTACAAATATGTATAAATATATATATATATACATATAATGCTATAATTCAAAGCAACTCCAAGAATTGCAAGTGATTCCCCATGTCCCTCACCTTGCAGAAGTATTGTGAAGACTTGTCAATCGCATGTCTCAAAACAGGGCCATTGAACCCACGGCAAGCGCGACCACAAAACATCGCCTGATTTAGGTTGCCCTGACCGCATAAACCCCACAGCACTTCACAGCTACGCCACTCGTTGAGGAAGATCTCACACTTGATCACACCTGGTGTCTCCAAAATTGAGATATATTGAGATCATATGCAAGCGAAAAAGCTCAAGTTCAACCCAACAAAAAGGCGGATGCTCTGTGTATGTGTGTATATATATACATATATATCGGCAGATACATACACGGATATACTCGGAGGGGATATCTTCTCACAACGACCACCACCTCAGCATGGTCACCTCCGGACAGAGACCAAGAGTTGCAGCATGCTGAGGCATTGATTTTCCATTTAGGGACACAGCATGACACAAACACAACACAGACACAATATGACACAATAGTTTTGGAATGTTTTGGAGGGGCGAGCCACCGTTTTGCCGCCCAATTCTCAGCGCCTTGAGTCGTTTCAAAGGTTGCGATGGGATTTGCCATGGCGACACCACTTGTTTATCGTTGCGGGTGACGAGGATCAGAGCCAGAATGCTGTCGATGTATGGTCATATCTCACCATTGAAATCATGTTCTACGCATATAGTTGCACAAACACTGCAAACATACATACGATAGGTAGATACGTAGACAGATGGGTAGGTAGGTAGGTAGGTAGGTAGATAGGTAGATAGGCAGATAGGTAGATACGTATATACGTACATGCGCAGATAGCCAGATAGATAGGTAGGTGGGCAGGCAGGCAGGCAGGTAGATAGGTAGATTGATAGATACATATAGATGATTGGATTGGATTGGAGTTGGACTTGGATTAGATTGGATTAGATTAGATTAGAAGGATGAGATAAGATAGGATACGATAAGAAAGGATAAGATACTAAAAAAAGATACGATAAGAAATGACAATGTGATAATGTATAGGATAGGATAAGATACATTGGATAGGATAAGATAGGCCAGGATAGAACAAGGTAGGATAGGAGGGGATAAGAGTGGATTGGATAAGACAGCATAGGATAAGATAAGACAGGATATCATGAGATCGGTTAAGATAAGATATGATAGGACAAGATACGATTAAATAGATAACCATAACAATTAAACAAAAAATAGGTTTGAAGCAATTAGAATATAGACTAGGATAGATAGATAGCTAGATCATGCTAGATCTATATATATATATATAGATGCACATAACAGGATTTCCTTACCTCCTGACTTCCTATGGGATGGTGAACGGCCAAGGACTCCAGAAAAGTCCGTGAATCGCAGGGCCCCCCCAAAAAAAAACAGATCCAGCCTCCAGTTGCGCTCCGATCGGACCTTACCCCATCAGGGTCTCCAAAAAGATGTGTCAAGAATGACTATGACTATATAGATCACTATAGATCTATATAGATCTATATATATAATATAGATCTATATAGTAGAGGGGGTTCAATGCTCAATGCTTAAAATGCCTGGAGGCAACTTGTGTGATTAGTAGGATGTAAGATAGGTTGAGTAATTTGCCTGACTAGTAGCGCCTAAGGTGGGTTGAACAGGTTGAGCATTTTGTCTGATTAGTGGGATTACAGGATGGGTTACGCAGGTGCTCTTCCTTTGAGGGATGCCTATTGTCCGTTTTTGGGGCGCCCAATATGAACAATCCCATAGTCATATGTGAACCTTGGGAACTTCAAACTTATTCGACAACCCATATGGAGGATGCTGGCTAATTATATGTCCTGAAGTGACCCCAGCCACTGCGACGGTTGTTTTCGGAAACCACTCGCAGGAGCGGAGTTGGAAACGAATTTTGGGAGCTGGGCACGACCAGGTTGACCGCAGCTCCCTGAGGTGAATTAAATCGCCCCGAAGAATTGACGTTTTAGAAACGGCCCGGGGGCAATGAAGTTTATAAATGTTTATGTATGTGCCCACCATCTTTGGCTGAAACCGAGAAGATGTGTTGTTTCTTTTTAATGTTCTTTGTTACATTGTTTGCTGCAGCCTTCGCCAAGAAATGTCAATCTGAATCCGGGGCGACTCGGAGCAAGAAAGCTTCACAGTAACGAACCATAGAAATACAACACTGACAGCACACTGTCAGCTTCCCAGGTCTTCCCAGGTCTTCCCACAACTTTGGATGGCCAACTGCGAAACCAAAGCTGTGAATTTGTGGCAGCACACGGTCAAGAAGTGTCAAGACCTGAGCATAGCTGCGCCACCAGCATCTATGACCCCCTGAAAGGATCAAAGTTGCTGGGAAATCCACCGGAACCGAAACCTGTGGGCCATCAAAAGCACACATGAAAATGCACTGCCTGGTACGATATTATTACGATATTATACATTACTCAAACAGCCACAAGAATCCAAGCTAAGATGCTGAAAAAGCAGATTTCCAGGCATGGATGCGGCTCAAATGTCCATGGCGCTATGGCGGTATATGGTCATCCCAGCTGAATAGTGGGCATGCGAAATCCAGACACATCTCAAATAGTCAAACGAAATAATTTCGAAGAAAATTTCGCTTAAATCATATAACCATCAACTAATCATCAACATCAACCTTTAACATCCTTTAACCATACCCTCTGGTAAACTGCCACATAACTATGGAAAATCACCATTTCTAATGGGAAAACTCACAATAAATGGCCATTTTCCATAGCTATGTTAAATTACCAGATGGTAATCTTTCATCCACTTTAGATATAACGAAACCCTCCAGGTCCCTGGGGTCTCCGGCCTCAGATCGCTCAGATCCGCCAGCGCACCAGCCCCGGGGGCGGTGCCTTCCGCCGCCCTGGGCGCTTCTCAGGCGCCGATGGACTGCCGCGCTCACGACCTGGAAACGGGGCAGATGTCCTGGCGAAACCCAAAGGTTCCAACAGAAAGGGCGTTAAAAGTGCTAGAGGGATCTAGAAGGTAGATTTGAATCATTTTGAATCTATATAAATCTGTTCAAAATATCCGATTTTCGCACATCGAACGAAACCGCAATGTCTGGTTTCAAATAACACAATCGACGCAACAACTCCAACCTTTCGTGGATTTTCCATACCTTTTCCACCGATCGCAGCCCAACCTGGTCTGACCGTTGCCGCGCGTCTCCTTTGGGGCGGCCCAAGACTGGGGCGCCCAGTGCGCCCCTCCGGCAGACGGCCCAGGCGACGCGAGGGTTCGCCCAAGGCTTTCAACCGTTCCAGACGTTCTTCTGGTGGTAATTCCTTGGGAGAAATCATGGTCCATCATGGTCCATCATGTTCCATCCAAATATGATAAAGATCTAAGATATTATACGTATAACTATATATAACTATATATATATGTTATAATATAAAATAGTAAAATATACTATAATAGAGTAAAATAAAATATAATATAGTAATCTAAAATATAATAAAATGTAATATAATATATAATAATATATAACATAACATAACATAACATAATATAATATAATAAAATATAATACAATATAATATAATATAATACAATATAATATGTAATATAATATAGTATAATATAGTATAATATAATATGATATAATAATAATATAATAGAATATAATATAATATAATATAATATACATACATACTTTGAACTATATATTGTATAATGTATAATAAATGTATGTAACTGTATATATATATATATAAAAATACGTTGTATTGATTTTAGTCTGCCTGGATCATGATCCTCCCATTTTTTGGATGGAAAATTGATGTTTGAATATCTTCGACGCCGAGGGTTGACGGTTGAGGAAAATGAATCAGTGGTATGACCTCTCGGGGTGCATCCACTTGTGTCGCTTTCATATGGATATGTGACAAGGTGGTTCGAAACTGTTTAAACTGCAAAATGTGTTTCCAAATGTTTCAAATTTGTTGTGGCCCGTTGGTGCTCCATTCAGGCATTCAGATTTGTCATGATCTGTCGGGAACGCCAAGATCTCAAGTTTGATCATCATTTAATCAAACTTACGTACCACAAATCGGGGCATCACCATTGTTTGAAACAAACCAATATCATATACCACCTTATCTCCCCACGATGGGTTTGATTGGTTTTTTGCCCCCATTTTTGGTAAGTCCGCATTGTTCTTCTCAAAAAAAATGAAACCCCCACGTACGTATCCCATGGTCAATGTTTATTTTGGTAATATGTATGCCCATGTTTGGGTGTGTCTAAAAATGTCCATTCCAAAGGATTATCATAATTTTCCCATATTTTCTCCATATAAAATGGCCATTTGTTGATGGTTAAGCCATGGTTAATCCATGCCATGCTTCCAGGATGGAAGCCCTCGGAGTCCGCGGCGCTGTCGCCAGCGACGGTCGCAACGCTGACCCCTCGGAGCGCACGCGCTGCCGCGCGCTGCACGAGGCCAGGCTGGGCCGGGGCAGTGACAACTCGCCCACCTGGTCAGAATGCGTTCCAAATCCCATGGATTGGGGAAAATTTGGGGAAGTTTCATTCTACTGATCTTTATCATGATATTCTGAAGTTGATTAATGAATTGCTAGACGATCAATGATGCATGTTTGGATTTTTTTCCACGTTATCAATTTTATTCAATTTTATTCAATTTTATTCAATTTTATTCAATTTTATTCAATTTTATTCAATTTTATTCAATTTTATTCAATTTTCACATCTTTTCACCATATAACGCTAGTTTCCACCACGCTGCTCGCGGCGAGGCATTCTTCGGAGTGGGCGTGGTGGGCGCGTAGCCATGGCCGCCGCCGCTGTAGCCACCCTCGGTGCGACCCTTCCGGGGCGTCACGGGGAGGTACGCCCGGAGGTCGCCTCAGTGCCGGGTGAATGAATATGGGTATGCATGCATGTATGTATGTATCTATGTATGTATGTAAGTAAGTATGTATTTATGTAAGTATGTAAGTATGTAAGTAAGTTCAATGGTAATTTCAGGATCCTAAAATGGAGGTACTGTACCATATAAGGCTATATTTTGTGGGGATATTCCCTTACATAGGCCTTACATAGGCCTTATATATGGTAGGTACCTCCAATTTAGGTTCCTGAAATGACCATTGATAAGTATGTATATATGCAAGTATTTATGTAAGTATGTACGTATGTAAGTAAGTATGTATAAATGCAAGTATGTAAGTATGTAAGTATGTATCTATGTAAGTAAGTAAGTATGTATTTATGTAAGTATGTAAGTATGTATCTATGAAAGTAAGTAAGTAAGTAAGTAAGTAAGTATGTATTTATGTAAGTATGTAAGTATGTATGTATGTATGTATGTATGTATGTATGTATGTATGCAAGTATGTACGTATGTAAGTATGTATCTATGTAAGTAAGTATGTATGTAAGTATGTAAGTATGTATCTATGAAAGTATGTAAGTATGTAAGTATGTATCTATGTAAGTAAGTAAGTAAGTAAGTATGTATGTATGTATGTAAGTATGTAAGTATGTATCTATGTAAGTAAGTATGTATTTATATAAGTATGTAAATATGTATCTATGTAAGCAAGTAAGTATGTATGTATGTATGTAAGTATGTAAGTATGTATCTATGTATGTATGTATGTAAGTATGTAAGTATGTATCTATGTATGTATGTATGTATGTAAGTATGTACGTATGTATCTATGTATCTATGTAAGCAAGTAAGTATGTATGTATGTAAGTATGTAAGTATGTATCTATGTAAGTAAGTAAGTATGTATTTATGTAAGTATGTCAGTATGTAAGTATGTATGTATGTATGTAAGTAAGTAAGTATGTATTTATGTATGTATGTATGTATGTAAGTAAGTATTATGTATGTATGCAAGTATGTAAGTATGCAAGTATGTATCTATGTAAGTAAGTAAGTATGTATTTAGGTAAGTATGTAAGTATGTAAGTATGTATGCATGTATGTATGTATGCTATGTAAGTATGTATGTATGTATGTATGTATGCAAGTATGTACGTATGTAAGTATGTATCTATGTAAGTAAGTATGTATGTAAGTATGTAAGTATGTATCTATGAAAGTATGTAAGTATGTAAGTATGTATCTATGTAAGTAAGTAAGTAAGTAAGTAAGTATGTATGTATGTATGTATGTAAGTATGTAAGTATGTATGTAAGTAAATATGTAAGTATGTATGTATGTATGTATGTAAGTATGTAAGTATGTATGTATGTACGTACGTACGTACGTACGTACGTATGTATGTATGTATGTATGTTAAGTATGTAAGTATGTAAGTATGTAAGTATGTAAGTATGTATGTATGTAAGTATGTAAGTATGTAAGTATGTAAGTATGCAAGTATGCAAGTATGTAAGTACGTAAGTATGTAAGTATGTATGTATGTAAGTATGTAAGTATGTATGTATGTAAGTATGTAACTATATATGTAAGTATGTAAGTATGTAAGTATGTAAGTATGCAAGTAAGTAAGTAAGTAAGCAAGTAAGTAAGTAAGTAAGTATTCAAGTATGTAAGTATGTAAGTATGTAAGCATGTAAGTATCTAAGTATGTATGTAAGTATGTAAGTATGTATGTCTGTATGTCTGTATGTCTTTATGTCTGTATGTATGTATGTACGTACGTACGTACCTAATGTATGTATGCACCGTATAATATGATAATATGTGTGCGCCCTAATTCAAGGTATTCAAGTAAGTCCCTTTCGTGAATCTCCGAGCCAGCACTCACCCTGATACAGCACACTTGGTTCTTCACATACGAGCTGTGACATGATTTTTGCATATTTTTGCAAACACCTGGGGTCCATGCTGTTGAGACTTAGCTGATCTTGTTTAGATCGCGCCTGCACTAATCAGATTAATATTCATTTATAAACTATACGCCGATTTATTCATCATGTTTTGTGTATTTACTTTGCATTTATTTTGCAAGTATCTCAGTACCGTTATCTTGTCTCCCTCTCTCTTCCCCTAGTTATATGCCAAACCTCAACCTACACTTCAGCAAGGTTTACTGTGTCACTTCCTGCTTGAAACAAGGTTCCATCCTCTCGATTTGTAACATCGCTCAACACCATCGACGGGACCGGCATCGCACCACGTGAATGTTCGTCACCGGCAAAAAATACCGTGGAAAACCAATGAGCCAATGAGGTGTCATCATCCCTACCAGGGAAGTTGGAAGAAACCATTGAAACCACTAGCCAGCTATGATAGCTAAGATAGGGTAAGATATACTTTACCCTCTGGTTATTTAACATAGCCACGGGAAATGGCCCATTTATAGATGGTTTACCTATTAAAAAAAAATGTGATTTTCCATGGCTATGTTAAATAACCAGATGGTTAAAAAAAAATGGAAAATGTTGAAATTAGCATCCTGCAGTGGAATGTGAACGTGGCTGACCATGTTGACCTGCCACCCAGCAGCTGCATTGCTGCAAGAGCCCTCCAGATGCTGCTTGTATTGGATCAATGGTGACATTGCCCCAAAAACGACAGCTGAAGAGATATGATGAATTACTAAGTGGACTCTTGTACCATTTGAAGCTATCTCATGGTGCCGACCACCCATCATGGAAATAGCAGCATTTCTCGTTCCCATCTTGACCAAGCGAACAGTGTTTCGTCACACAAGGATGCTACGTTTTCCCTCTGAAAATGCGATATTTCCTTCTAGCATCCTCTAGCCATGCACCCTTGCTATCTTTAGATTCTTCAGCAGGGTAAATCGGATTCTTTGGCGCCTGGCTCCAAGTATCTGATGATCTACCGGTGATTTGTGAAAGCGCAAAGCCTTTGAAACAATGTGTTTGTTGCTTACATCTCAAATATCTCAATGTTTATTGGTTTAGCATAGTATCCCTTGTTCGCAGGTTATATACTTATATCATCCCAAAAGTGCTCAAGAGCCCAGGACCTTTTTTGCTGCAATCGGTCAAGAGAGCTGCACCACGCAACACGAGCACTTGACCGGATTCCGTTTGTGTCTTCAACACCGGAGCCGGCACTGGACTGGGCACCTGGCAAAATTCAGTTACTTTGAGGGGCTGCAGCTTTCAATTGCAGGTCCTGGTGATCAAACATGATCAAACACATCTATACACATCTCATTCAAACACCAACCAAGGGGCTCAACATTTCCCAGTCGTCACCTATGATTGCAACATCTGAGATGCTGCAGTCCCTGTCTGAATGCCATGGTCGCTGCAAGTGGTTGGCCTCCTTGCTGGCTTTACTTCACTGCTTCACGTGAAATGTCGCGGATGCAGCAAATATCTGATTCGGATGGAAAATGATGGAAATTACTCTTCTGATCTTTTCTATTGAGGGAAAAACCCAACAATGACAGGGTGTCGCCCGTGCTGCCACTGGACCACTGCCTTGTGGGCAGCTCGGATAGAGCCAACTGCTCCGAGGATGTCCCGCGATCGTTGCTGAAGATGGCTTTGGATCCCAACTCCCTGGGAATCTGCGGTCGATATATTGGGATCGAATTCAAAGGCTGACCGGTGACCATACTCAGCAACTTTCTGTCGCATCGACATCCTATTCCCAAGAGGGCTCAAGCGAATTTCACCTGCTATGATGTCACTGTACACTTCGTCCATCCCAAGATCCCAGATAATCTTAAAACATTCATGGCATGGCGCGGCGTGCCCCGCCGGCCTTTATCCCGAGCGAAATGAGCAAAGCCAGGTGGATAATGTTGATATCAGGGTGTTGCGTGCTGTTTTGGGCGTGGGTGCGACTTTTCCCAGATGTTCCAGGTAGCAAAAAGGGTAAGTGAACGTATGTAAATCTATGTGAAATGTACTAATTAAAGATGAAACGAAATCGTTGAGACCTGCCAATCCAAGGATGTTTTGCCATGTTTTGCCAACAAAATTCATCCATCTTTGATGGATCTTGTGTAGAAATTACAGTATATATTGGAAAGAAGGTGACATGCCCGAGCAAGTTGTTGTTTCCATTTTTTTTTCCCCATGCGTGGTCCGCTTTTAATTTTGGCCCCCATGGCCCCATGGGGCCCCTCTTCCTGGGCATTACCCAAAGCTCGAGATGTGATTGGGCTCCGCTTCATACGCCTTGGGCGAAAGGGAGTTCATGTTCCGGAAACGCCTCTCGCCTGGGACCGAAGGCACTAGCTACTGGAAGGCAGAAGGGTGGGGGAGGATTCGTAATTCATCCCCATGTTGATTGTGAGGCAGAAAATGCTGGAAAAGAAAAACAACATTAACTCAAAACATCTCATAACTATAATTATATATAACTACAGTAACTGCTTGAAAGATCTTGAAAGAACGAACTGGTCGACATTGTGAGAGCGGATTGTGACCGTGTTCATGCTGTGCCATTGGTGTCACTTGGGAACCTCTGGTCCTCTGGTCCCATCACATGGCGAAGCATGCGAACCATGCGAACCAAGATGCCGTTCTTCTCACCCTTAGCACTCTTCTCACCTGGCCATTCCCAGCTGACAAACAATCCATTAGATTTACTATGAGTTACTGTATCCTCCAAGTCTGAGGCATTCCTTGGGAGAAAGGATCTGAGTGCTTTCGAACGGGTTGGGTCATAAGCAAGGCAAATTCGAAAAACAAATAAAGCTGGTTCAACCTCATCATTTTATTCTGAATGGATTGGGGTACAGAAATTTTTGAATTTCAAAAGAAACATTTCACTGAAACGGCGGTAATTACACACGTAAACCACCACGTCCAGTCACCTTTTTCATGCGGAAAAGATATGGATCCATCAATGTCCAGCTCTTCCTCAATGTTGCCCTCAGTCGATTGGCCCATCAGGATGATAGCCGAATCTTCCACAAACGGTTCGGGAAATGTCGGGAATGACCAATTCCAATCATCCCTATGTGTCCATGTGTGTACTGTAGTGCTTGTCTTTGACTGCAGGGTGCCATCGTACGTGGTACCACACACGAAGAGGAGCAAACAGAGCGTCAATTGATGACGTGACTGTTCTGTTTTAAAAAAGTCCAGCAACCAAGGGGATCTTGCATGTCCATCCACGCTTACAATATGTTCAAGACCTAAAATCTTGCGTCAATAATGATCAAAAATTGGGCCCCATCCGAATTCATTCCTGTCGTGATCCATCTCCATCTGTTGCTAGCAGAACCAGCTACCCGTCACCATATTGTGGTGGGAAGAGTGGCCGGATGTTCATCCCAAACGGTAGGCGGCTCAGAACATTTCAAGGCGACGCTAGTGATTCGAATCATAAATGATATCATCCTAGTTAGTGGCCAAGGCTATTTACCACTTGCTTATGTACAAATCCCCATTACCAGTATTGAAATCCAACTAAATTTGGCAGAAATATCACCAAATTAATTCCGAAAAATGTACAAATGGCAGGTTTTCCTGTCACCCGGTTTGTTCATCAAACAATGCGTGTTTGCCAATCGGAATGTTATTCTTTGACTCCTTAAATTCATCAAGGTGTTAAGTAAGGGGTTCCCTCATGAAGTACCCCCCTCAGTTCCGTGATGTCCTGTGTTCTAACATGTTACAACCTTGCCAACAATATATGTATACATGGTATGTGCATATATTTACTTAATACACCCCTTGGAATTCCACCAAGGTACGTCGGGGGGTCTGATTTTAGAGTCCTAACATGCGAGCCCCCAAGGTATTTTCCCCAGGTGTATCATATGGTGGTAAGTTTTCCAGGGCCTACGTCGCCCCAAATGCCAACAAATGATTCATTCGGGGGTCTGATTTTAGAAAGCTCCATTCAGGATGATTCCTCGAAGGGTTTGATTTTATAGAGAATTATCTCGGACTAGGTTTCATGCGGGAAACAAAATCGAATTCATCACTTGCTATTCCGCATTTCAAAGCTAGTAGGGGCCCGTGGACGCATAGATGGCACATGCCAATCAAGACCCATCTATATCGTCCTGAAATATAATTGCATACAGTCAAGCGGGTTGGGAATTGGCTAACCCAAGAACCACTGTGCGGATGTGTTAGTTCGATTTCATGTCGAGTTTGTGACAATTTCATGTCAGGTGTCAGACCAGATCTTTGTCCCACCAAATTCCACTGTACTTTCACAATGTCGGGAATTAATAGGTTGTGAGACTTCAAGGCGATGACATCCACATCATGAAAACGTTTTGAAAAGTAAATCTCTTTACCCAGTCGGAAGTTTTGCAAGGTTGGGGCAACCCCCCAAAACCATTGCTTTCCCTTAGGCTTGACAGTTTTTTGATAATTTTGGGGTCCTGGAAACCACATAAAAACGCACAGAAGATGCCAACCCTGCAGCCGAAGAGCCAAGCTCACCATGCTTAGCGCCGGTGTCTTTTTCACCGGGCGCAAGGAGGGCACCGGGCCACGCCCCTCGCGGCCCTGGCACGGACGCATCAAGGTGGCTCCCAAGTGATCCAAGATTGATATAAATAATCGTGCGCATGTCAATAGACAAACATCCATCCATGCATCCATGCATCCATGCATGCATATACTTAGCAACATCTAAATGGATGGATGGATGGATGGATGTCTGTCTGTATGGATGGATGAATGTATGAATGTATGGGTGTGCGGATGCATGGGTGTATGGCTGTATGGCTGCATGCACGCATGCTTGCATGCATGCATGTATGCAATGTATGTAATGTATGTAATGTATGTAATGTATGTAATGTATGTAATGTATGTAATGTATGTAATGTATGTAATGTATATAATGTATATAATGGATATAATGTATGTAATGTATATAATATATATATAAAGTGTATAATATATAATATATAATATATTTATAATATATATATATATATATATATAATATTATATATATATATATATACTCCATCAAATATCCCGATGGTATCATCTCCCATTTGTCCCTAGTGAAATCCCAGTGTTCGATGATAAATCATGATATAATTTATGATAAATCCATAGGAAATCCATAGAAATCCACCATCTCCTGGGTAAAGAAACCATTCCTTTGCCCCACCTGGTGGTGACTGGATCCCCTGGAACTGGGCCGTGAATCCAGGGGCTCAGGGCTCCTTAGTGGAAGATTTTGGGCGAGAATTCCCCGGCCGAGAATCCGATCGGATCGCCTCCCCAAAAATATGGAAATCAATGGAAGAAAATTGAATGATATTGAATTTCATGTTAAATAATGATAAAATATGATAAATCATATTGAACATGTTGAATGATATATAATGATATTGATGTAATTTCACATTACCCCCAGCGCCCAAAATGAAATGGATGAAATGGGTTGAAGATGGTTTTCAGCCACCACCCTGCAGGTTTACTCTGGTGGAATATCTTGGATTTAGTGTGGGGTGCTACCATTTGTTAAAAGGCGGGAATTGGGTTGATCATGTTGAAATATGTTGAAATAATCATGGTTATTCAGGAGGGATAAGCATTCCAAGTCAACAGGAAGTGGAAATGTTGATGTTTCAAACCCACAAAATATGGAAGAGCGATGCGCGACAGCCGGGCACAAAGCAAATGTTGTACCCGGTTCTTCTCTTAATGCCATCCAAGTGGCAATGCGACCTAGGCGCTGCATCTTTCATGAAGCATAAAATGGAAAAAATACCAAAGAATACAATTTCGGGATGATCGATCTAGGGATCGAAAAAGACAAGCAATTTTGACAATGCCATGCATTGCCATGCCCAGGAATCATGTATTCACTCGCATTCTCGCACTCTCCCACCTGTGGAGATAGCTGGCGCGAGGGCGCCGAACTGCCAGGCGCACTGTCTGGAAAAGGCAGTGTCGAGAGGCTCCTGGACCGCCAGAGGCTGGTGTTGGAGCAGGGATGGCGTTACCAAAATCGGGGGAAATCCAGGTCGCAGCCAAGGTGCTCGGGCCAAGAGCTCAATAAGCTTTCGATGGTGTTGCTGTGCTTTCCGTGCTGGTCTCTCCTGGGGCAAGCGATCCAAAGATCCAAAAACATCCGAAAAACCCAAGTCATTCATCAATCGTCCTACTATAGGGGTGAACACTGTGAACATGAAACTGACCCATCCCCCAATACCAAAAAAAAAATCTACCAATGGGAGGCTTCTGTTGATTACCCGAAGGCATTGAGGGATTTGGAGAAGGCGATGCCGGCTATCCCCATACTCCCCATTTCCAGGTGATACCCATTCAATCCCATTCAGATTTCCCTCCGATGGGTGACATTCGAGCAAGTTCCGTCCTAAACGATTTCCAATATTTCCATGTTTTTTTGATTATAGTGTTTCGACATGCCTCGATTGTCCTTTCTTGTTGGAGAGATCGGGTCCCGAATTTCCAGAAAAATCATGAAAAATCCTCAGCATTCTCCATTTGTGCGACTCAAAGCCTCCAGGTTTTCTGGTTTCAAAATACCAAAATTACTGGACACCCCCCTTTTTCTGCCTTTTTCTAACACCAGGCATCCGCAATTCTGCCAGAAATGCAGCATCCGCCTCCCGCTGCCTCCTTTCATTGGAGAGCAGCAAAGTCTCAGTCCTGCAAAATGTCATGGAACTTTGCATGTAAGCCTCTGCGTACCCAGAAAAATAGTTTAGAAAACATGCAGCTGGGAAATTACGCGAAGGGCTCCGCCCATGGATAAACATGGATTTCATCTGATTTAATTCCATCTTAGTGAATCCATGTGAATCCCTTCCCACTCAGAAGCACAGAAACCTTTGGTGGAATGGTTGGGGGTTCACCTCATCGTCCAAATTCCAACTGAAGAAAGGTCAAGCCACCGAATCATTGTAGATCATCCCAAGTGCTTGGTTGGTTGCTATGCATCCCGAAAGACTACAGTATCCATTTATATCATTTATGTATTCGTATTGATACGTATATCTCTATATATATATATATCTTTATATGTACGTGTGTGTGTGTGTGCGCTACTATAAGTAACAGATGTGTGCGCGCAAATTGCCAGCTGATCCCTCCAGTAATCAGATGGCTAGACTGTTTGGGGGATTTCCCAGCCAGCAATGTGAATGATCACCGCATGGTTATACCATGATATAGCCATTAAACTCGCAAAATCCCATTACAAACTATAAATCCCTTCAAAATGTCATCAAACTCCCATTCAAATCAGTTCATGCTATATAATCCAAGGAAAAAACCATGATTATTTTTAAAAAAAACAAAAAAACAATCCTATTCAATCCAATGACAAACTGCCCCGGTCCTCCGAAAACGGCCAGGGTCGCCCAATGTCAAGGCTTCAGAGGAGGCCAAGCTGTTCACCTTCGAAGGGCAGGTGGAACTGGGGAATATGGTAGGGATACATAAGATATTGTTATGTCTACAGTGTCTATAGATAGATAAACAGATAAATATACATACACACACACACATATATATATACAATATTAGATATGGTTATTCATTATGTGTATGGCGTATGGATGGATGGATGGATGGATGGATGGATGGATGGATGGATGGATGGATGGGTGGATGGGTAGATCTGTAGGTAGGTAGATAACAGGTAGATAGGTAGATAACAGGTAGATAGGTAGATAGGTAGATAGATAGGTAGATAGGTAGACAGATAGACATATAGATAGTGGGATAAAGTTATAATGGGGATATTCATGGGATATATATAATGGCCCGCTAATGTGGATACAACGAGATATAATGTCCCATCAGCCCTATGCGGAACGTAATGGGATTATAAGACTGTGGTGGGGCAGCACATTTGAGATTGATGTGATAAAGATCAATATAGATTGATAGACAAATACACTAGGGATATAATGGGATGTAATCTCCCATCTCGATCCATATCGCTATACAGTATGTAGATGATCTCACTTTTGACCCTGGCATATATGAGGAAAATAGCTTGCAGATAGGTTGTGATGATGTTTTGATCTTGTATCTCAATCTGGTTGTTGGCTTCAACCCCCGGAAAGGTACTGAATCAAAGGTTAGCACCATCCCCGCATAGTCTGAAACCTTCACACACGCCGACTGGCCGTCAAGTCAACAAATGCCTCAACGGTTGTGTAAAACCCATGTTGGGGTATGGGTCAATTCCATTAAACACCACTGAATCACTGAAGCCCCCAGAAAATACACAGCATTGAATCGACTAGCCTTCTTAAACACAACAATGGAATTTCCCACTTGCAGATTTAAGTTCTGAGTGATTCTTAAGATGTGGATGTCCAATTTGTTTATCCATGTTCCTCCTTAAAGTTATGCTCCTTAAAACGGGTTTTGACAAAACCCCCCAAAAAAAAAAATTGGGCCCCCCCTGGCACCGAGACAGCATGATTCTTGCTGGTAGAATCCCCAGCGGATGAGATGTATAGCCAAGCCAGTTGATGTTGAAATCCCAGACCTGGGAACCATCGGCCAGGGCTCATCATGAAATACAGATTAAAAAATTGCCATCGCCAATATAAGGGCCATAAGTTGGGATAAAAATCTACTCATATACAATAATTGTTGAAGATTGATTGTATTGTATTGTATGCCATTACATTCCCTGCCATTATTGTATTCTAGTCTATTCGTGTGTGTGTTTCTGTGTGTTTCTGTGTGTTTCTGTGTATTTCCAGATCACCTTCAGTCACGGGATTTCAAAGATCTGATCTTATACACACAGATATATATATATATGTACATATATATATATATGTATACACATATGTATATGCACATGTATATATATATATATTGTTATGACCGTGAAAGCGTTAACACTATAGCCTTTTCGGTGGCACGGTTGCTGTGCAAAGTGCCTGGCGGGTGCCTGTGTCAAATTCTGGTCCTACGTTCTTGCCACAAAATGTTGCGGCAAAATGCGTGTGTGTGTCTTAAATCAGCACCTCTGTTTTTCTGATAAATGATTGGGAAAATGCCTCCCCACACTGACGCGGACACTGATGCGGACCCACGCGGGCCCCCACGGCCTGCACCCACGCGGGCACTGACGCGGACCCACGCAGACCCACGCAGACCCACGCGCCGCCCTGGTCCACACACTGATATGGACACTGACGCGGACCCACGACCAACGCGGACGGCGCCTGGCACGGACGCGGACGCTGAGCCGACACTGACGCGGATCTACGCAAACGCACGCGGGGTTCCTATATAGGACCCGCACCCACGCGGGCACTGACGCGGACCCATGCGGACCCACGCTGAGCCCCCGTCCCCGCGACACTGACGCGGACCATCGCGGACCCACGCGGACCCACGCGGGCCCCCAGCGCCCGCACCGACGCGGGCACTGAGGCGGACCCACGCGGACCCACGCGAGGCCCCTGTCCCCGCACTGACACGGACACTGTCTGAAGCGGACCCGCGGACCCACGCAAACCCACACGGGCCCGGACCCAAAGCCAGCACCGACGCGGGCACTGACGCGGACACCGACGCGGACCCACGCGGACCCACGCGGTCCGACGCGGGGACCCTTCCCCGCACTGACGCAGACACCGACGCGGACACCGACGCGGACCCACGCGGGGCCGGGCACCCTTGCAGCAAAATCACTTGACGCGTCGCCCCGTAAGCGTTCTGAGGGCGGCGTTGAGGTGGCACCGCGTGGGTCCGGGTCGGTCCGCGTCAGTGCGGGGAGAAGTCCCCGCGTGGGTCCGCGTGGGTCCGCGTGGGTGTCCGCGTCAGTGCGGGGAGGGGTCCCCGCGTGGGTTCGCGTGGGTCCGCGTCAGTGTCCGCGTCGGTGCAGGAAGCGGTCCCCGCGTGGGTCCGCGTGGGTGTGTGTTAGTGCGCGGTGGTTGTGGGATTTGGGTTTGCGTAAGTCCGCGTGGGTCCACGTCGGTAGTCGTGTCAATGCCAGTCAGTGCAAGCCAATGCGGGATGGGGGTCGGCATGGGTCCGTGTCAGGGCCGGTGTGGGTGGCAAGGCTTTGTTCTTTTTCCAGGTGGGTTGCGGGACACTTGCCTCTGGACAAGTCATGGGCCCGGTGAAAGGATGTGTGCACAGCATTGCGTTTTTGAATGTCCGTCGCGGTGTTTTGGCAGCTCGCTTTGGGTAAGCTGATCGAAAACTCACCGCACTGGTCATGCACCGCACAGAAAGGTACGTCGGGCTCATAACCTGCAAGCGGAGCAAGCGGGGATGCTTTTTCCTTGGAGCAAAAGAGCCTGCAGCATGTCACACTGCAATGCAAGTCGGCTTGGTTGCGAACCAAGCCCTTTCGTCATTCAAAACCTACATATATGTATGCAAAACATGTATTCACGCCACCCCCCAAGCGCCAGTATCTGCACAACACGAACTACATATAATATTACGCCGCCCTCTACGCACTGACGCGGACACTGACGCGGACCCACGCGGAGAGGTTTTTGGCCCAAGATATGACTCAAATATGTTAACGCTTGTAGGGGTATATCAATATATATATATATATACATCTCTCTCTCTCTCTCCATCGCCCCACTGATATTTGTGGAGAAGGCATCCAAGACATCCGACAGTCCTTTGGGATCATCACTGGGATCATCGATGCGCCGTTACTGCGCCAAGACACTTTCACTGGTTTCCAGACTGAAGTCTTTTGCCCTAGAGCTGGCTAAACCTTGGTTTCTAACAGGACAACCACCGAAAACCACTGAAGAGATAGAGTCCAAAACCACCGTTTCTAACAGGACAACCACTGACAACCACTTTTTCAACCACCTTAAAGTGCCTCGAATGAATTCAGATGTTCCGAGGAGCTGTTCACAGTGATGCTCTGAGGTTTTCTCATTTTGTCCATCTGTGGCCCTTCCTCCTCTGGAAACTGTTCCGGGATGACTTCAAAAGGTTCGAAGGGAGCCCCGGCATCATCTGCCGGTGCACCTCAAACCACGGCAGTGCCATAGGACCCGTAGGATTCGGAAAGGGGATGGGTTTAGGTCTGTCACCTGTTTTCTCCCGGGCTTTGCAAACTTGGAGGATATAGGCCATATAGGCCATATAGGCCTTCCCTTACATCAAGCTGCTAATTGCTCAAGTAAGCGCGACTACCACTTCAGGAGTTCTAGTAGGTTGCTGCTGTAGTCATCCCACAACTGGGGGCCCTCTGGATCCAACCAAGTTTGATGTCCTAACTGGTCACTGGTGGATCAAAGAGGGGGTTACATCCAAAAGCAAAAGGTCAATGGTACCTGACACACCAAAATTGCCGTCCTTCTTACCTCTCCAGGACTTTCCGAAACGATCCATCTGGTTGCGCACCGATTTGATCCTTTAAAGACTCACATTTGAGGTTTGCACATTTCATGTCGGGACATCGTGTTTTCCCAAGTCCTCCAGGATCCTCCAGGAACTCCATAGGTGGTTTAAAATGGCCGTCCCCCATGTCACCATTGCTTTCCCCTTACGCATGCCCAAATAAAAATGTGATCAAAATCCAGTGGCAAAATCTAGGCGATCTGAGATGACCTGGCTTTGTCTGAGATTGTAGCCCCAAATCTAACGGTTTAGAAAATCAAGTTCCTTATTTGGTGACCATAAATTGGAGGCTAGTTCTCCTAATCACTTTATAATCCTTCCATTTTCAGACAAACCTCAAGATTTGTTGGTTTTACATTCTAGGAGGAAAGAACTTCAGTCTAATTATACAACACCTTATGCGCAAATCCAAATATTATATAATTATATATATACACACTCCTATCCACCCCCAACAAAAATTAAGATCACAAATATAGGTCACACAGAACATTCACATAACATTCACATGACTGCCATCATAAGCCCAGTCACTGGCATTGGACAGGTTGCTGCTTTGGCTCTTCAGTTGGAACGACGTCTCCGTCCGCGTCTGCGACGTCGTGTGGCCGTCGCCCGGTGCCAGGCTGGGCGCGCAGCCCAGCGGCCCCGGCAGCTCGGGAATGTCGGGGGGGACCTGGGCCGCTGGCGACTTCGAATGGGGGTACCTTCGAATGGGGTGGCGAAGGGTTTTCATAGAGATGAATATGTTTTAACATGTTTCGATATGTTTTAATATTAATATGATTCAATATGGTTTGATACTACTCAGTACTTAATACTGTATGATTCAATGTGGTTCGATATGCTTTAAGAATCCCCCTGCAGTTTCCATGGGGGACTCATGAGCCTCCATTTTATAGAGGGTACCTAGGTGGTCTCTATAGAATCGACTTTCTATATGAAAAGTGGTAGGTTTATGCTCTATAAAATCAAAGACTCTGTGGTCTAGAACCCCAAAATAAGAAGATTTACTATAAAATAGGGGACATGAGTTACCAATTTCCATAGGGTTAATTCTGTTAAGTTGCCAACTTTTGGCTCTATAAAATCATGGACCAGATTTTGGGCTTGCAAAAGGTGCTTTTTTGGAAGTCTTTTTGGGGATCCCAAATTTGACCTGGTTTTGGAATTTAATGATTTTATAGTGGAATGATAGGGACCTATTAATCTCAAGACAAACTACCAGGACCCCTTTTTCATTGATTTTATAGACAGCATATGACAGCATTAGACAGCCATTGCCCCCCTGCGCCCCCCTTCGATTTTTTCTTGCTTCACCATAACTCAACTGTTTGTCTCTTGCTTCAAGCCACTGCTTGTGCAGTGCGCAGCCAGCTAAGATCCATGCCGCAGGGATCTTTGGCTGTTACCCCCAAAACAAATGACAGCATCATCACAGTCATTCGCAGTCCATGTGTAAAAACAACTTGTATTATTTTTATTTTTTTTTATGATTGAAAAATATCGATAAAAAATCATCCCTACATCACATATCATCACACTGTGATTGCTGCTGTGTTGCCTCCTACTTGGAAGACAAATCATGGAGGAACTGACAAATATCGCGGATCAGTTGCATCCATTTCTTTCGGTCTGGTGTTTCACTTTCCAAACCCTCGATCACAGCAGAGAATTGCTTCGAGACCAACTCAGACCACCTCTTAGGAGTTGCTGTCGCGTACCTGAAAGAGGGGGCATGGTGAGGCAAAAAATATGCCCCAGCTATCCCCAGCTCTACTCTATAGAATCGATTTCTTTTTGGTTCATGGATCTCTCATTTAAAATGATAAAACACTATATCACAGCCATCCAGCATTATCAAATTTTTTGATTTTATAGATGAACATCTGTAAAAGATTGTAAAAGATTGTGAAAGTGCCTAATCATCCATGTGACCTCTATAAAATCGAAATAATTCTTGTAATATCTTGGAATTTCTTGGAATTTCTTGGAATATCTTGGAAATTCTTGGAATATCTTGGCAACTCTTTGATATTCTTGGCATATTTGAGCAATTCTTAGCCAAGGCACAAAGCTTTGAAGTATGGATGTGCAGCTTTACAAACGTCCACCCACTTCTTTCCCTGGCAAATTGTGATCTTCAGCCGGCACTCTTCTGAGGACTCTGAGAAAATGGTGTTGTTCTTGAACTTCACATCATCCAAGTGCTTGGCTTTCTGCATCTGCTGCTCCACCAACTGCACTCCAACACCATTTCGACGGAAATTTTTGGGATCACTTTCGATTTCAACCTCTGCCTTGGCCTTCTTCAATTTTTTTCCCCTGACTTTTTTCTTCCCTGTATTTGCACTGGCTGCTTTCACTGCTTTGGCCTTGGCTTTAGCTTTTGCAGAAGCCTTGCCAACAGCGCGCCTGCGCCGAATTTGACCACGCAGGAAGAGTCCCACTTGTCGGGGTTTCTGTGCTGGGGCGTCTGTGCCTTCAGAAGGCAAAGGCCACCAATCTTCGACACAATTTTGCCTCAGTGAGAAGCATGCTTCTTTTGCATTCTATTTCATTCTATTTCCATCTATTTCAAAAAAAACATTTCAATATTATTCCTCAAGCTATCCTGAGACATCCTGAGGCAGGCAATCTGAAAATTTTGTCAAGCGGCTTGATCTTCTCCAACATATCAACGGACTCCTGAGTAAGTTTGACCTTGCACTCTTCAGTCTCATTCTGAACTGAATCCCATGCAAGGACGCTCACAATGGATTCTGGTTGGATCACCCAGGCAGGGCTGCGAGAATTGCAATTGAACGCACTGCCAACACCGTCCATGACCACAATGCGCACTGCGACGCAATGATTCATCGGTGCCGAACTTGTCGCCAGGCGAGGCTTTCTCACAGAAACCCAGACCGACATCACAATTCCCACCACACTCTTGCGTGCAGAACTTTTCATGCCACCAGGAAGCAAGGCGATGACAATATCGCCAGACCTGAGACAAAGAATGAAAAAGATAGAGCCAACGGGTCAGGCTGGGACCTGGAGAAACAAAAAATTATGGGAATTTACAGAACATTATAGAAAATTAATGAAAATTACTATAAAACGACCAGAAAAAGAGTGTATAAAACAGAACGAGGTTCTGCAAACCGTCCGGTAAAACAGTGTTCGTGGACTTTTCCCGGGCAGCCTCCTCTGCCAAATCCCTCCATTTCTGAAGGCGACCCGTGCGCTGACGGAACACTGTCGTTTCCTCTTCATCACGCATCTCCTTGAGCTTGTGGCAGTTGAACCTGATGCAGCTTGTGAAATCCCACCCTCCCCTCTATAGAATGGAGATATTTGATGTAGATTGATGATTATATCATGTTGATTCATGTTGTATCATGTTGTATCCTGATATTAATTCATTATGTCTCTATAAAATCGAAAAATATCAAAAAAACAAACCACAACCAAAACTCCCTAATAACATCTAATAACATTATGTTGGGAATTGTTGGGATATGTTGGGAATTATTGGGATATGATGGGAATTGATGGGATATGTGTTTCTTTTTTGGTTGTTGTTTGATACATGTTTGATAATTTGTTGATTTTATAGAGGTAGGCCAGAGCATGCTAGAGCCAAGAAGCTGGTACCAATTGAGGCCTGAAGACTTCCTTCTGGATGTTCGTGGGTCAGAAATCCAGGTACGGTCACTGCCCTTTTGCCAATGGCGTAGATACATGACTAAGCGCCATACGGAGTCGAAAATCTCTGCATTGGTCGCATGCTGTCCCAAGCACCAAAGGGAATGATGCAAAGTCTTCCCCAAGCCGCCCGAACAAGACCCTTTGGAAGGAGACTCTTGCGGCACTTCTGGTTCTCGATCATCCGAGGCGGGCTTCGCTGAGAAAAGATCTTTGAGAAGCTCTGAATCTGGGACATTCTTCAGCTCAAAATCTTCTTGGACTTCACTAGTTGGAAGTTCTTCAGGAAGGTCGCCCTCCATCGCTGCATCTGTGCAAATCTCATCAAGAAAAGTTGAGGCCGAATTGCCACTCTCCACAGGACCATCCAGATCCATATCATGCTCATCACCCAACAAAGGCCCTTCCTTGTCAAAGCCCTTCTGGTTGCACCACTCCAGGTAGGTCTGTTCCAAGGATTCAATGGTCGAGCCAGCACAATAGGCTGCAAAGCGGAGAGCAGACCGGTAGGCTCGCTCAGAAGCAACATAGAATTCATCAGCTGTCAATGGCTCCATATTCTCTGGAGGGGGTCTTGAATGACCTGCAGGCTTTGGCTGTCGAGCACTGCGCAACATGTCTCTTGCACATGCGGTCCAGTATGCCTTTGCTGTCAGCTGTGCACTCGGGCTCTGTGTCCTGAGCCGCCCGAAGTGCTGCTCGATTGCCAACTCTGACAATCTTTGCCCCCCCCTTTCCCAGGGGGAGCCTTCCGTGGATTTTGAAACTGTCACACTGATGACTCCCATTGCAGCGTGCTGAAGATTTCTGACAGTCTCTGCTGCGAGAAATAGGGATCCACGCGGCAAGCCACGACGAGTAGATTCCTGATTGGAGAGCATCTGGAACACCTCGATGAGCATCAGCCCACAGAGACAATTTTCTGCACGCATCTCGAGGGGCATGGTGGCGTGATTGGAAGGGGCCTAGGCAGGCTTGACATTCCTTGTAGCCCCTGAGACAAATATATACAACATTATACAACATTATACAACATTATACAACATTATACAACATATTACAACTTATACAAATATCATCAAAATTCATCAAATATCATATGTTTTTAAAGATTTTAAAAGAATATTAAAGCCCCAATGTGAACCATAACATACCATAATACTCTATAAAATCGAGAAACCATCAGAAAACTAACCTGCTGGATAATCATTATGAATCATTGTGACATATTATGACATATTATGACCAATGAAACTCTATAAAATCAAGAAATATCCAGAAAACATCAGGAACCAGAATACTAAAAACATCTAAAGACTCATTGTGAACAACCATAGGGCTCTATAAAATCAAGAATTCCCCCAAAATCTTCCAAGATATTCCATGATATTCCACTACCATGAGGATTCATGAGAGTTCCTATGGATCTCTAGGATTCTCTAGGGATCTCTAGGGCATATTTCTTGATAAAACTTGATTTTATAGGGGGAACATGGGGGGACATCGTGGGAATTGAAATGGTAACAGGACATCCTCACGCAGAATACCTAAACCCAGGCACTGTGCACAAAGCGATGCAAAGGTTCAAGATGAGGAACCCCTGGCAGGACCAACTCACACTCGCAAGCTTGCCGGCCACTTCCTGGCTTCTGGGCAGAAGCGAGCAACTTGGAAACATTCCCTGAAAATTCCTGAAAACATCTGAAATTTTCTGAAACATTCTGAAACATTCTGAAACCATATGAAAAATTCTGAAAATATCTGAACAATTCTGAACAATCTGAACAAACTATGAAAATATCTGACAAATTCTGACAATATCTGAAATATTCTGAAAATTTCTGAAATATCTCATAACTCTGAAGCCAAGTTGCTGTGCTGCTAATCACATAGTAGGGGTTCCAAAGGGCAGCATTCATCGCATCGGACATGGGCTCGCTTCGACGGAACACAGCGGGTGGAAGCCCCCACTTCCTCGCGCCACTTGAATCCGTGAAATACTGGCCGAACATGATCGTCCTCAACGGGGAGACTAGCTGCCCTGCTCCATTCTTCGAAGCGTGGCCTGAATGCTTGCCGGGCATTGGCTTAACATTAATGGAACAGGTAAGGTCAGGTTTACCATGGTAAGATATGGTAAGAATTGGTAAGACACTCCCACCATCTACCACCTCTTCAAAAAAGTAAAAAATGAAAAATACCCTCCAGATTCCAAGATCATCTGGGATCCAAGCAAAACCCAGGCACATGGTCCTGCAAGACCCCACAAAGATTCCCCCTCATGCATGCAGAGCTTCAGTGGCAAATGCGGGAGACAATGGTGAGGAAGGTTGACGTAGGTCACGTCTCGCCAAAACGGAAGCTCCCTTACTTTTTCGGGATTGACCTTCTGAAAAACTCCGTAGAGACATTCTTTCAGGTAGTGATGCGCATGGTGACCATCATACGTGATGCCTTTCACCAACCATGCACCCGAGGTCATGATCTTGGAAATCACCACCAGAATTTCCTAAGATTCCACAAAAATCAATGGACACCCGTTAAAAAGCATTAAACATCCACAAAATTTTTTAAGATATATGAGGATTATTAAGCCACTATAAAATCAAAAAAATGCATATTCAATCTGGTTTTTGCAATCTTCTGTCAAATCCTGTCTATAGAATCAATTTCCCGATGTTTCCTGAACATTCCTTAAATATCCTGAAGTGGAAGGTTATCAACAAACCATAAAAAAACCTTCAGAAACATAGACAAAACATGACAAAACAATACAAAACATTTACACCCAAACAGACCCAGAATCCCAGTTCCCTGCGTGAACCTGTGTCTCCTTTTGGGTCAGCTTGGGGGCTGAGAGAGCCATAGGCATGGATGCCACGCTGTAAGTGTTCTTTGTCCATCCACACGGGTCCCACAGAACAAACTCCAACATCGTTGGTGCTTTCTCCAGCGACTTCACATTCACAGTCAAATCTACAAAGGCCTGAGAGTCGTCAACTGGAGACCAAGCCCCTCCTACCAGCCCTACGGTATCTTTGATCTTGAACTGGCAGGCACTTTTGAGAAGGTATGTCCCGTCCATGCCCATGATCAGGCGTCTACTCCTGGAGGTTTCTTTGCGAGGGAACAATTGGTCGACAAGCATGAAGTTGTTCTCTAGTTGATCCTCATACATGAGGGCAAGGGTCGGGTTTGGAAGACCCAACTCAGGCAGATCCTCCATAGAAATCTTCGGTTTCCTTTTCTTCTGGCCAAGCTCTTCACAGAGTGCTTTGTTTCCACCGAGGATGGCTAGATTGAGGGCTGCGTTCTCCATCAGATGGATCTCGGTCTCTGATGCGGCTCTGTGTCTGCCATGTGATATGTTCACGCCGCGCTCTTCCTTCTCCAAACGGATCAGAAGTTGCACCAGCAAGCCTTGCGCAAACGGATTTCTGTCTAAGCGTCCAGTGACAGCGGCTTGGGCGATCTTTGCGTTCACTTCTGCAAGCTCCTGAGTAGTGATGGAGTAGCGTCATTAAGGACCGTTCAGGAATTCGAGGATATGTCAAGAATATTCAAGAAATTTCAAGAATATTGAAGAACTTTCAATGATTATTGATAAGGGATTGGCATTGGGGGATAAACATCTGTCATCAATTGTCATCATCTGTCAAAAAAACAACTTTTCTGGGGATAGATCTTCAAAATATTTCAAAATTAATCAGATATTTTTGAAACAATCATATTTCATAATATTTCCATAATTTTCCATATATTTCCCCTCTATAGAATCAAGATTTGATTTGCATAGATCTTGGAACTTGATTGGGAGACCCACCCTTCCCTCTATAGAATCAAGATGATTCAATATTTTTTCTGGCTTAATAACATGGCCCTTCATCACCATTCTATAGAATCAAGATTTGCTTCAAATAGGTCCTGATGATCTTGATGACATATATACTCTCATCATCCCTCACCTCTATAGAATGGAGTTTTAAGGATTTTTAATGATTTTTTATGAAGACTGATGCAGTATCATGCATTATCATGCCAGGTTGTGATCAAGTTATGTCAAGGTGCACTTTGAGAGTTCTGACACAAAGCGTCCACAAACTTGGAGGAGAGAGCCGTCAGGTTTGAGCCGACAGTGTTCACGTGGACTTTGAGGCAGGGGTCCACGACAGTTCCCAAAAAGACCTTGATATTTGAAGTCTTTTGCACGTCAGGGATATGGCTCCAGGAACGCCGAACAAAGGCTTGAAGGTTCACATTTTTCAAGCTATGGATTTGTTTCCAAGCCACAGCATTGTTGGAAGCAAAAGTCCCATCCTCAAGATCCTTCATGAAACTTGCAACCTCTGATTCGTTGCAGAACAAGCGCTTTTGCAACAACATGGCTGCATAGAACTTCATCAAAAACCTCACGAGCGTCTTCTGCACAGACTTCCGATCGGTGAGGGACTCACATGCTTGGCAGCACTGTCTCTTCTCCTCCTTATCGACAAGGAATTTGGTATGGCAATCTTTGTGACGAATCCATAGCAAGTCACCTGCGTAGATATGCCAGTACTTGTGCTGAGTCATATCACAGTCCATATTGTTGTAGGACAACCAAAGCTTCAACTCCTTCATGTACAGGTACAACTTGTTCTCAGGGTGGTGATTCACACAGTAGCCCGGGCATTCCTTGGAAGTTGCTGGGCCAGATCTTCCAACGTTTTGAAGCTTCTCTACATTGGATGTGTGAGTGGGTGCGAGCACGTGCTGATCAATCAGCGTCTTCACAGATTTGAGTTTGATGACAGGCAATTTGTTGGTCTTGCCCTGGGGTTGAGTCTTTGTTATGCAAATTCTGCATCGGTACATGAGCCCACCAGCAGGAGTCTCGATCAGTTCAATGACCGGAGCATAACTTTGAACCAGCTTCACACATCTCTGGTACTCGGTCGACTCGTTCTCCTCTTCCTCACCAGGTTCTTTGTCTTCAGGATGACCTGCAGTTTCTTTGGAATCCTGTTTCTCCTTCTCGGTGTCTTTCGCTGCCTCTGCAGCCACAGCAGCCCGAACCTCAACTTCATCCTCTGGGATTTTCCACTTCTGCCTGATGAGCTTGCACACATCGCATTTCTTCTCGTCCTTCTCGTCCTGCTTTTTCTCTCCAAGCAAGAGCAGCTTGAAAGATTTCCGTCCACCAGTGAAGCAGGCAGCAGCTTTCCTAAGAATTGCCTGTTGACGATGAAAGGTCGTAAACGTCTGGTACGTAAGCCCTTTCTGGGCCAACCAAGCATTCAGCCTCCGATCGTCCACTTCCCTCTGTGTTGGAATTCTTTTTTTGCAACTTCGTTCATGAACTTTGCGTTTACGATCCCTGACATAGTCCTTCAGCATAGCATCGTCAATGTCCTCCACGTTGGCATCTTTGAGCACGGACACATCGCCCTCTTTTTGGGTGCCATCATTATTTGGTGGAATGCTTCCTCCATGTCTGGAGCTTCAGGTTCTTGAAGGGTCCTGGCACATTTGCGTTGAGGCTGCATCAGCTGTTGAGGTGCATTCACATCCTTGGAAACCATAGGCACGGGTTTCGCGCCTTCTGCACGTTTTGGCCCTTCAGGCTTGCCTGTTGCTTCTATCAGAGACGTGGCTTGGGCATCTGGACGAGGTGGTGTCTCAACACCTGTGGTGTCAGGCTCCCCTTTGCGTTTGCCAGGTGCACCAGGGGGGTCTGGACGAGGTGGTGTTGCCAACTCCCTGTCCTCATTTCCAAGGGAATCACCTTTCTTCTGTTTCTTTGGGGTCTCTGGCGCAGGTTCGTTCTGTCGAAGCCGATCGGCACAGAAGGCATCAAACAATGTTTGCCACCACAATTCACCTGAAACCATTTCCCAGGCAGAACCCATCATTCTGCGGATCAACGAAACTTCGTTCTTGGCCTCTGCGGTGTCAAAGCGGCCCACATTCTGGTAGCCTAGATACAGAGTCCGCAGCGACCAAGCCATGCAATCCCCGTCAGCAGGAACTTCACAAATTGCGATCCCCTGGTTGGAACACTTCCTCACCAAGTTCGTATAGTTCTTCAGCCTCGGTTTCCGAGCAGCTATCACCAGAATTCATCAGGATCTAGTGGGAAATTGGATCTGAAATTGGAAACATTGGGAAACCATGGGAAACCGTTGAGATCCTACTATAGAATCGAAAACTATCACAAACATTCACAAACTATATAGCATGAACATGCATGAATAGATACCTAATGATACCTAAGTATCCTATAGTATCCCAACAGTGCCTGGTTGTTTCTGAATCTTTCTGATTTTATAGAGATTCAATATGCTTCAATGATGTTCATAATATTTCATAATGATATTCAATGATATTCATATATTGTATATATCAAAATCATTCAAAATCTAAGTTGAGGAACTTTGCATGTTCATCCTCGAGCTCAGAAATTTTTGATTGCAGGATGGCCTGTCCCTCTGGATCCTGGCGGGCCTGTGAAGACACTCTGTCCAAACTGGCCTGGAGCGTTTTCAACTGTGCTCGCTTCTTTTGCCCTTTGTCATTCAAAGAGGACAGAGCCTCTAAGGTAAGCTGGTAATAGACGTCTGGGTGTAGTTGATCTTTGAAGAACCCAGGAATCCAGTGGTTTGCCGGCCCTTTGGGATCGTACATAGCATTGCAGCTGATGAGGAGCCATGTGTTGGGATTTTTTGGATCAATGTCTGGGATATCATTCTGGTGATCTAACAATGTGGCCCATTGTTGTTGAGCTGGAAGTACTTTGATTCTCCCCATCTGGTCCTCCAAACCAAAAGCCAACGTTCCACCAATCTGAAGTACAAAAGCCTGAGCATCAATGACCTCCAGGTAGAAGCCATTCTTCTTCACCATCTGGGCGTAGGCAACGATCTGCTCCATCTTCCGCTTCCCCGGTTCCCCTGTGCAGTGAAGCCATGGCAAGGAATCGTCAATAAACATCAATAAACCATGTGGAGAGGAATTTCTAGAAACATCATTAAAATTCATTAAATATCTAGATACCACAAAAAAGAGTTCTGTATCCAAATGGTTTCCAATGGTTTCCATATGTGTCCATTTGTTTGTCCGAGATCTCTTATCAATTCATCAATTCTCATCATATTGCCGTAGTGGACCCCAGAACCAGGCCTGCATCATGTGCCAGAAACATGTACTCTCCTCTCGTGATGTGCTCCTCAAGCTCTTTCCAAATGACATCCCGCTTGTGTACTCGGCATGGTTTAGGAGGCGTCTCAGGTCCTTGAAAAGCACGCAATCCTGAATCACGGCCTCCTGGAGGGGGAGAACGGTTCTGCTCGTTGTCCTTCTCCATTTTGGGTTTCTTCAGATTCATGCTCTGTACGGGCGACTGGGCATCCCGCTTGAGTGATTCTTCTGGATCCCGCTTGACTCGTCCAGGGGGAGTTCTGGGTTCCGCCTTTTGACTCACTTGAGGCACTTCAGGAAGCTCTCTTTTAATGTTTTTTTGCTGCTTGATCTTCTGCAAGCCTTCTGATTCTTCTGCAGTTGCATGTCTCGACGATGTGGGACTTTCTGGTGGTGTCTCTGCCGGTGGCGGCAGTGGTGGCTCGCTCTGGACCCGGCTCTGGTGAAAGCTTGCTGGCAATGAACGACGACGCTGCGTCTTCGCAGCTTTGTCTTTTTCAGCTCCTGATGTGGGTGGATGTTGTTCTGGGTGGTCGACTTGGTCAGCAGCCATGGAAGCTTCTGATGCTGTTGAATTCTGGTTGCCCACTACCTCCTCAGCAAAGTTTGCGGGCTGATTGACAACCGGCGTCTCCTTCCCCACCGAGAGGACAACCTCATCCTTGCCCTTGTCGAGGTCGGCCTGTGGAGCCTAGGAGCAGCAAAGCCATGGCATGGCCATGCATGGCCTTTCTATAAAATCGAAAAATATCAAAAACATTCAAAAACATATGGAACATATTGGAAAATCATGGAACATATTGGAACATAATGCAGAATGTTTCAGAATAGTGTTTCAATGTGATCTTTGGTGGCTACAGGGTGGACATTCCAGCTCCCCCTCCCATATCCCTCTATAAAATCGACATCTGAACCACATTTAACATAATTTAACATAATTTAACATAATTTAACATAATTTAACAATATATAACTGAATATCTGAAGATCATTGTAGATCCACAAAGTTTCCCTATATATCCATCTAATTCCCTCTAATTCCCTATATTTGTCCATAGTTTTCCCATGTTTTCCCATATTCTCCCATTGTTTCCCTGGTGGTCCCTGGATCTCCCTGGCCACAGGTTGTGGAACAAGTTGCCAGCTGATCTTCTGTGACCTCAGAGTCCTTGCCCTTGTCGAGGTCGGCCTGTGGAGCCTAGGAGAAGCAAAGCCATGGCATAGCCATGCATGGCCTTTCTATAAAATCAAAAAATATCAAAAAATATCAAAAACATATGGAAAATATTGGACAATATTGGAAATCATGGAACATATTGGGAAATTTTGGAAAAGAATGCAGAAATATGCTGAAAATTGCTGAAATATGCAGAATTATGCAGAAACATGCAGAATATTTCAAAATAATGGAGCACTTTTATCATGTTACAGCATTTCACCATTCTATAGTGTTTCAATGTGATCTTTGGAATTCTTTGGAATTCTTTGGATATCTTTGGTGGCTACAGGGTGGAAATTCCAGCTCCCCCTCCCATGTCCCTCTATAAAATCGACATCTGAACCACATTTAACATAATTTAACATAATTTAACATAATTTAACAATATATAACTGAATATCTGAAGATCATTGTAGATCCACAAAGTTTCCCTATATATCCCTCTAATTCCCTCTAATTCCCTATATTTGTCCATAGTTTTCCCATGTTTTCCCATATTCTCCCATTGTTTCCCTGGTGGTCCCTGGATCTCCCTGGCCACAGGTTGTGGAACAAGTTGCCAGCTGATCTTCTGTGACCTCAGAGTCCTTGCCCTTGTCGAGGTCGGCCTGTGGAGCCTAGGAGAAGCAAAGCCATGGCATAGCCATGCATGGCCTTTCTATAAAATCAAAAAATATCAAAAAATATCAAAAACATATGGAAAATATTGGACAATATTGGAAATCATGGAACATATTGGGAAATTTTGGAAAAGAATGCAGAAATATGCTGAAAATTGCTGAAATATGCAGAATTATGCAGAAACATGCAGAATATTTCAAAATAATCGAACACTTTTATCATGTTACAGTATTTCACCATTCTATAGTGTTTCAATGTGATCTTTGGAATTCTTTGGAATTCTTTGGAATTCTTTGGTGGCTACAGGGTGGAATTTCCAGCTCCCCCTCCCATGTCCCTCTATAAAATCGACATCTGAACCACATTTAACATAATTTAACAAATTTTAACAATATATAACTGAAATATACTGAAATTAACTGAATATCTGAAGACCATTGTAGATCCACAAAGTTTCCCTATATATCCCTCTAATTCCCTATATTTGTCTATAGTTTTCCCATATTCTCCCATTGTTTCCCTGGTGGTCACTGGATTTCCCTGGCCACAGGTTGTGGAACAAGTTGCCAGCTGATCTTCTGTGACCTCAGAGCCCTTGCCCTTGTCGAGGTCGGCCAATGGAGCCTAGGAGAAGCAAAGCCATGGCATGGCCATGCATGATGGCCTTTCTATAAAATCAAAAAATATCAAAAACATTCAAAAACAATCAAAAACATATAAAACATATTGGAAAATCATGGAACATATTGGAACATAATGCAGAATGTTTCAATGTGATCTTTGGTGGCTACAGGGTGGACATTCCAGCTCCCCCTCCCATATCCCTCTATAAAATCGACATCTGAACCACCTTATACATAATTTAACATTATGATGCATTGTGATACATTATGTAACCATATACAACATTATACAACCATTAAGACCCACATACTGTAGATATCTGAAGATCATTGTAGATCCACAAAGTTTCCCTATATTTGTCCATAGTTTTCCCATGTTTTCCCATATTCTCCCATTGTTTCCCTGGTGGTCCCTGGATCTCCCTGGCCACAGGTTGTGGAACAAGTTGCCAGCTGATCTTCTGTGACCTCAGAGTCCTTGCCCTTGTCGAGGTCGGCCTGTGGAGCCTAGGAGAAGCAAAGCCATGGCATAGCCATGCATGGCCTTTCTATAAAATCAAAAAATATCAAAAAATATCAAAAACATATGGACAATATTGGACAATATTGGAAATCATGGAACATATTGGGAAATTTTGGAAAAGAATGCAGAAATATGCTGAAAATTGCTGAAATATGCAGAATTATGCAGAAACATGCAGAATATTTCAAAATAATGGAACACTTTTATCATGTTACAGTATTTCACCATTCTATAGTGTTTCAATGTGATCTTTGGAATTCTTTGGATATCTTTGGTGGCTACAGGGTGGAATTTCCAGCTCCCCCTCCCATGTCCCTCTATAAAATCGACATCTGAACCACATTTAACATAATTTAACAAATTTTAACAATATATAACTGAAATATACTGAAATTAACTGAATATCTGAAGACCATTGTAGATCCACAAAGTTTCCCTATATATCCCTCTAATTCCCTCTAATTCCCTATATTTGTCCATAGTTTTCCCATGTTTTCCCATATTCTCCCATTGTTTCCCTGGTGGTCCCTGGATCTCCCTGGCCACAGGTTGTGGAACAAGTTGCCAGCTGATCTTCTGTGACCTCAGAGCCCTTGCCCTTGTCGAGGTCGGCCAATGGAGCCTAGGAGAAGCAAAGCCATGGCATGGCCATGCATGGCCTTTCTATAAAATCAAAAAATATCAAAAACAATCAAAAACATATAAAACATATTGGAAAATCATGGAACATATTGGGAAATTTTGGAAAAGAATGCAGAAATATGCTGAAAATTGCTGAAATATGCAGAATTATGCAGAAACATGCAGAATATTTCAAAATAATGGAACACTTTTATCATGTTACAGTATTTCACCATTCTATAGTGTTTCAATGTGATCTTTGGAATTCTTTGGAATTCTTTGGATATCTTTGGTGGCTACAGGGTGGAAATTCCAGCTCCCCCTCCCATGTCCCTCTATAAAATCGACATCTGAACCACATTTAACATAATTTAACAATATATAACTGAAATATACTGAAATATACTGAAATTAACTGAATATCTGAAGATCATTGTAGATCCACAAAGTTTCCCTATATATCCCTCTAATTCCCTATATTTGTCCATAGTTTTCCCATGTTTTCCCATATTCTCCCATTGTTTCCCTGGTGGTCACTGGATCTCCCTGGCCACAGGTTGTGGAACAAGTTGCCAGCTGATCTTCTGTGACCTCAGAGCCCTTGCCCTTGTCGAGGTCGGCCAATGGAGCCTAGGAGAAGCAAAGCCATGGCATGGCCTTTCTATAAAATCAAAAAAAATGAAAAAATAGCAGACATGTGACATGTGTGTTGGATGTAATTATGGATTCTCTCAAAGTTTAAACGCTGCTGGATCCGGTTGGTATCATTTCATATTATTTCCGGTCATTTCCCAAATTGGAATCCTGTTGGGATATGATTTATATATCTATATATATCTTATATATTCTATTATATTCTTATATATTCTATTATATTATATTATATTTTTATATTATCTTATGTTATCTTGATTAATCTCGATTCTATAGTGATATGGTATGATATGGTGTGGCAAAACACTGCAATGCCTGCTTGCTTTTTCTTCCTGCAACCGCACCAACAAGTGCGCAGAAACGCACCAATCACACATCATCACACATCCACAATGGTGGGCACCAAAGACATTTGTCGGCCACCTCACCTGGCTTCACCCGGTGAAGCTGGATGCACAGGTCTGGCAAGGACTCAAGCTGCTAATTTTTGTACTAGCGGCTTTAAGGTGGCAGCAATTTTGTGACCTATGCCAGCGCTTAGAATTCTGAGCAAAGAAAATGTCACCGTTTGGAATTCTATCATCTGCAGCATCTGAGGCAGCTTGTTTCTTCACACCACCTGTTTTTTTCACGTCATGTGTGGATTGAAGTGATTGAAGGCTGGAAGTACCCGATCTGGCCGTCGACATCCGTGAGAGTAGATAACAATTTGACACCAGCAGTATGATAATGGTGATGAACATAAGGTCCAACACAGACCACTGAGCTGAAGCTTCATCAAAAGACGCTCCAGTGGCCAAAGACGCGCTCCATAGGCACATGGCAACGACGGTGAACAACCGTACTAGCATGGGTCAGGCTGGGTCGGGCTACTACAGCACTGGTTGGTTACAATTCACTTGCTCCAAAAAAGTTCATACTACGGCATTGACGTGCTGTGCCCCTGGAGATTTCTAGAGCATTCTAGAGCCATGATTAGACATGACATCAAAATACTAGACATGACATCATCATACATCATCTGTTGGCCGCGACCTTCCCAAACGCTTGTGGGCCGAGCGTCCGTTTGGTCGTCATTGTTTTCCCGAGCGTCGAGGACAGGCATTGGATCCTCAGAAACAATTCCGTCATGTTCCGTCTATGTAATTCCAGAATTTTCCACATAGATCAGGAATGGTCAGGATAGAAATATTTTCTTGTGCTTTGTTGTTGCTTCTTTCTTTTCCATTCTTTTCCTATCTATTTTCCTTTTTTTTGGTCTCAAAAAAGTTCATGCACCAAGTTACTTCACTCTGGCCTGTGTTCTCCGCATTGGCAATCTGCTTTGGCACCTGAAATGGCCACATGTTCCCATTTTTTCCCATCCTGTCCCCTATTTTTTCATGTGCTTCCCTTTTTCCCCGTAGTTTCCCTCTAAATCCCTCTAATTCCCTCTATATCCCTCTATAAACTCAACATAACTCAACATAAGTCAACACAAATCAACTTTATTGATCATGTTGGATGTGGGTGGATGTGGAATGATGTATTTGTGGGCCAAGTTACATCCTTGGTCTCCGTGATGATCTCAGTGTCGAGGTCTGGTTCTGGAACCTGAGATTGAATAGCTGTTTCAAAGAGAATTGTATAGAAAATTATAGAATATTAAAGAATATTATAGAATATTATAAAAATGTATAGAAAAACACTAAACAGTACGAGTACCAGGATGTAGAGGCCATTAGAGGCCTATATCAGAAAATATCAGAAATATTCAGAAATTATCAGAATATATCAGAATAATTCAGAAATATTCAGAAAATTTCAGAAATATTCAGAATATATCAGGTGAATTCAGATGTGATAAGCTGATACCTGAAAATGAAAATCACCACATCTCACCACTATAAAATCAGCTTTTTTGTGATTTGTGCCACAGTCTTTGGAAATTAATGGAACATAATGGAGATTCATAACAAGGATGAACATGGATTAACAAAATTTCACGATTCTATAGTGGGACGGTTCCAAAAGGGCTGCTCTTGATAGCTTATTCGCTTTTTGAATCACTACAAAACCGGGAACCCTAATCATTCCGAAAAATTCCTAAACTATCCTAAACATTCCTAAACTATCCTAAGCTCTCCGTCCACAACCTTCAATCCCTTTCCAACCCTGTCCCTTTTTCACAATTGCCTGCAGCATGTTTGGTTTGTTAAGACCATATCCCGTAAAGGAACTTCTGGGCATATGGCCTCCCATTAAGGACTCCAAATTGGCGCATGTGATCGAGCGTGTATCCACACTTGTCAGCAGGTGCAATGCCCGACGAGCAACAAATCAGAATTCCATAGAATTCCTACGTTTTTGTGCATTAATTATTTTATTTTTTTATATTTTTTTATATATTTTTATTGTATGATCATACAGACATTGCACATGAGCTAACATGCCCCGTGTGACAGCAAAGATTCTAGCCAATTGAAATGGAAATCCGCAGGGAATGTCATCCCCACACTATATGCTGCATCGTAATTTCGAAAGTCATTCTCTGAATTTCCTTGGGTATCCTTGGGTAAAGGATGATAAGGCAAGTAGTAACGAAACATCTCAACACAGTCTTGGCTGTAAGCAAAAGCTGCTGGTTCTTCAAAATCAAGAAGACCTACAGCGCCTACAGATTTTCAATTGCAATCTGGGGAAAGCCATCGGCTTTGTACTGCTCTGCCCAGCACATAAAAATCGCCCTGCAGAACCAGGCTGGGTAGGCTGCACTTTCTGGCAGATCCCGCCCTCCTGACCACGACCTCCTACCATCCGCATGCACTGTCTCCGAGTAGTACTTTTTTGGCCGCTTTCGTCTAGCATTCCTGCGACTGAATCGATCCTGGCTTCACAGGATGAGAAAATCATTGACAGCCCATGAAAGTGCCTATAAAATCAAATTCTTTAGCACTGAAAGGGAGCTATCAGGACAGGGGGTTCCAAAGATTTTCCAAGGAGTCTCTATAAATCTCTATAAAATCAATAAAAATATATAAAAATCATATGAAATCAAACTACATCAAACTACTGTATATTCAATAATGTCCCTATAAAATCAAAAAGTTTTATGATGTTTTATGATTTTAAAAAAAACATATTCAGCAACCATGCATTTTCCTCCCACTGAACCCATGCAAGCGTGTGCCCGCTGTCCTTGTACTTCTTGCGATCAGAGTTCCGCAAAGTTCTCTGAAGCTTCTGGTAGCTCCTGGCCGGCACTCATGCACCACCATGCAGTACCAATATTCACAAAAGATCACAATTTGTTTCATGTTCTTTCCATTTCATTCCATTTCCCCCGGTCTCTTCATGTTCGACACCAAATGGGTTGGTTTCAGAAGGTCTGCTCCCCAAAAGCACAACCAGGTGCAAATAGTCGTCCTGTGCTGGGCACTTCGGTTGGCAACGAAATCCCAAAAAAAATGCAAAAAATTGGCACACAGATTTTGAATACCCAAAAAAAACTTGGGAAAACATGGGGAAACCCTGCAATCCAAACAAATAGACTACTGATAACATACTGATAACTACTGATCCGTACCAGGCCACATGCCCCCGAGGAGCTTCAGGGAAATCATTGTGGGCAATTTGAAAGCCCAACTGGAACACGGCTGCTCGAAAATATAGTACAAGTCCCGACCCGCGTGGATCAAGATGCTCATTGCCACTGCCTAAGTTGGCCCACAAGCACACAAAACGACGCACTTCTCTACTTCCATGATGCTGATACCATCTGATATCAACCTTCCCCACATCACCTCAAAACTTGCTCAAAACATCGCAAAACAATTCAAAAATATTCAAAATATTTCAAAATCATTCAAAATCTATCTCAAAAATTCTCAAAGAATCTCAAAGAATCTCAAAGATATTTGGATAATTTCAAAAGATTTCAAAGATGTTTCATGAATGTCTCGCTTTCAAGGCACAAAGTTGGCCCAAATTAAATTGGCCAATCTGACCTTTTTGTTGTACTGGTTTCCCAATACTCGCCAGAACTGGCGTTGGTGCACACTTTGGGAGGCTCCAACAAAGAGGCTGCAAGGTGGCCCAGCGACTACCAGACCACGTGGTCTGAGCCTTAATTCATCTCAATTTCATTTCACGAAGTTCCTAAATGCTTCTCAAGTCCTTGTAATACCCACATAATCCCATAATATCCCATATGTCTACTCTATAAAATCGACAAATTCTTGGAATTGGGCACCATGTCTACTCATGTCTACTCTATAAAATCAAACAAAACATACCAAATCTCCCAGTCTTTGTGCTACCCACATGGCTGCTCTATAAAATCAAAAAGTTCTCCCAATTTTAACAATTGTTAAATATTGTTAACATTTGGTACCAAGTGTTAACATATCTTTATAATTCTTTATAATTCTTTATAATTCTTTAATGTTCTTTAATATTATTTAATATTATTTAATATTCTTTATAATTCTTTATATATCTTTATAATTCTTTATAATGTCCTTGGCATGTCTACCCCATAAAATCAAACAAAACATGCCACATCCACAATGCTGATGGCACCACAATGCTGACCAAGAACATCAGCCCCATCTCAAGTAACTGGTAAAATCCAGTACGGGTCACCAAATCGTGCTGAACATTAAGCTTTATGTCGAAAGCCAATGCCCGCCATCCAGCTCGGCGAAATTGACGCCTCAAGAATTTTCAAAATATTTCAAAAATTTTCAAAACAAATATTTCAAAATTATTCAACATATTTCAACATTATTCCACATTATTCAACTATATTCAACATTATTCAACTAATTTCAAAATTGTTCAAAATTTCAAAATATTTCACAAAAACAAGGCACGCTATGCCCTGAGAAAATCCAAAAGCATCAAGAGCCTCAAACTCTCGGGCACCTTGCCAATTCTTTGCCCACTCAAGAGCCTCTGCGGCATGCTGCTCTGCGTGCCACCACCTGAAGCCGAGCAGAATGCTCAACCAGTCTTGTATAATTTAATTCATTTTGATTCCTTCTGAAACATTCTAAAACATTCTAAAACTGTGTGCACCGGGCAAACCCTAGGATTTCTACAGCATCCAGCAGCCTACTATAAAATAAAAACTACAGCCTACTATAGCCTACTATAAAATCAAAAACTTATGATTTGGGAACACAGAATCTGAATTTGTCGATTCTATAGAAACAAATTATCCATAAAATCCCCAAGCATGCTCAAACCATGCTGCGCCGATCCTCTGACAAGACACTCTGGTTCGTCAATGGAGCAAGTAGTGTCATCGTTCAGGCTGGGAAGAGAATTGTCCACATCACCCACGGACAATACGACCGGAAGAAAGAAACAAGTCAGCGCCAGCGCACAGGAGCGTAGCATTGCGACAGGATTGGGCTTTAATGAGCTAGAAGAAAACCGAGGCCTACAACCAGTGAAAATAAAACAGATCTCTCATTCTGGAAAGAATCAAATGGATTCAAATGGCATCAAATATCAGGCACAAAAATGGATCGGTAGGCAGCAAATGGCAGCAGTAATATCATGTAATATCCAGTATATTCCAATATTTTCCAATATTATCCAGTAATGCAAATATATCATGGACATTCATAGATCATCATAGATACATCATGTAGATGATTGTAGATGTATGTAGTGGCATGTCCAATCTCACCTGAGGTTCGGCTTCCCTGGGCCCATTATGGCCCATTGCTGACGAGGAGCCGAGCATTTCTGTTTCGGACAGTCCTTGGAGATAGCATGGCTCCACGTCCAGAAATTCTGGCCCCTCAGTTCACAGCGCAGTGATGTGCAGTGGCTTCATGTGGAATTAGCTGTGCTTTGTTTAGGCAAGTTTTTTCCCCTGAAATCCCCTGAGTACCCCCGGCACCAGAATTCCCCAGAATCTTCCAGAATCTCCCATATCTGTCCGAAATTTTCCAAAATTGTCTCAAAAAAACAAATTCCAACATTTTGATTATTCCACGTGTGTCATCACGTATCATCACGTATCTATATGCTAACAAGCAGCGGTCTTCGGAAGACAGCATGATTCGAAATGCGCCCAGTACTGCTTCGCTTCTTGCACTTGCTCACTTAGTTCCGCAATGACCATGCATTACCACAGAACAACCGAAAAAAAAACACACCAGAAACTGTCAGACATTGTCAGACTATCTGTGTAGCACAAAACAAACCTGCACAGACCAAAAAACATCCAAAAACCATGAATATCCTGGACTTTCAGTGGGATGGCAGGCAAGAAACCCCAAACTCCACGGAAACCGTCCCAACGAGGTTCTTCTGTTGCTTCAACGCACATTGCCAGTCCCTGAGCATCGAAGCTACAAAAAAAACAAACAAAGGATTCTCATTGATTCTCTATAAAATCAGGTTTTTTTTGTAGTGGTCCAACCCACTATTATTGCCTAAATATGCCTAAATCAAGCTACATCTACTACTTACTTCAATAAATGTCCCTGTTATCTTCTACTTTCCCAATTTTATAGTGAGACAGTGTGAGACAACTGATATTGCTTCCAAATGCTTCCAATATTCATTTACTTCCTGATTTTATAGTGCTCCATTGAACCCTAACTGGTATTACTCCTAATTTTCCAATTTTATAGAAGACCAACTGTATCCAGCTGCTATTTTACAGACCTGCATCATCTCCACATGATTTTGATGTCATTTTTTTTCTCCCAATGAAGATTTTAAGATATTTTAGGATGTTTCTTAGTCAAGAGCCAAGCTTCGCATTGACGCGGGAAATTGTATCGGTCAGCCATGGCGCACAATAGCGCGCCCCACTGACAGAGTTTTCAATTCAGATTTGCAAGTCTTCCCAGATTAGCACAGTCGAGAACAGTTGAGTTGACAGACATAGGTCAATGTTGCCTGTGCCATTTTTTTGAGAAAATCAAATCTATTTTTTTCACATGTTTTCTTGTATGTTTTTTTTGGAACAGAAAACAACCTTCCTTTTTTTGATGCCTCAAAAATCCAGATCAAAATGATCTTTAAATACCTGATTTGATTTTAGAAATGATCAGAAAGTGTATGATTTTTGCATTACACATCATATCAGACCCTTTCCCCATGGGCCTCAAAAAATGCGGTTGCAAGAACGCGCGTCGTGGTGTTGATTCATGACCACAGTTGATGCTCTATAAAATCGAAAACTAATCAAAAATTATATGATACAAATGGGCAACATAATGGCAGGTTCTCCCTCTATAAAATCAAAAAAAAAAATGTCCCAAGATAAGCCTCCTCCAAAAAGAACATCTGAATACAAGATACCCTCTCTATAAAATGGGTTCCCAACCTGTATATGCTATGTCACTGAAAAATAGCTAACTAAAATTTAGGTCTTAAGTGGTACCTAGGTACCTCCATTTTATAGAGGAAAATGGTAGGAGGATCTTTAAGATGTGTTTCAATCTGACTTGATACGAGTTAATATGATTCAGGAAGATTTTATATGTTTTAATATCATGAAAGATTACTCAATATAATGTCATATGATCCCATATGACTGAATGCAATCGATGTAGTATGATCTATATAATTGCAGTATGATTTAGTATCAGGGAGCATCATCAATTGGATGATCTTGGAAGTTACACTTAGGAACCTTAACCCCTTTTCCCTGCTACAAAGATACGTCAAATATCCTGGCCCAATATCCCAGCCAAGCACTCCCAAATATGTCGAACAGATCCAAAACGTACAGTAACTGGGATATGGGGGGCTCCTATCACTTTGGCATGTGTTTGACATGCCAAACCCAGCTGTGGTTTTTCACAATCAACTTACTTCCAGGATCATCTTATCAAAATTATCAAACTGCCAAGGCTCATGGAAGCCCAAAGCATTGGTTTTTTTTCGGTCCTGACGGAAAGTGCTGCGGAAATTCCAACTCACCCAGCATGGAAAGTTCACCAGCCCTCAACAGAAAAGCGGATAATCGATGAACAAAAAGAATACAAAGAAGAAAGACTGCATTAATGCACATGTAATTATCACCAAAATTGATCAAAATTGGGATAATTGTCACCAAAATACAAAGTTGGGACGGTCAACAACCCGGCCCGGCTTTTGCGCAGCAAATTGTTCTGGCTTCAGGTAGTGAATTTCCCCTTTGGAAGTTGCGGTTGAAACGCACACTATTGATGTCTTCAATGAGTATCCATGAATATATGATGCGCTGGGATATGTCAATCTTACATAGCTCGGGACAACCACGGTCAATACATGTTCTTAAGCAAAAAGGCTCCCCGATCCATATCATAGGTTTATGATGTTTTATGAAATCCATTTAATCCATCCTGAACATCTGGACTAAAAACTTACAGATTTCTTTTTTGTATAGTTGGTCGTGTCAACCCCCTGAAAAATATGCTCGTCATTGGGGATCATCATCCCATTTTGGAAATGGAAAATAACAGGTATTTCAAACAAACCGCCAAACTCTATTTTTCAGCACTTGAAAAAAGCACGTTTAAAGTATAGTCACTATATCCCAATTTTTTCATGGCAAATCGCTCAATCCACAATTCTTCATACAAAAATCCACACAAAAATCCATATCAATCCAGCATTTTGACTGGGTAAAACAGTGTTTCACCCCGCGATGTTTGGCCGTTTCACTCCTGAGGAGTGGTCGCGCTTCTGGAGGTGTGTGGCGCGTCCGCCTCGCCGTCCCCGGAGTCGCGTTTCCGCGGGGACTCCGTGGAAGCGCGGGGATGCCTCAGGGACTGCCAAAATGGTGGGCGTCCCATGAGTTTCCCCATGGAAAAATGGTGGTTTGGCGTGGTTGAAGTAGCAACAATTGTGAAATTCAGCAACATGGATGGGTTTTCTTGAGATGTTTTTTTACCGTTTTACCCATTAAATATAGGGGATCTGTTAATGTTCCCATCATCCAATCCTAATATATTGAAAATACCGTATACTTTCTATAGTCTAGTCTGGTATAGATATAGCATAGTGTATATATATAATATAGTATAGATATAGATATAGTATAGATATACATAGTATAGATATAGTATAGATATAGTATAGATATAGTATGTTAATACAGTATAATATAGTATGTATATAGTATTGTTGGTAATATGTACAGTACATAGTATATTGGTAAAATAATTAATTAGCATATAGAGTTTTTAGCTTGATCAATTCCCAGCAGATTCCCAACAGATTGTTGATAGATACTGATAAATAGAGGTAGGTACTGTTTTATTTATAGATTGATTGACTGACAAGAACGCATACTAGACAAATAATGACAAATATACATATATAAGTTATACCCTCTGGTTATTTAACATAGCCATGGGAAAATGGCCCATTTATTATAGATGGTTTACCTATTAAAAATGGTGATTGTCAATGGCTATGTTAAATAACCAGAGGGTAATGTTTTTGCACCAGGACCAGTAGTAAGTCCCCTGAACTGAGACCAAGTAAGACTTGATTGCGGGTCATCACCAAGTAGGAACCCTCCAGGCAACATCGCTCTGAATCATGGCTAACCTTACTGGTTAGCATACATGTTGCATACCCGACATGCACGTACAGAGACCAAAAGATGAAATAAATAAATCAATATGCTTATGTAGAAACATAATTAAGAGTACGCGTGCATCATATATGGTTACAAACACATACAGTATGTGCTTATTTAGAACATGTTGCAGGTTCTTCTGCTCCAAAAATGGTCCCAAACTACGGTTCACACTTCACCGTGCGAAATCTGACGGTTCCGTTTCAAAACAGCACTGCCAGGCCTCTCCGAACTCACGTCGTTCTGAAATGAGCTCAATCCGGCAAGCTTCAAAACGTCGCGCCGAAAAGTAAAGACTTCCTGGTCCCGGCGGTGGCTGGTCACCGAAAACTCCTGTTTCCACCTATCAAACAAGATGTCAATTCGCCAGTTGGGATTGGGCCCATTGAAAATGAACAAATTGAAGCCAATAACCAGCATACTTGATCATACTTGTCAGGCATGGGCTGCAGCGGTAAACAGACAATAGACATATAGTGACCCTCCCAAACACAAACATCACAAACCCAACATATCAGAAAACCACCCGTGTTATAGCCCTTCAACAAGCCCCAAAGATCGCTCAAAAACGCCCAGCATCAGTGGCGCGCGCATCAGTCGCTCCAGCGTCCCTCAGTTGGTGCGTGCGCTCCGTCCGCCGCATGGCACAGCGCCGCTACGCCGCGACACACAGTGGCACCGCCATAACCGCCACCCGCGGCAGGCAGGGCCAGCGGCTGCGTCACAGAAAAATCCAAGGGGAAGGATATGGAAGGATGGAAACATACCACAGAAAAATGGAAGGGGAAGGATGGAAACATACCACAACCAACAGAATGTGTGAGCTGGATGTGGCTTGTCCTTTCTATTTGTGAATGTTGAGGCCCACCGCAGTTTATTTCGCAAGCGCCAATGCCAACGACTGAATTTGCATCAGGATTCGAAACTGGCATAGCCACCTCCATCACCTGCAAAGAAAATGTCCACGTAGAATCGTCAACCACCTGGGACATCTCTGAGTTCCCCAACTGACCAAAGCCGGCATGATCAATTGCGGCCATTTTGGACATTTTAGGGCGCACTGTCACCTTGGCCTTCTTGAAAGCTGGACGTGTGACTCTCGTGAGGCCTTCCTAGTAAGAAATACCATGAAATACCCAGATCCGGTAGAGAATGTCGTTTGGCTCAGTTGTTCAATCGATTTCAAGCAGAGTTCAAGCCTTGAGCCATCAGAAACATCCGCATAAAAAGGGCGTTCAACATCTGAGAGCAGCTCCAACGTGCGCATAACACTTGCAGTAACACCTTTGCCGAGTTCAGTCCCAGTCTAGCAAGTTGCTCCAATATAATCGTGTGTCTGAAAATGTCGTGTACCCCTTTTTACCCAATGGTTTTGCTGATCATTATCCCGTTTTTAAATGGCTATTTCATTGGGAATATACCCAACATTTTCAGACAAACCCATATTTCATTGGGAATATTCCCAATTATAGCCATTTAATAGGGATAATGATCAGCAAAACCATTGGGTTTAGGGGTACCCCATTTTCAGACAAACCCATATAATCGTGTTCCAATCTGGAAAACCTCCACGATCCACCTGTGGTTTGTGGCCCTATGCCTGAACAAGCTTCCGTCGAAATTTCGCTACACTTTGACAATGCCACTGGGCCACTGGAGACCATTAAACAATACCCTCTGGTAATTTAACATAGCTATTGAAAATGACCATTTATAGTGGATTTTCCCATTGAAAATGGTGATTTTCCATAGTTATGTTAGTTTACCAGAGGGTAGATTCGGCTTAGAATATATTGCCCCAATGAGCTCCACACAAACTTTTTGAACCGCAGGTTGACCAATGTATATGCTACATACCTCTCCCAAAGGCGGCGTTAGTATTTCTGAAAGACAAGTTCAAAATCAATTCAAGTCATCCATATTTGCGACATAAAACTCTGGTACATCTGGAAGGGTGACTACGTATGTATAACATTGTATAACAACTCTATGGCAACCACATTGGGCAGAAACCTTTCAGGCTGGCCTTGGAAATAGGCAGTTGAAGTGAATCGGGGATTCACTTCAGGTCTAAGTAGCCGCTCCGGAAAAACAGGAAGCTGAAAGCATAACTTCAACCCGGCAAGTGTCATTGAGGTCCAACAAAAAAGACGATCACCCTTGGGGGAAGGGATTAATCGCCATATCATATTGTTGATATATGTTGATTGTATATTCCATTCTACCCCCATAAAAACACCCACATGTTTTGTCAAATCTCCATTTCTATGGAAAATCATCCCATTGGCAATGGTAGTATCCCATGATATCACCATAAAACTCACAAGAATCCCAATAAAACCATATAAAACCGATGAAATTTACCATTTTTCCATGGCAAATCACCCATATCTGCCTTGCCACCGGCCGCCTTTTTGTTCCAAGCCATTTGGCTCCTGACGCACCGCAGAGCTAACAGAGGCTTCACTGATCGGCCTGGCCGGACAAGGGTGAGGTGACAAGCCTGGAGAAGGGGGAAGTTATTATATGTCCATACACTGGACTGCATGTGTGTGTAATTGTGTGTAATTGTGTGTGTGCACGTGCGTATGGTGTTCAATCTTACTTATCTATTTATTTGTTCATTGAAGTGTTCAAATTCTGTACATCTACAAATATCGTTGCTGAACCTCCTCCAGAGGGGCGAAAAAAGAAACGCCTCTGCGCCGTGGACCAGGTGCGTTGCATCTCTCGCAAGGTCGCGTGAATGAGATCCTGCCAAGATCCACTTCCACTGGATTGGTCAGAGCTAAAAATGTTTTGGCCTGATCCATCCTGATCCATGATTTTGGTGGAAAGGTAGCAATGGGTTTGCCATGGTTTGCCGCAACATATCTCTCTGGTCCAAAAAATGGAGGATTTCTAGCAAGTCACTCCGGAATTTTGGAAGTATCCCTCCATTAATCCAACTGCTTCGAAAGAAGCTGATGGGTTTGGTACATCCCCAAGTTGCCGATGCGCCGGAGATAGCAACGCATCCAGTTTTAAGGTGAAGAAAACATGGGACAATCCCTGTCCAAAATCTGTGGCTTTGGCTCCATGTCTGCTTCAATTTAGTGGCAGCATACCCATTATATATATCACAACAGAAAATTTGAATGTAATAAATAAAAATAATAATATATTACACACATATATATAATCTTAGAAGTATCTATTATAGATTTGATCTATTTGGGCGTCGCCCTGCTTGTCTACCATAGATCCACGCATGGCTTGTCTCAAGATAGCAATTTGAATGTGAAAAATAATGGTAAACCCAAAAACCATTGGATTAAGGCAAAGAAAGAGAAAACCAGGGAAAAAAAGGCTTCCAAACACTGTGAGGCATATTTATTTAAAAAAAAAAAACGGAGATTTGTTCTTTTCCACCCAGGGACCCAAAAACTATGGATTGCTGGATAAACATGATCCCAAATCACAGCCCGTCTTCATTTCTCCCCAGGTCCAGGTTACGGCAGACTCGCAATAGCACCTCCCGGCGGTGTCTTGGGTCCTGCCAGCATGGCGCTGCCTGAATTGAATGATTCTTGAAATCGGATTATAATGGAGGAAATTTCGCACAATATAAATAATATAAATCTATATAAATCTACCCATCATTTGAAGTTTGTCGTGGCATCGGTGTGTTATATATAAAATTTAATGTGCACATATTAGGTAAATTAAACATAATTCTAACATATTATAACTTGTGACAATAATAAGTCCGGGCAGAATGACCTGCAGGTATGGCACTTGGGGACCTGGTGGTTCTAGAAAATATCTTCTCAATTTTGTGGATGCTCCTGGCCCCAGTCGAGACTCTTGAAAAGATTGGACGAGCACCAGCCACAAAAGAAAAACACGCTTCCAGCAAATGATCTTCCAGGACCCTTGGTTTTCTAGGTTCCATTTGATTCCATGTTACGCGTTGCAGATGGGCATCATCATCATCATCATCATCATCATCATCATCCATCAAGAACATCAAGAGCATCAAGAACATCAAACAAATCTATAAGAATCCCTAAAAACATGTTGTTTAAAAAAAAAAAAACTGAACCTTTCAGGCTCCCCATCAGAACTCTCCTGGATCCGGAGGCCAAGCGTTCGCTGCGCAGCGGTGTCCCTGCACTTGGACTGGTGATGAGGTTTCATTTCTAGTCGTTGGTGCTTAAGAAGCCTTGAGATGTCATAAGCCCATAAGCCATTAAGCCCTCAGCCATGCCCTTATTTTGGGATATTTGTGGGGGAACCACGTTTGACGGAGCTGGTTGTAATGATGTTCTCTTGTGCCACTGCTCTCAGGGACATGCAGTCATGATATGTCATGATCGTCATGGAATCTCTGAAAGGAAGTGGCAGAAGTGATGCCAACCTCAACATCCAAGTAGTTCTCCCTGTGCTCTCCATGGTTTTTTTTTCCGCTCAGGACACTTTGGCTGAGCCCTTCAGCAAACCCACCGGCAGGACCAGCGTAGGCTCCATCCTCTCCAACGCTAAAACGCCGTGGTCACCGGCGCAAAGGGAAAGCCCCGCCAGGCCGAAGAAGGTGTGGAACGGGTCCTGGGTTCCACAAGATCACCTTGAAATGGCCAGGATATGCCCGGGTGATGATGATAAAAGCCGCCCCTAACCCCTAAGATTGAACAAGAAAAAAAGTGGGATGACATGGGATGACGCAGCTATGAGATCGATGAGTCGCTGCGTCAAAGGCCCCTCTGTATAGCTTGAATTCCCCACTAGATCCTGATGGACACTAGTGGATCAGTCCGTTTTGGGCTCACATATGGGGGTGGGTCGCAACCCTACCAGGCTGGAGAACACCCAAAAAACGCAAAGATGGTTCCAGAGGTCTTGCCGCATTCCCATCCCCCGTTTGGGCAGGTTGAATCCCCATTGTGCTGGTTACAGTAAATCCCCAACTTTTGGTACGTTTACAGTCCACTTCTGTTGGTTTAATTTAACCCATGTAGAGGGGGAAGCCTCGTCATGGCTCGTCCCATGAAGGGATCCTGACGGCGCTGAAGCGCCGTGGCATCTCAAGGAGCATCTCCACATGTCTAAGTTTACATGCCCTCCCACCCCCAAAAAAATCCAACATTACTCCATTTATCGTTGAAGGTTAAAGCATTCTATACCTCGTCATGACCTCAACCAAAATTTCACCCATGCCAGTCCAACCCCTTCCGGCAGCCATCTGCGAAGTGTCCGGATCATCTTCAGGATGTGGCCCGATGCCACCTGACACCAGGCCCTTCACCCCAAGCGACTCCCGCCAAAATCAGTCATTGTGGGACCCAAAAATCTCCGGTAAACATCTGACAGAATCTGACACATCGGGTCCCCATCGTGTCAGCTTCAGCCCTGGGCCTTGGTCAGCCATGCAGAGGTGGACGAATTTCTGCAGGGCGTTCAGGTCGAAGATGTCGCTGAGGCGGCTGTCCACCAGTGATTCAGCCAGCTGAGCAGCTGCTAGGGTCCACCAGGTGTAGCAAACATCGGGCCTCGGAGCCCCAAAAAAAAACAAAGCCTGGAGGAAATCATAGAAATTCATCAGGCAGGACATGTCGTGACACGTTGCATCATGTTGCTCGGGTGCGCCCCATGGGGCACCTTCAACTCCACTGTCGTTACCTATCACTGGGTGTTCCTGACCTTAATCCTTTATCACTACGACACAACACCCCCAAATAAACCGCCCGTGTTGACCATGACATCTGGACACAGTATATCCCCATCATATCATTGTTATATTACCATTACCATTATAATATCACACAAATTTCCCAGGTTAAATCACCATTTTGCATGATTTTGCATGGTAAATCTCCATTTCCCTCACTTCAATGCTATTACCCTCTGGTAATTTAACATAGCTATTGAAAATGGTCATTTATAGTGGATTTTCCCATTAAAAATGGTGATTTTTCGTAGTTATGTTAGTTTACCAGAGGGATCCAGAGGGTATGTCTGGTGAAAATCACCATTTTCAATCCATTTTCCCATATTGTTCCATCCGATTCTATCCCTTCACCCTGCCAAGTCGCTTCTTCCCGGGCCTTCCATTCATCCCGCCCTGGGGCGTCTGCCGCGCGGCCAGCCATCGCAGCAGCCGCCCGCGGCCGCGGTGACTCAAGCCGTCCAGGCGACCCAAAAGGCTCAGGGCAGCGAGGCAGCAAAAGGTGTGCCCTGCCTGAAGTGGTTCATACCCTCTGGTAAACTAACATAGCTATTGAAAATGGCCATTTATAGATATTTATAGTGGATTTTTCCCATTAAAAATTGTGATTTTCCATAGCTATGTTAAATTACCAGAGGGTAATGGTTCATACCTCCATGACTATAGCTGATCTTTGATTATCTTTGTGAGATAATTTGAGAAAATTGTTGAGCTTTCTTACCTAAGAAAATTGAAGAATGGATATTTCTAGCTGGGCCGCCTGTCATTTGTTGCTGCTATCAAATATGACAATGCTTCATTGCGTCCAGTATTGTCCGTGATGCCATTGCTTGGTGGAGAGAGTGGAGGGTGGCTGGACAAACAGTGCCTGAGTAGGAAAATGGCATCCCTGTTTCAACATCTAAACTAGGCGAACGACGGACGTCCGCAAATGGGGGAGAACCTCTCAAATGCATCCAAATGCTGCCATTCACCATCCAATTTCACGCCATTTGATGGGCTGATATATTTGAATCAACTTCACGACCGGCCGGGCCGGGAAGTTATATAATTGAAAGCAATTCCCACTGGTTTCGCCCTGGTGATTCCTGGTGACGTGGCATGTGTGCCCAAGGTACATGCGATTCACACTCTCTAGGCCGACAGCCGAATCCGCCATCGAGGTTTTGACATTGCAACAACCAGTCGGCCGTGGCCTGGGTGGCCCGGGATCGCTCATGAAGCCTTGAAGTGATGCCTTCGCTGTCCTCCATCCCAGGATCCAACCCAACCTGATTCGATGATATTCGATGATCATCCCAGGGACCGACGGAAGTAAAACGTGCATGGGCATGGGTGAATATCCGCATGCTTTGTTGGATGTATCATGGTGTACCCATGGTGTATCCATTGTGTACCCCCATATCGTCCTCATGTCCGGCACCAACTCTCCCCCACCCGAGCGACTGCATGGGCATCGCACAGCTCCGAGTCGTCGGGGTGCTCCGCATCGCTGCCTCCCAGTTGCTTCAGCAACGTCATCGCACACAGCGCGGCAAAGGTGAAGCGGCAATCGCCCTTACGGAGGCTCGGCTACGAAACCAGGAGATGGATGGAAATGGCATAGATGGGTATGGTAGTATAGCATGGCTTAAACTTTTGATTATCTCATTACTAGTAGCATTCATTAGCTCGTTTTCTTATAGGGTGAAAGATTGGAAGGTTCTATGCGCATTTTGGAGGTTCCTTATTAAAGGCTGTGTCAGTCTTGTTGAGGATGGAACCGAAACCCAATTGTTGGCTGGTTAAGTACTCAACTCTTGTTGCGTAACACTCAGATATGATGGGTGGGTTTGCCCAAAAATTGATAAACATGCAGTCAAAATCATCATTTTCTTATCATAACTATGAAGCTTACCATTGGGGGGGCTAATGGGTGCTATATCCTATACCGATACCCATTCTATACCCTGCCAGCCACCTTGCACCATCCGCATCCGCATCCCCAGCGCCTGAGACTCTCCCGCCCCGCGAAATGGGGTGAAGGACCCGTCTGGCAGCTGCAGCGAACGAATCTGGGCGATGTGATGTGCGATGTGGTGGTCCCTAGGGGTGAGCTTTTCGTGGGATAAATGGGAAGCTCATCTAAATCCTCAGCTAAAATGCTAATTGCATAGCTACAAATCCAGTTCAGAAGAAATCCATAGAAATCCCGCAAAAATGCGGATGTTCAAGTGGCTTTACCAACAAACATGATGTGATATGATGTGCTAGTATGATTTAACATGCGAAAAAAATGAAGTTGATCAACAAAAAATGCGACTTACAGTAACCAACAATAAACATCGATTAGGGAAATCCTGGCCTTTAACTGGAACTATTGGAAACTCTCTACTACAACAAGTGGAAACAATGGCAGGTGTTCATTGCCTGGATGAAGAGGACGCAATAAAATCATAGAAAATCGAAAATTGAAAAAAAAATGATTAAAAAAATGATTTGAAAAGCATCAAAGTTAATAAAGCCTTCCACTTGTAGCGCCCAAGATTTCGTCCAAAGAACATATGCCGCCACCTTTGATACCTCGAGCAGCTCCGGCTCCCCCAGCAGCACTGCCAGCTGCACCGCAGACACCGTGGACAGCAGCTCTTCCCGCTGGGCTGGGTGTGGCGCGAAGGCGCCACTGGCGCCACGGCAGGAGGCGATGAAGGTTAGAATGCGCTGACCTCGAAGCTAAACGTCCCAATCAAAATGGGGTGGTTTGAATTTGTTTTAACATGTTTTAACGTTTAAGAGAGAAAATCAGGAGAAAATCAAGAGGAATCCAAGAACACATAAATGGGATAGAATGGGGATATAAATGATATAATAAATTATGTTGACATCTCACAAATGGGATGGTCAATGCCAAAGCGGAAATATGTGTCCGAAGGCCTGCAACCGAGCGGCGGCGCTCTGAGTCCACTTCGTGCCCCAACAAGGCATAGGAGCAGCAAATCCAATAGATAGCACTCAACAATGACGTCTCCGCCACACAGGCGGCTAATAGTTTTTTGGCCTGCACGCTGCGCCAAAATCTGACCCAAAATCTGACTGGTCAGATTTGGATCGATTGGAAGTCTCAAGCATCCTCAAACCATCATTTGGGTCTCCCTATGTTTGGATTTGTTTGGAACTTCGTGAAAGTGTCCATGTCAGTTGTTGAACTTCAGGGCAGAGTCAGTTGGGTCTCAGAGGTATCCCAACGCTCCCTTCGATGCGAGCCTTGTCGGCGCCCAGGCCTGGAAGTAAGGCATCTCTACCCACTTTCTCCAGGTCGTCTTTGAGGTCATCCTCTAATGGTTTTTTTGGGGGCTGGAGTGGCTTGGGGACATCCAATTTTCGGGCCAAATTGAGACCAAACCTTGACCTAGACATTGGACCAATTGGATTTGGATGGATGAGGCTCCAAATGTTGGATCGGAATGGGCCGGAATTTCGACCACTGTATTTTTGCACGCTGGTCGAGGGAACTCAGGGGTGCAGAAAATGGACAAGTGGAAAGTGAGGGGTGCACCCTTCAATCCGAGCATCTATCTTTTTAAGGCTCTTGAATCCAGACGACAAGAAGAGATCCAGAAACTTCAAATGTGAAGCCGCGCACTCCGGCATGGCAAGGCTTGGAGGGTGCCGGGTTGGATCACTAGCCTTTCAATCGGGCAAGAAACCACATGAAACCACAATAGCTTGGCCCTTTGCTGAAGGGGCGGTTGGGCAGTACTTCTCCAACTTCCATACTATTCCCCTAAATCATGCTGATTGTTCTGTCCGACTCTGATTCTGTCGATTCTGTCCTTAACATGCCACAAGTCCACAACTAACTTTGAGCCAGGGCTTTGCAGTCCAAAAACTGTCGACTTTCGACCCCAAGGCCCCCCAGGAAGGTGCTGAATCTCCAAATCCAGAAGTGGTTCAGACGAAAAGTTGGTGAACTTATAGGGACATTTGTCTTCTACAGGGATTTGGAAGTATTTGAAGTGGTATAGACGGTATAGGTGATGGCAAACTGGTAAACCGTTGTTTCCTGTGGGTCTTCTCTTGAATCACCCCAGTGGTCCAAAGGTTGGGATTTGGATGGATTTGGCGTGACCAGAAACAGGAACTAGGAAAGAGTCAATTGCCCTATCTTCTGGAGGAAAAATACTCTTGAACCAAACTTGAGTGCGCAGATCATGGTATCGGCGATACTAAAGTCCATCTTCAATTTCTGATCAAACGGGCATCTTGCTCGGAACCAAACCAGGCACGCTTCGACAATTTTCAAGTACCCAAGGAGATGTCAGAACCAGATTCTGGGATAGATGTACGACCTTGGTAACTGATGGTAACTGGGGATCATTCCACCAAAACATCTTGGCTTTCCGGGCCTCGGCTCGTCATCCATCGCAGATACTCGGTAGCAATTCTTGCATCTAATTCCAGGTCAAAGGATTCCAACAGAACCTCAATGTTCAAAAAATTGGGGTTGGAAGGAACGTATTCCACGTGGGGTTTGGGCTATGTTCGAGCTCCATGTCAAATCTTGGGGGCGAATGTCCGGACTTAAAATCAGTGCGCCAGCATGCATTTTGTTTGTCCCAGTTCTGCAATGTGGACTGGTATTCAACATATTCGCAATATCTGTTCAATTGTTCTGAAGCTCTAGTTTTGTATAGATATGTTGTTTTGCATCTTCTGTGTAGCAGTGTGTGATTCGAGATGCTCGGTGCTTTTAAACACAAGATTGACTGTTCTTCTACTGTGATATCTTGAAAACAGCTGCGGCAACAGTTCAACACAGCACTTAGCCATAGAGAATGATCAAGACAAACATGAAGACAAACATGAAGACATATTGATGGAACGGGCCATCCTTTCCACAAAAGCCCAACCATTTCAAGAAAAACAACTGGTTGGTCCAGTATGACGTGAAAATCCCAAAAGAAAAAAACAGAGGGAGGAGACAAGGAAAGCTATTCTTGAGCCCCAAAAGGGAAGGGGAAAAAAGGGGAAAAAGACATTCTTCTTGTTCTTAGCTTGTGGGTATAGATCCATATACATCCCCGTACATCCCAATGTGTGGCTAATCATAAGTCCCATAAAACTATCAAAGTTTGCCCAGTTTGGAAACCGCCTGTTGGAAGCTGTCGCCGGTCCCCGCAGCTTTTCCCTTCACCACAGCCGCTCTCTTTGGACCCACCTGGCAGTAGATCTGCGGCGGAACACCGACGTGCTGGCGGCCTGCAGGTGGCTTGTGGATGCTTGTGGACAGTGGTTTCCGGAAGGATTAGGACATCAAACTGATAAAACCACAGTAAGATTTTCAGGCACTTAGAAGACTTAGAAGTTACTAGAAATTACTAGAAGTTCCAGGTTATTGAATGGTTCCAATCTCATGACGTTTAGGACTCAATGCCAACCCGCAGGTCTGCGACCAGGTCATGGAACCTCAGAAACTTCACATACGATTTTGAAAATTAACATCACTATGACAATTTGTAAAGTTATCTTATTATCTGATTCTATGTGGATATGTTCAATGATTAATGATCATTATCATGATGATGTTCACAGTAGTGAATATGATGTGTAATTATAATGTTATCTGATCTGTTATCTGTTGCATTCTTTTGACATGTATGTAGCATCCAAAACCGCAGCTGACCTTGCGACCGGCCAGGCTTGCCATCAGTGCCTCCTACTTCTGCAGCCGCACCAGCGCATCGCTGTCGCTGAGAAATTCCTGCCGGGCAACCATTTCCCCGAAGCCCCATTGGCTTTCTGAAGATGCTGTTACACTCACTAAATTGAACGTGAAACGCAAAAAATGCCAGCTCATATTTGGGAAAATCATCTTCCGGACCTCTTTTCGAGGTTCCAAGTACAAATTATCTAACATCAACGATGTCATTGTTTGACCAGGTTGGTATGATATGGCTAGTTGTATTTACATATACATATATATATACACGTATATATCAATATCACATATCCAAATAAAATATACACATATTATATACATTTATCTATCATATATACATCTATCATATATATATATATATTATATACGGTATATATAACATAAATAATACCATTACATCCCTATGATATCCCCCATGGTTAAACATAGCTCCAGCTCCTCCGGCAGCGCCGCCAGCGCCAGGAGCTCCAGGACCTCGGCGGTTTCGGCCGCTTCCTTGGCGTTGCCGCCCCCCTGGCGAAGCATGGCGAAGCAACGCAACGGAGGAGTTGTTTCATGTTTTTTTACTGGGAACATACATGGAATATCTGAATCTCTATGGAATATCCATAGAATCTGAAAAACATACATGGATATATCTGAATATCTATGGAATATCTATAGAATCATCTGACAAATTGTTGAAAAACATTGAAAGAGTATAGAGCTACATGGAAAATCATGGAAAATGATCTTAGTTTTCTGAGTTGAATATCTATAGAATCTGACTTTTGGGTGGAGCGTCGAATTCGCCTGCTGCTGGCGTCTCTGCACCATTTCCTCGGCCAATTGCCTCCAAGGCCTTGGGTCAACATGGAAGTTGGGACAACCCCAAGCAGCCATTTCCTCACATAAACATACATAATCTATATCATCTATCTATATATATATACATACACACACATATATATATAATATAATTATATAAAATTATATATATATATATGCAGACCAATGATACCCAATGACCACATATATGTCGGCATGTTTTCTCCTGTGCAGACACACATTGCACACGGTTCCTCTGCTTTAGTTCCCGGCGAGGGGTGAAAATTCAACCAATGGCTTGACCCACCTTTCCATAGCCTTATATCAAATTATATAATTATGGCACCAATGGAAATGTCATGAAATGTCCTATCATGTGGTTGGGAAATTCTCTCTTAGTAACTCCTTGGCTACTCACTTCTTTAAAGGGATTTTGGATACCAGCATAGCTCAGCATAGTTCAGCATAAGTCCTGAGCTCCCTCCACCATCCCAACGCCAAGGATCAAAGCACGTGAAGGCGCGCCCGCCAGTGCCTCCTCAGCTGCTCGGCGCCAGCCCGGCCAGCCCTGGCTGGGGGAGGGAGAAAATCTTCGGAAACTTGGTATGGCGTTTGTCTGACAATTTTGGGACAACGACCTCTAAAATCTGCTGGTTCTGCTGGTAACTGTTAATCTTCATGTTCCCTTCTGGAAAGGGCTAGTTGATTGGTTAATACCTCACTTTCAAACAAACCAATACGTTGAAACATATGAGAAACTTCCTTACGGTGCCGGTGAAGATGGTGTTGTTGATACTAGAAAAATGATCTTGGTTGTGGAGTGTACCTTAGGTATATGTATGTGTTCGGAAAATGTTTCCCTATTTCCTGGCAGGGTTCCTCACAGATCCTCACAGCATATTCTGGTCGTCTATGAACCGGAAATTCATGGAACATAGAACTCAGGGAGTAGACCTAGATGATGTCGGACCTGCATTGTTAATCGGTCATTTTCTCCTTTGAAATTGCCATTTTACGGGCATACTCCATGTTCAGACACACCCATATGGTACAGTCATATGCAGTCGAGATGGCCAATATGGGGCGCCCCGTGCCTTTCCCTTCCACCTCTTGGCATTCTCCGCTGTCGACATGTCGGGTCTCTTTCGCTTGCTCTGCTCGGTGCCAGCAGCCACAGCAGGCGCATCGTCCGTGCCGTTGGAGAGACATGCCATTCCAATACCTGCTTAGCCAATCTTAGCCAATCTGATTGGTGGTTTCAATCCTAGTCAGTTGGGATCATCACTTTTTTGGGGGGTGGACAATCCCAGCTCAGTCCGTATCGCAGTTGCGGTGGGTGAGTTGCTCCAGCTCTCCGACCCGAGGTCAAGCCAGTTAGGTCAGGCTTAGTAGCAAACAAATATATGATACATGGCAAGTAACATGCACATAACTGCTGTAACTGCACTTGATAGTTCCGCACCGAGATAATCTTGAGACATAAACGAACATGAGCATAGCCATTTCCTCTTTTGCACAGTAATTCTTGAGAATTCGTGCCTGCATATCAAAACCCTGCACGTCATGCCTGCGTACTCAAAATGTCTTCCAGTCCCTTTCCAAAAAAAAAGAATGCTTGGCAATTCGGTCGACCCGAGAAAAAAAAACAGTTTCAGTTATCTTGAGGCTTGCAAACCATAATATCATAATATATCGTCAATGGAGGAAAAATACCATAACATACCATAATTAAATGGATATATGATGATATATATAGATACACGTATATAAAGGGCAAAAGTGAAGCAGCTAATGACATGATTTATCGCTTTCCCCCAAAATGCCGCACCTGGCACCATGGGCCGCACACAGACCAGCGCGGTGCGTTCGGGGAAGTGGATTCGCACCAGTTTCTGGGGACGCTGTGCCTGGCTGTTTCAAGTTCAAGGGAAGGTCAAGTAATTAGAAGTGGTAATGATGTATGATCCCTTCCCCCTAACATTAAACACACCTCAAAAACCAGGGTTTTGTTTGGGATATAACTGGATTTTATGGGATTTTGATGGGTATAAAAATATCTGTCATGACCCCTTGAAAAGATAGAAAGTAGAATTATGTTGTTCTATCTCTTGGGGGTTACTGCATTGCTGCATATATCATCATATATCTATCTATATATATAATATATATGTAATTGTGGTGAATGCTAACCTTTAGTACAAGCCACAAATGATACAAATGGTGCCCATGCTGGTCACCAGATGCCACCATCCCCAATGTCTTTTTGGTCGATCCATCGCTGTGGGCGTGCCGTATCCAGTTCGATGTTCTCGGCGGGCAGGGACAAGAAGGCTTTCTCGGCTGCCTGGCTCTGTGTTTTCTGGGACGAGTTTTGGGGTGACTTTGAAGATGATTCTTTGGATAACTTGGACTTGGGATGGATTGGAGATCATTCTGGATGATTTGGGGATGATTGTGATTATCGTTGATGAGTTGTTTTAGATCAACTTGAACAATGTCCAATGCAGACCCGGAATAGAACACAAATTCGAGCAGGACGGAAATCATTCTTTTTTGATCTTCAAAGCAGCGTATTGTAGAGCACTTGTTGCATAGCACATACACACCGGTATCATCTCGTATTCCACCTCCAGTGTAATAAAAGTGTTCTGGAACATCCTTCCGCCATCCATCGGCCATCCATCGGCAGGGCTGACCTCCTTGGTTTTGAAAAGGACCTCCGCACCACGCAGCCCTGCATTGACCATGGCAGAGGACATCATCTGGACACCTTCCATAGCACCCGACACCTGGGAATGAGAAGATCATCTCCAACCCATGTGCCAAACCTGTTCAAATGTATTTAACTGTTTCATTTTTTCGGATATGAAGGCACCAAGCAAACGATGTGAAGATTTGTAGGGTTTTTCCATGTTTTTCCCTTGTAAATTGGTGAGATGAATCCTACAAAGGGCCACTCAAAAGCCATCGTTTCGACACCTCCACAGGCAGGGCGGCCCAAAGCCGCGTCAAAGCGCCGAAGGCATCGTCGCGCTGGGGGATGCGGTGGATGTATAGCTTCCTCCATTTTTTGGGGAGGACAAGGATCCCAACGTTGATGTTGAAGGACGTTGATAATATGATTATATAATACATATATATATATTATATTATATTATATATTATATTATATATATATATATTATATATACATATATATTATATTATATATATGTGTGTGTGTGAATGTTTTGTTTGTTGTAGGATAAATTCTCTTGAGGATGCTCCCGTGGACCTCAGAGAATGTGCTTCTCATAGGATGTTCAAGGAACAACTATGGAAGAATTATGCGTACATATATGCTTATATTACATGTGTGCTTGTTTATTTATATTTATAATTATAATTGTGCAAGAAAACTACCCTCATTTCATTGGTCAATGACCAATGTTTGGTTGCTTAATTTTACTAACACAATATAATCATTGTTTTTGCTGGTTCATATCCCTGCTTTCGATTGGTTTATGAGCCCTCCATCATTTAGGATATTGTTGGTTATACAAGTTATATCCTGCATCCCATTGCACCTCTGTTGATCACCGTTTCTCCTATAGTTAAATCATATTAAATCCTCGTTTCCAGATGGAAAATCCCCTATGGTTTCAACAAAAATGGCTGAAACCATCGGAAACCTGGAGACCTCCTGTGCAAAAACACTCGAGTCCTCATCGTCTCCTCCACCTGCGCAGAAGGTGTTGGAGCCGTGACGAAGACGGTGGCAGGCGCGCCCTGCTCGCTGCCGTCGCGCAGGCGCCGCAGTGCCTGGGGATCTTCGGAAATTCAAGCTGGGTGGCTGGAAGGTCACTACAATTATGATAGGATGGGGAGATGTTTTAGATGATTTTAGATGATTTTTAGATGACTTTTAGATGATTTTTAGATGATTTTAGATAGACTATCGTGGATGAATGATGTTGAATGATGTTGAATGATGTTGAATGATGTTGAATGATGGATGAAACATGATGAAACTCGTGATTCTCTGGCCGGGTTGGATTGCTGAATGCTATCCACCCTGTGTTATTCAGGTGGATGTTGATGGATATTCCTCCAACCAGTGATGCCTGCTAGCTATAAGTCATAACAGTTATACCCCCAGCCCTAAGGTCAACACCAGCTCCAGGCAGGGGACCGATGTGTCCGCGTGTGAAAGTACCACCAACCATCAACCGCGACCCATCCCAGCCAATCCAACCCATTCCAAATCCACACTACTTCCCCTCTCAAACATGAACACAAAGCAACTGCAGTATCCATTCATTCCGTCCCTCTCAAAACCCATTCCGAAACACACATCCCAACCCAATATCCAATTTTCCTACATCCTCCAACTCAATCCATCCCCAACCCACACCCACCCCTCCCACCCTAAATCATAGTAAATCAATGTAAATCATGGAAAATCGAACCAACCCCGAACCCCTAACCCCAACCCCATCCAAGTGGCGATCTCCATAGTCACCTGGACATCCTGCACGCAGTCGTGCACATCCCCGCCATCCGCGCCACGAAAGTTGGGCCGGCCCAAGACCTCTTGGACCAGATGCGCCAGCGCCTGGGTCATGGGAATCCTCAAATCCCAGGATATCCTAGGCATATGCGGCAGATGTTAATGTAAATACTGGTTAAAAATAAATCAAACCATGGTTTTATTCATCATGATTCATCCCATCTGTATGGATTATCACCGCAAATGGATGGTTAATAATGAGTAAGATCCAAATCATGGATTAGTTGATGGCTAAATGATGGTTAATTTCCCCATTGACTATCATTAATCTTCTAGGTAACCTCTGGTACAGTAAATTGTCAGTTTGAGAACTGGAAAATCACCATGTTCAACAGGTAAATCATCAAACTGAATGGGTCATTCTCCATAGCTATGTCAAATTAATCCTTAACAGATTGATGAGCATCCCCGGGTGCAACTGAAACGTTGAAAATGTTTTGGAACTCATCACATTTGCTTCGGAGATTCAACCATCGCGGCTAGAGTGGGCAAAGCAATTCACCTCTTATCTCTTGGTAACAAGTTGCTGGCCTCAGTACATTGTGCCTAGAAATAGAGTTGAGTCCCCGAATATCTCATGGTAGAATCTGGTAGTAACATCATATCTTCCGTTGAAATTGCTATATTTTTTATGGGTAATCCCCCCACAAAATATACGACAAACCACTGGCAAGCTCACAGACCATGTGCCATGTCCACTCCGATTTCCATCAAGACTCCGGTCGCCGTTTGGGTTGTCCCTGGATGCCATACCTCACCAAAAACATGGGGGTATATACCCTCTGGTTATTTAACATAGCCATGGTATAGATGGCCCATTTATAGTGAGTTGTCCCATTGAAAATGGTGATTTTCCATGGCTATGTTAAATAACCAGATGGTATATCAAGTGTGCTATTGAAATGGGTGGCAACCCCCACCAAAAGGATAGTAAAGAAAAATCATGTCCTTGGCCATCTCGTGCAATCAATCACGCAACATCATCGAGCATCCATAGAACTGCACTGCTACCTTTCAAATCTCAGCAATCGCGCGATTTACAAATCTGTCTGTCTATCCATCTCTCACGCGCTCATGCGTTTCAGAAAGTCACAGGGATGGATGCATTTTCTCAGGAACCTAGCTGCATATGCAGCCCACTTGTTCATGTATGCATTTGCAATAAATGGTTCGCTTGATTTACCAATCTTCACATTGTTCCAGTTATCAGCAGCTCCCATCCTTTACGTCAGCTCCAATCCTTTACGTCAGCTCCAAGCTACAACAGGCTGATGTCGAAGACCAGCAAGGCATCCATGCGCAAGGCAGACAGGTCGCGGTGGAAGGTGTGCCCGACCAAAACCTCGGCGGCGACTCTCGGGAAAAAGGTGGGGGCCCAGGCACATGTGGTAAACCATGGTAAACCGTAACCCAATACCAGAAACCATCCCAAAAATCACTATCAAGGGGAGCATAAACTATAAACCATCCCCAAATGGTAAGTTTCTTATCGGGTTGCCCACATTAGTAGCTTCGAGTTTCTGCAGTTTGCGATGACATGTACGGGACATTACAAGACATTTAAAATTCAGGATGTTGCCCCATACTTCCCACTTTTCGTCGACACTTCCTCCGAAAAAGCGAAGGACCTCATCAATAGAGGATCGGCCTTTAAAGTGAACGCAGCTCCTCTACCTACTGGCGAAGTTTCTTCGGGAAGATCAAAAAAAGGTGGCAAGTGATTGAGCCTGCTTTGGGTACGAATCCACAGGATCAACTCAAAAAAGTGGATTTGAATGACGATTGTTACTTTTATTATACAAATGATCAATTTTATGGGCCCCTTGAAGCCTTGGCACCCCACTGACCCATAGCCACTTTTTGCACCCCTGCCATCCGCCCAGACGCAGTGTTTGGTCCAATCAGCTTCCTCAGCTCAGCCTAGCAGCAGACTGGAAGGCTAGAACACCGGACACATTTTGTGTTCCATGTAGTTTTCTGACCGACTGATCAACGATAGATAAGTTGGTGTTTCTGGAAGATATTGGATCTTCAAATTCAACACTCAATAACAAATATCCACTCTCTGTGGTAGTTACTACCATGGATCTGGGGAAAAAAAAACTTCAATAGGTAAATCATCTACAACATCTACAACAGACCATGTTCCATAGCTGTGTTAGTTTGCCAAAGGTTATGTTTGAGTTTGGGTATGTCATCATGTCATCCCTGCAGGCCCTGCAGGCCAGGGGAAACCTGCGCATCGGACAAGTGAAAGTCCAAGTTGTCCAGGTCTTTGGATTCCTCAGCCCAGTCAGCCCATCTGTGGACGGTATGGACCTAAAATTCCAGGCTTTTGGGAGAATGATTATTTAACTATTTGAAGTGGGATTCCAACCTTTTTTTTTAACCAAACATCGAAATATTTCGAGGCAACTGGGATTTCGATCCCGCTTTGGGTTGGGTTTGTTGTACGGAAGCTTTGCGGTGAACTCGGGAATCCATGTTTGAAACCCCTTTTTGTTGACACATCCAGACATCGGGGTCTGTATGGTTTGCTTGAAACCTATAGAATTATAAACTATAAACCTCCCATGACCAAAAATTTATCTAGAAACTTCTGGCATAGAATTATAGAATATTTTCTTTCCAGGGATGAACAATGACAAAATCCACCGAGGAACTCGCTCCAATTTTGGAGCCTTTCAATCCAACCCATTTCTGGTCATTGGGAATAATATTCTGGGGGTATTACCACATTACTATGAATGATCCATCATTTGTGCATCAATTCTCCATTCATCATCAAATTCATCCATTCCACCCTTACCACAGTGGACCACCACCCATTACTGGTACTGTAGACCTGTGTGCTCGAATCCCCATGGATGGCCCCAGCATCTATCCCCGTGATGGCCGTGCGCGCATCGGTGATCTTTCCCTCCGGCTTCACTAACCTAGCGGCATAAAATCCATGGGAAGACTTCACCAGCCACCAATTCAATGACACTTGTGATACCCTCTGGCAATCAGTCACTGGAAAATGAGCAACCTGGACCTCCATGTAGTTGGGGATTTCCCGCCATGTTTCATTGCCAGAGAGTATGACCACAGAAGGGTAGAGGTTCTATACAAAGCTTTACGCTCAACCTGCAAAACCATCCATAATCCAAAAAAAAGGCAAATATGACAACTATATAATTATATACAATACAACTATCAGAAAATATCACAACCCGTTTCCCATCCCCATCCCCTTCGCAATGTGCCTATCCATCAACACCTTCCCCGCAGCATCGCACGCGCAGACCCGCGCCAGCGCGTTGTCGTCGTCCTCCGTCGCGACCATCTCGCAGTCCACTGCCAGCAGAAGATCCTGGCGCTGTCACTGGGGCGGCTGTGGCGACATCATGCGTTTCACAACACAGTGTTTGAAAAAGTGTGGCTGTGGGATTTTTGAAAGGATGGAGCTACTAATAATAATGATGATAATAATAATAATAATTGTAATAATAATAATTATAATAATGATAATGATATTTAAAAAGAAATGATCAATGATATCGCAAGAATGGCAACAATAACGAAGAAGCGTTTCCCTTGATTCGAACTGTCAACTAACCTATGGATGTCCGCAACCACTTTTTATTCGTGACAGAAAACCCTAGTTCTGTAGAGTTGGGAGGCGTACAATCGTGATTGCCCACTTATGATGGAATGATCCTCCAAGTAGGTAGTGTCAAATAGGTCGAGGTTCAATAGAACCAACGTCAAATTCTGATCATGCGGTCTGCCTGAAGCTGGGGTATGCCGGGTATTCCCCCCTCTCATGGGTAAAGTGATACTACTGTTGAGGACCCCCTAGTTGCAAACAAACCCAAATATAAAGGTACAGGTACATTGGGTTTCGCCCCTGTTTTCTTCCCTGTGGCCCATGATGGGGCACATCAAAACAGAGAAGAGCGGGGGCCCATCAAGAACCCCAAGAATCTATTGCGAAAATGACTCCGGTACAGCGAGCCACAGACCGGAAGACAGGCGGGTTTGAGAGATTTTGAACGCCAATATCATACTGGGCATCCCTCTGCAAACAAGTATCCGGAGTGTGTTCTACCTGAAATTTACTGTATATAAATGACTTGTGTCCTGTACCGGGTCCTCCACATCAGCAATCGTCACTGCCTGGCAGTCTGAAGGTCAGAGGATTGAAGGTCAAAGGATGGGAGAAACCCCTTGCCCCAACCAGCAACAAGCGTGATTTCCAAGTTGTCTCAAGTAGACCGTGATATTGTATGAGCTCACCTTGGGTCCTAGGAATATTAGAAATGTTCGCCCCAAAATGAAACCTGGACGTAGCCTAGCACTTACCAACCGAACAGTTTCCGGATGGAAGATGGAAATCAAAGCCTGAAATCAATCCTTCAGAATCAAAATGGAACCCAACGACATCGCCAGAATATGCTTTTAGAGGGTTCCACCTTTGTACAATGGACTTTGCACCGTGGGTCCAGGAGCCTTCCGCTTTAGCCGGACAGCTTGGGAGGCGTGATAACATAAGCACCTGGTACGGCAGGCGATTTCAGTAGGCTTGTGGGGCACAGAGGGGCTGAAGGATCATCAGTCTGTGAAATGTATGAAGTTTGATCAATGTTGCATGTGTCCATGCATATGGCATACACAATTTCCTAATCATGTCCATCTAATTCTTATACTGTCTCATATCTACATAGTGCACTCCATTCAATCATGCCATTTCCCGCTGCAACACCCCCGGAAAGGCACGCGTAGGACGACCGAAACGACTGATGGTCCCTGGTCAACTTCAGCAGCCGCAACAGGGTCTGCTCCTTTGGTGAAGTACCTAGGCACGGTACTGTATCACTGGATTCCCTCCGCTGGCTGGTTTCAGCTCCTCACAAACATGGCACTCGATTAGTCAATCATCTGAACTCAGGGTGAAAACACACTTAAATTAATTTACTGTAGACTGTAGTATAGTTGATAGTATAATGGGTGTTTTGTCTATGAACCCAGCTCCCCCCAAAATGAAGTGGTTCCATATCAGAAATCAAATTCCTATCTATATCTCAAATAAGCGTGCGTCCACCATGTTTCAACCCATGGCCCCCTTGGCTGAGACACCCAGGGCGTCCTCCAGCTGCTGCAGCGCCTTATCCCGTTTCTCCGCGCTGCTGAGCACCAGCTCGGGCAGACCCCCGGAGACGTCCTCCAGAAAGCCCCGCAGGGTCTCCGGCTTGTGCCTGCCGAGCCAAGGCTGCCGTCAAGTGAGTCAAGGGTGGGGACTTTGAATGGATATCCCATAAACTGGAAATATGCCGAATATGATGACTATATATGACTATTGTCCTAGAAATTTCTTTGAAATTGCTTAAGAAATGTTTAACCTTCTTATAGCTGTGAGTGGCTGGAACTAGGCATAATCAACATCCCATATAATAAAAATGTAAAGTAAAGGGTATAGTTATACGTAGTTATACTTGGTCCAAGTACTGCTTAGTGACCCACCCAACTGTTCCTAGCTGTTCCAGCAGCCCCCAGCCATCCCCGGCCTGGCTGGGTCTCTCAACACTCCCAGCTTTCCCGTGGCGTTTTTGCCGAGCCATTGGTCCCACTGCAGGCCTAACGGGAGACGCGTTAAGAGACCCCGGAGTCGGCAGGTGAAGATGGGCTGTGTTTCAGCAACAGATCCAAGAGATGGATGTAACATGTATATATGATGATGATGGAGATACACCATCATAATTATAGAAAATATAGATGTATATAGATGTGTGATATACCAGATATAGATTACATAGAGTAATTTTGAGTAATTGATGTAACAGTCTGTAACAGTAACCCTCTGCTAAATGAACATTGCAATGGGAAATCCATTGTTTTCAGCAATCTCCATTGCCAGACTGCCGGTATGTCCTGTCAATTTTTGCCTGACAAAGACACTGCCCATCTGAATGCTGACAGGGTGCCGTTCTTGTCTGGCACTTTGTTGGCCTGCCAGACCAGCTGGATGGAGGATACTTGGACACCCACCGATACAATGCGTGGTAATTTACTATAGCTGTGGAAATTGCTCATTTATAGATGATTTACATATTAACTATTGAGATTTCCATAGCTATGTTAAAACACCAGGAGGTATCCCAAAAAACGAGCTGCAATTCGTAGATTATATGTGCGTTCTGCATCCCTCTGCTACAAACGTCTGTGCGTGCTGGCGATGTCCTATGTTTTCCCAGAAGGCACCAAGATAGGAACCTTTCTGATTTCAACATCATTTGCCGGCTTCACCAAATTGAGCAGGAGACATGACAACACCAGAAGCTATATAAGTCTTTTGAGAAAATTGGAAGGCCGCTCTTGGTGTCCCGTTTCTCACTACTTCATTTCATTTCGCTGTAGGTTGTTTGAAGGAGGTGCTATACCTCCTCCGTTAATTTGCTAGCCAGTGCGGGGAAAAACTCTATGAAACAAAGAAGCCCAAAAGTTGGTTTTGGCAATAGAGGCAATCCTTGGCTTTTGGACCCTGGTGAACATCATCATAGGGTTTGGCCCATCCACATTTTCTGATTGTTCATGCGTTGAATCCCTATTTTGCTGGTGAAACGCCGTATGTTATCCATGTTTGGTTTGTTCTCACCTTGTTTTCTGTGGTAGTTTAGCCCATACAGAGTGGGACCAAAAACCTCCAAACACTAATTCCTCTAGTTTTGGCGGGTGTTTACCAGCATATTTCAGGTTGATCCCAGAGGATCCATATCCCTTCACCATCCTTCACCAATCTGTTGCCTGTAGCCATCGCACCGCTCCAGCCAGATCCAGGTCGCTCATGGGACGGCTATGAGGGGCCCATTTTGGTGACCGGGTGCACCAACAACGCTTGGAAGAGGTGAAGAAGAATGAAAATTAGCAGATTATCGTGGATGAACTATGATGAACTATGATGAATTGTGATGAATTGTGATGAATTGTGCTGAATGGTAGTGGTGACTGTTCCGTTGTTCGAGAAAAATGGTTGAAATAGAATCGATGCAGCCAAAGCAGCAAAACTGCTTCGAATACCGGGGTCGAAGTATTTCGGGATTTTGTGGTAGAAGGCTACGGTGCTTTCTGCTCACTGCTCACCGCAGATTTCAGACAAACGCTGCTCTCGCGAAGTTCACTTGCCTTCCTCTGCCCCTTGGGGGTGTTTTCCTTTTTGGGCCAAGGACAACTGTCACGATTTCTCCGCGAGCATTTCAACGTCATAGGAACATGCAGCGAGATGAAGACCCTTGAAAAAATTGACAAGTTATGTGGCTATATGTGGCCAATTTCATAGTGAGCAATTAGGAACTACGGAGTTTCCTAACGGAGAGCATATGAAATGTATTGAACTGTTATGAAATCTTCGCAATTAGACCTTAGATATCCTTAGATTCTAATGGGTCTCCGTTGCACCCTCTTTCATTGAACCTGCATCATGCAGCGCCGAGACACGCCGAGACATCTCCCTCCAACCACCATCCTACAAGGTCTGCCTGTGAGACATCTGCGTTCCTTTTTTATGCACGGCGTCCTAGATCTTGCGCATCTACTCGGTTTCAAACGGAGAAACTCCTCTTTTCGTGACCATGGATAAGAGATGATAAGAGATGTGCTCATGTAGTCCTTCGGCGGAGATCAATGGAGTGCGGTTTAAACGTTCAACAAATCAAGCATAAGGGTTTGTGCCTATGATGTAGCAAAGTGCTATCTCTAAACGGCCAAAGGCCCTCCAGTGTGTTGCACTGCCAGCTTTGGCAAATTACCATTTGCATCCATTCGCTGCTTTGTTCTTCGATTTGATCGTCACTATTGACTGTAGACCCACCTCTTACCATCTGGTTATTTAACATAGCCATGGAAAATCCCTTATAGATGGAGGTTTCAATGGGAAAATCTTCTATAAATGGGCAATTGTCCATGGCTATGTTAAATAAGTGTGATTCTGAATCATTGCCAGTCGCTAGCAGTTCAATGAAACCATGCCTCAGAGGGTTTCTCAGCGTTTCCAGGTCTTCCTCTGCAGGTGACTCCTTTCGTCCCTCCCTGGTATGGGAAGAACACTGAAAGGAGAACCTTCCAGAACCCAGATCGAATCATTTAAAATGGATTGAAATGGTATGTCCAACAGCTTGGTTTCAATCCAAAACTTGGATTCACTGGGGTTTTCTCAAACTTAGTTAACTTGGTGGATCAAATGGCCATACATGACGGGGATCACTGGGAGCACCCATAGTTGGACATGGCCAGATTCCGCGCGCCCGTTTTGGGCAGCCGCTTCTGGTGGTGTCGAGCGGAGTCGTTGATACCACTGTGGTCTATGGTTATGTAATGTGTCCACTTGTGGAAAAAGTCAGGCACGTTCTCTTAGAAAAATCTTCTGGAGTGATGATGTTGACACTTTTGATGGGCCAAGTTCACACCTTTAAAAAGTGCTTCGTCAACGGCACCGGCAGTCGTGGGGCCTCCTAGTTGAGGGCGGGGATGTTCCTGGCAGTCTGCCAGGAGCGGATTAAAACATCAGCTGGCTGCCGGAGAGCTCCCTCAGGGCAGTTCAAATAGAGAGGATGGTTCCATTATGCGCCAAAAACAGGGAACAACATCAAGGGGAACTGCGGAAACCATGTCAAATTGTCAAAAATGGATTTGATTCGGGGGCTGAGAAGATGGAAAAAAAAGAACACGTTGAGCAATATATATATATATATCCATAATCAAACTCCTTCTGGCAAGGTGCTCTGGCAGCCTAAGGAGCTATATGGAGCTATATCTATGCAGGCAAGGGTCAAAAAGCTTTTGAGTGTGACATCGCTTTCAAACAGTATAAACCAGCAGGTCACTGGGACCCAAAGGCTCACCACATTTTTGCCTCATATGATCAGCTCTTGACCGCTCTTGACCCTGGCCCACATCCCATCTGCACAGGAGCCATTGGCAAGTTTCACCTTCCACTTGCCTTGAGCGAGAAGGTGCTGGCAATAAAAACCCGGCACTGAGGTGTTGGAAAACTGGCGCCAGGGGCGCCAGGGGCGCTAAGCGAGGCAGCAGCAACTCACATTGCAACAAAGCCTGGCATTGCTGGCTGCTTTCAATTTTCTGAGTTGGGTTGACAGTGATAAATCAGAAACATATTCAGCATTCAGCAAAGCACCAGAAAAGGCACGCCAAACAAGAAGTGAGGTTGTTCGATGCCTTCATTTTCTCTCAAGTTCACCGGTCTCTTCCAGCACCGGTTCCACCATGTCCTGATTGGAAACGCTGCTACGGTATGGATGAGGATAGAATGGAGAAACATGACCAACCCGAAACTTGCTGCAGTATCTGCAGCTATATAATCCCCATCTACATGCTCAATGGAGGAATATAGATCATATAGATCAAGATACACATATTCAAACATATTCATATACTGTAAACGCATCAAGATGGAATCCTGCGTTGTTTGAAGTTGATTTTGTGGCAGCGTTCATTTGATACAGCAAAACAAACATCATTGCCTCCCCCATCCAAAAACTGATGATTTGAAGATTTTCCCAAGCCCGGAATATCCCCAGATACATGCCCATTATGACTGAAATCTACATTTCTCTGGCCCCAGATCCCTGTGCCTCCGGGTTGAGTTCACCAGGTAGCGGACCCAAGTCCTAGCCACGGAGGCCAAGGCCATTGGTGTTTTTGGTAAATCGGGATTTCGTTCTTGTTGGGTGTGCCAATGTGATCCACATGTTTTGAGGAAAAATGGCCGCAAAAAAAATTGAGGATGTTACCTGGCGATAGCAAAAGCACCACGAATTCCCTGAAGTTGATCTTGTTGATCTTGTTCCAAAAACATACAACCGGCACAACCCTGACATCTACAGTTTCAGGATGTACCGGAACCATCTAGCCGCCTGCCCAGCACCAATCCAAGGAGTGGCCACCCTGCCCATGTTGAGGGCTGAAGCCTGAAACGTTGGGACCCCAGTTCAAGAACAAATTGGCGCATGAACGAAATCCGCCCGCACCGAAGGTGCTGGGGCGTGATCTTCCGGATGGCACTCGTAAAAGGTTACAGGTTTACCTGGGGGGGGGGATTTTTCGGCCAAAACCTCCTGTTTTTGATAGGTCGTGACGCTCGCCTTCAAAAAACACTGTAAAAAACAGTACGGAAGACACCTGTTCGTGAACGCGCCCGTCCAAAATCGGCAAGCGAAAAGTGAAAAAAACCCGTGTTTTTCAACTTTTTGACCTCAATTTTTTGGTTTGCAACATCTTTTTTTGCGGTTCCGCAGGTGGCCGGGCCCGGAGGCGGATTTTTGAGTTTTTGGACCCGTTTTCGGACTGATTTTCGTCGTTTTGTGATAGCAGAAACACTGGTTTTTACAGTGTTTTTCTGTTTTCTGCATGCTTGACGGCTAGCTTCAAAACTTCCAAAAACCTCGTAAATTACGCTGTTTTATGTTACGGTGTGAATGAAAACATCGTAAATACCAGTGTTTTTTGACGTTGGTTAAAAAAACACTGTAAATTACAGTGTTTTTGGCCACCTGACCCTCAAAAACCATGGTATTTGCAGTGGTTTCTGCTTCTCACCGCGCAAAAACACTGTAAATAACAGCAATTTCGCCGTTTTTTCATGTTTTTCGTTATTTTTTGAACTGCGTTGGTCCGCTATACATGGCTATCAAATTCTTCGCGTTTTTTTTCCGACAATCAGTACTTTCGGATGTTTTTGGTCTCAATGGCCGACATCATTGGCAGTTACGAGCGGCTGCCCAACGATGCGGTGCGGGCGGTTGCCGTCGCGAAGCGACGTGAATAAGACATGGCAATTTCGCTACTCAAAAAATGCGGGTTTTTCCTACAAAGAATTAGCTTTCGAAGCATCCAAAACCAATTTTTGGACGATTGGAGTCTGAGGCCCAAACACCTTCACCTGGCCAGTTGCTGCTGCTATCTGGGGATCAAAAGAGGTTCCACCCGGGAAATATTCCATCTAGGTTGGCAGGCGAAAATCCTAGGATCCATTAGTAAAATTAGGATCCTTTCTCTTGGTCAGCATGCCACCAGCTTTGAGGGTTGGCATGTGATAAGCCCTTGCATGTCCGAAGCAAACAAGGCCAATTTGGCCAAGATCGGAAATTGCCAAAGGTCAAATGGTCAGCTTCGCAGCTCGCAGGCTCCGATTTGCCCATTGGCCCCATCTGATGATCTGATGATCCTCATGAATCCGGTTTCAGTTTGAAAATGTTAGGAAAAACATGGCAAGAAAACATGGAAGAAACATCGTTGTCCATGTCCCAATCGGCCACATGATCGTGTCAGAAAGGCCCTGGCCCGAGACCCCTAGAATCCCCTAGACACTTGCACGCCCCAGATCCCGCCATAACCATCAGCACCAGGCGTGGAACCATGTTTCCTGATAACATGAGCGCCACCCCGCCGGGTTGGGATGGGAATGAATAGTCCTGGAGAATTTTTAGTTTACCACCCGGAAATATTTTGATGTTATTTGCCTTACTACTACTGTACTTGTTTATGGATGTTTATGTAATTGTTTATGTAATGCAAAGGAGAGGTCGGCTTACTTCTCGCCCAGACTGGATGATTTTGAGTTGCTGCCTTCAATTCCTAAATAATTGGGCACATGTGCTCTCAGATTCATCATATGGGATTCTTTCGCCAAATTCACAGTGTCTGTGGCCTCTGTTCCCCAAAAATAGACTGGCAGCTGGCATTCCAGTTCCCCAGAAAACTGCAGTTCAAACATGTTCAAACTAGGATTGAAAACGGTCCGAAGGTGGAGACGGCCCATCCCCATCCATACCGTTTGTATCACCAGAGTTGCTTGGGGTTGCAACGTTACAACCGAATTAGCATATTACGTGCTGTAGTATACATATTAAATGTATATATATATATAGAGAGAGAGAGCGAGAGAGAGCTTGTACTATGTTGTACTAGTTGTTGTTTTATGTACGTGGTACCTGTGTGTGTGTTGCGCTGCCAACGCCGCTGCCAAGCATCGATTCCGGCTCCGGTGATGTCACGCGATCCAGGACTCGGGGGCTCCCAACGATCTGAAAGTCTGAAGATGTCAGAAGGCTAAACGCAATCTTCAAAAAAATGAATGCTAGTGCTGCTAGTGCTAAATCAATGACATGTACATGTACATTATGTGTCTATAATATGTATATATATATGTGTATGTATATATATATATGTATATATATATATGTATATATATATATATATATGTGTGTGTGTGATTATGTGTGTGTAGTTATAATATAGTCATATGGTAAGCTGAACAAAAGAACCATCCCCAATATGACCATAGATGGGTGACATAAACCATCCCCAAATGGTAGGTTGCTTATTGGGTTTACCGCCTGATCAGTATCAGATAGTATCAGCAGCATGGTTGACTTGATGCAAGTCAGTGAAATACTCAGTTGCAACAAAAGTGTTGTCCTTTGTTTTTTATGTTTGCTCAGGCCCCTGTCGCAGGTCGACACCTCCAAACAATGTTCTGTCCAGTGATACTGTTACTAGCTGCGGGCAAGACACCCACTGCCTGCACTGCGCACTCCTGCACAACGCAACAGAGGCTAGAGACGACAAGCTGGAACACTGGCAGGGTGGCGCGGTATGGAAACACGGAAGCCAATGAAATTCAAAACGTTTTTTTTTTCAAGAAAACAGGCAACCTTACACACCATTGCAGAAATGAACCGCCCATTTGGCGCCATTTGGGAAAAAAAACATCTTTACATAAATACCTTCTTGCCTTCTATGTTTTATTCATGAGTGACGCATGGAAACAAGCATGCCGCCCCCAATACTTAAAAACGAATAAGGACTCATTATTCTCATTATACTCTATATGTTCTATATGTTCTACCCTTGGCTTTGCGGGACTTTTCTACCGAAGCCCACAGCTCCGAGAAAACCATCGAAAACCCTGGGGAAATTGCCTCGCTGACAGCTGGGCTCCTCAGGTTTGGCCTCCGCCCTCCAAGGGGTCCAGAAGCGAGTTGTTTTCGGCCCCTTGGGGGCACCTCATGTGGAGGAAAAATGGAGGAAAAATGGTGGCAAAGTGGGGCATGGCAAGGGATGGCTGAACTGCTAAATGTTGCCGGTCGCGCGTTTCATGGTGAACAACGAGTTTCTTGCCATGATTGGTGTTGAGTGTCATCCATCGGTGCGCTCTGAGGCTTCAGCTTGCCACGTCCAGGTCCCAACCTGGGCAATGCTGGGCACAAACTCAGGGAAGAAAAGAAACTGTCTTATGTATAATAATATATAAAGGAAGTGGCTGGTCGTGTGGCCCCCCGCATCGGGACAAGAATCTCAAGACCGCCTCTACTGAGGGCCCTTCAAAATTGTAAAGCCCACAACCTACAAATGCCAGTACGAACAAACATGTTCAAAACATGAGGGAGAAATTCTGCATGGCCCACTGCAGCTGACGTATGTCGAAAACTTTTTTGTGGGCAGGTATTGGCAGCAAGTAGATCCTCCAAGCCACAGGGGCACCACAGCTAGCTGCACTCTAGATTTCATATGCACATTGTCAAACACGATTGGCTATCAATGAAATGACAAGGACTTCAAACTCCTGGCCCCAACTCCGATATCTCCAGATATCTCCAGATATCTCCAGATTGGTCGCAAAGATCAATCCGTCACCACATCACCAAGTCACCAACATGTCACCGGGGGGCTACCATCGCCTGTACTTCTGCCGTCAACTGCTGCAACTGCGGCATGACTGCCACCACCTCTTGCGCCACGGCTGCCAATGCCTTGTGTGCAGAAATGTCCCGAAGTCGCTTCAACAACAGGTGCTGAATCTCACCTTGGAGACGTCTGTTTAGCTGTCGCATTTCAAATCGTTCAATACGCCGCCGGGCCCTGATCCATTGAAGAATCCCGTCTTCAAACCTGCATCCCCATTTCCTCCACCAAGCAGAATCCACATCGAGGTGAAGGGCTGTGAGTGCCATCTGGTTGACGAGAAAGCCGCCGAAGATGTCCGCATCATCTTCACAGGCAGACAGTCCAGAGAAGGTCACACCTTCTAAACGCAATGACTTCAAATTGTGTGGTAAATACTCTCCAGACCAGGGAGTTTGTACAAGTCTCCTCCCTCTGAAACCTTCTGCCACCACTGACAGGCACCTCAGAGAACGGAACGAATTCTTGAAACGGGGGGTGACAAAGTGGCTGTCCTCAAAGCATCGGATTGCTACTTCAATTTTGAGGGCCTTGAGGCGTGGGAAGACCACGTGCATAAAATTCGAATGATAATCACAAGAGCGCGCACATCTCCATGTCACCTGTGAAATCTGTGGTAAAAGGATTTCGGGTTGAAAGCTCAGCTCGGTGGTGTTCATGGCTAAAGCCGCAACATCACAGCGAATCGCTGACACAAAGCTTGATTGAGTCAGGTATGATGCCAGGAACTTTGTCAAGTCACCAATGTCTTTGCAGGTGACGGAAGCATCATACGTAACAGCCCTACAGCCAACTGCAAACTGCCACCCCTTAGAAATTTGGGTGGCTAATTGAAGCTGCCGAACTGGCAAAAACGACAGCACTCCCGCATAGCCCTCGAACGGAAGCAAGCGGAAGAGATCTCCTGCTGAGTTGGCAGGATACTCCGACATGGTGGAATTTCCATTGAGTCACAGTGGGGCCCCCTTTCGCCCCTGCTTGAGCCACCCATCGCTTTTTGCAGGTCGATTCTCAGAGACCAAAAATCCAAATGGATCAAAATCCCAGTAAAATCCCCCAATCAAAATCCCATAAGACTTGATCAAAATCCCATAAGAATTCTCCATTTTCAGATCTGTGATCATCCGACCCCAACCCAGCTCAGCCCTGTACCTTGGCCCACCGTCTCAGGCTTTTCAGCCTAGGGGTGCCGAAGCCACGAAGAGTTCCCACCAGGGATCTGCTGGAACCACCAAGAAATTTCCACATCCCTGGCTGCTAAACTGCTAAACTATGAGTTTGGAAGATGATTTTCTGCTTGGGACATTGCTATACTATCTATACTGTTTTCTCTTGTGAACGTGTTCCTTACACTCATCCAGCTTTTGGGGGTCCAACAGTGATGGATCCAGCTGGCATGTGTCAGTGAATATTGAATTCTCAAAAGGATCGGCATCTTAGGTTTGAGTGCATCCAACACATTTGGATACATTTGGACAATGGATCATTACAGGTGATCGATCAGTGATCGACATCAACACCCTTGACCTTCCATGAACATCTGCTCTGTTAGGACAGCTAGCTGCTGCGCGAATGTCTTGCAACGGCACTTACTTCAACTTCTCTGGGTTGACTTATGGCAAAACTTGTCAAAACTCATCACGACTTAATTTGACCATCCAAATCTCTGAGTTCCACGAAAAAATAAACAGCTTGGAATGAAGTGGAACAACCATGTAAAAAAAAAACGGTAAAATCATGTTAAAACAAAAAAAACATGAAAAACCCTGGGTTTTCCAGTTCCTTTTCCCAGATCCCAACCCATCACTCCTCCACCCCCCCCCACCTGGGCATCCGCAATGCCGGCAATGCCCAGCGCATCCAGTGCATCCAGCTCCAACGTCATGGACCTATCCTCCAGGCTCTCTGGTGTCACCTGGCAGGTCAGGTCAATGTATCCAGAATGGCCCAAAAACCATGGGAAGATGCTGCGAAAATCATGGAAAACCCATGAGAACGGTATGAAAATCATATGAAAATCATATGAAAATGATAGAAAACCATGGGAAAATGATGGAAGATGCCGTGTAACTTGCTGTAGTTCAGTTTCCAGTAGCAATACATCAGACAACTTCGCTACGCAGCTGGCTCCTCTGGGTGCATCTCCGTCCCGGGAGGATGATGCTGCGCCTAGGTCATCCCACCCCCTCAACAATAAACACCTTAAACACCCTTAGAAAACATGGTTATCATTGAGTTATCATTGACTTATCATTGAGTTATCATTGAGTTATCATTGAGTTATCATGGTTCTAGCATGGGGAATATACACATGTTTGTCACCACTTAAGAGGGGTTACCACATTGGGGGATGGGATTATTTATGAAGAGAAGCTGAATTTCTGCGGAAACGGCCGCCAAATTCATCTCCCAAATCCACGAGAGTCCTTACAAAGCATCAAGAGCTCATGGAGGAGGTAGCTCAGCAAGTCGGCAGTTCCACCCCATCCCATATCATCCCATCTGCCACACCGATCAACTATTTCTTGCCTTCCAAACGCATTCCGACAAAAGCAGGTCTGCCAAGGTTCAGCAGACCATCTGATTCCATCCAGTGCGGCTAGTCATGTGGGAACGGCTCGAGAAGAACGACTCGAGTCTATTCCAGGGCTCAATTTGTCATAAATGTAGACATACAGACATACATAATAAATGAATATAAATGTGTCCCTGCAGCACTTTCCCAACCCTCCCACGAAACCGGCCAGAAATCCCCCATTCGTCATCTCAGCTCATCCATGCCGTGCCGTGCCGCGCTGGCACTGCAGCAGCACGCGCTTGTAGTCCCCCACGGCCTGCATGGAGGGCGCCACCAGCAGCGCATCCTGCTCTTCCAGCTTCAAACGCGTCCGCGCGATGATCACGGCCTCAAGAGATGGAGAGAGAAGATACCTGGGAAATGATGCGATTGTTGTTTTGTGGATTCCGATGGTGGCCAGATTTTTGCATGGTGCAGGTTGGTTTGAACACGAGGAGAATCATGAAAACTGTTCAATAGGGTCATTGGAGAGTCCTTTCGTACCAGCAAACCTACTGCGCAACTTGTGGGTACAAATATTTGGGACCAGCTTAATCTAGCATCGCAGCTGCAAGTGCGCAGCCTAAAAACAGTTCACAAGCACGCTCATAGAATTCGATTGTGTAAGGGAAAATGTTGCGAAAGATCATGAAAGATCGTATGTCTGGATGGAAGCCATGTATCATGCAACCATGTAACCTTAACCATTGATTCTTCAATTTTTTACATGCAATCCACACAGTCAGCACTTTCCTCCCCTACCATCTTCGGCTCCCTCTGCCTTGAGCGCCATGGAGATGGCATTTTCGCCCATCCCAGACAAGGTCACCTCAGGGTGGTATCACCATGACTCACCCCACAAATCAGGGAGATCACAATGGGATCACCACAAAAAACATCATAATACCAATATGATTTATACCGATTAATGATAACTGATAATTAATTAATGTATATTAATTATTATTCATGTCACATGATTGGGCTATTAAAAAACCTTGGTTATTCACCTCACATTGATCAATGAGATGTTTTTGACCTTCCAAATGGGTTGTTCCGCACTCGGACGCAGGGCCAAGTGGTGCAGAGTCACCAGGTTCCGCTGCGTCATCTTCTCCGCCAGCTCAGTGGCTGCCACCCCCGGGTTGGTGCTCTGGGAGAACATCATGTCTGCCTGGATGACATGGATGAAGAAATTATTAATTATCCACAATAAATAGAGGGATTATCCACAATAAATAGAGGGATTATCCACAATAAATAGCCACAATATATAAATAGATGGCAAATTAGTTATCATTAATTATCCACTGGTTGATGGTTGACTGGTTGACCTACCCCTCTGAAAAACATGAAAGTCAGTTGGGATGATGACATTCCCAATATATGGAAAAAATAAAAAAAATGTTCCAAACCACCAACCAGTTATCCACAATAAATAGAGGGCACTCCAAAAATGCCAACCAACCCCAACAAGAATTGGAACGTCTGGAAATCAGAAATGATGCGTCTCACGGGCCTCAGCTAGCACCTGTTCAGGCACCAGCGACAGGTAGAAGCGGATGCCGCTGGTGCCCGGCAAGTCCCCTTTGGGCGGAATCTGGCCAGGGAGCGGTCGCGGAAAAGGCCCGGGGTCAGCCCAGGGTTCCCTGCAAGCCTGGGGATCACCTTCCAGTCTTTCAACAGGTTCAGCCCATTAATGCGCACTTCTTCACGCAAATTCTAGCAAACCCAGCCACAAGTCCCAAACTCAACCCATTCACAATCACTACTTCAGACCTGAGGAGCACACTTCAAGATCTTCAGCAGTTGCAATTTCCAATTCTTCCAACCAATTTTCCAACCCACCACCCCACCATAGGTTGATCCCCACATCCATTTCCAACGGTGCCTCTTCGCGCCTGGGATCTGCCGCCACCTGCATCCCGGGCCGCTCCTCGTGCAGGTACTCCGAGGCAAAGATCATGGCCTCGCAACGGGGAGAAAACGTCAGGGAACTGGAGAGGTCAAATGATGATCGATGTTTGGTGACATGGACCTGAGATACATATTGGTATATTTATATCATGGTATACCGATCCTAATTACATAATAAAATCGATCAAAGATGATCAAAGTGGATCATATTTGGATATCATATCGTCTCATATCATCTTCTATTCTAATAAGTCAAACGTTGAGTCTGTTTGCCATTGTGATGATGGAGAGGTCTCAATGCAAAAGGACTACCCAAACTGCCACGGATGAAACGCATGATGAAGAAAGATGCTCAAACATCACGAGCCGATGCTACCACACTTCGAAGATGTTGCCATTGAACATTCCCTGGGCCACCAGCTTGGAGCCATTTATTTTATCATTCGAGCTTCTTGAAATCACGGAAGTTGATTCGTGGCCGCTCCTCTCAGCCACAAGATGCTACAAAAAACACTACAGTAGATGATTATCACCTCAATGGAAGAAGGATGAAGATGGTTCCCTCCACCTCAGGTCGCTGAATCAAAGAAAGGATCCGTAGACACCAATTTGTTTGGCCTAATACTGGCTAAATGATGAGCTGTTTGTTGTTCGCATCTAATGAAGTCAGTCGGTTTCCCTTGAGGCATCCGCACTCAGGTCCGCTGGGTGCATCAAATGTGGCACTGCAAACAGGTGCACCGGACACCAGAAGGAAAATTCGCCAAGCGACCTCTTCCCGTTTTCTCGAAGCAATGCCAAGCGGCGTCACTTGAAGCACGCTCCCGCTTCAGGCACGCAACAAGAAAGAGGAAATGGCCAAGGGGAACCCGAGGCGGAAGAGGAAACATGGCAGGTTGAGGTCTAATCAAATGCTGTTTCAACATTCACTGAATATGGGAACTTGTGCACTGAATCTGGGAACTTGTGCCCAGGGAACACAGGAACTAGACATGGGCGGTTTGCCCACGGATATGCTTTCATAATTTTGCTATAATTGTCTGTGACGTGCAGAAAAGAAAAGATCCCTAGAATGCCGTTAGGATCTTGTCTGAACACTGAACAGTCATCCTCAACTTTACCTGAAAGGCTGAGTGAATCTGAGAACAGGAATGCCCGTGTCACCTGGTTGAATAGAAGTGACTTGGTCCATGCTGACTATTCTGCACATCTGACTCAGACAACCCTCTGCTACGGATAACGGTCTTCAGGGTCTTGGCGAAGTCCTTGAAGCGTTTTTCGGGGTCCGAGACTTGGTAGGACCATCGCAGGGCACAAACAGACCAATCATTGAGTTTTGAGCATTTCTTTCGGGATCCAAAGAGCTGGGAGACTGCGGTCAAGAGCTCATCGTGATGAACTCCCACCTTGGCACATGCCCAAACAACTGATGGTACGGCAAGGTGCAAGTCTGCGTCCTCCATCTTGGGCGCATGCTTTGCGAACTGTTTTGCGGCTTTCATGGCAAAATTGTGTTGCAATATCAATGCGTCCACCTTTGGAACTGAGCCTTGAAGGAGCACCAGTGCAACCAAAGTGTTTGACACATCTTGAGCATTCATATGCTTCAAGATACCAGGCAACTGGTTTGCAAGCGTAGGCACCATCTTCAGCACATCAGGCGCAGCTTCCTTCGACGTGGCTGCTGCCCACAAGCTGTTGGACGTAGCTCGGGCATTCATGTCCTTCGCAATCAAGGGGACCTGTGCTGCAAGCGTGGGCACCATCTTCAGCACATCAGGCGCAGCTTCCTTCAATGTGCCTGCTGCCCACAAGCTATTTGACACAGCTTGGGCATTCATATCCTTCGCAATAATGGTGACCCGGGCTGCAAGCGTAGGCACCATCTTCAGCACATCAGGCGCAGCTTCCTTCAACGTGGCTGCTGCCCACAAGCTATTGGACACAGCTTGGGCATTCATATCCTTCGCAATCATGGGGGCCCGGGCTGCAAGCGTGGGCACGATCTTCAGCGCATCAGGCGCAGCTTCCTTCGACGTGGCTGCTGCCCACAAGCTGTTGGAGACATTTTGGGCATTCATATCCTTCGCAATCATGGGGGCCCGGGCTGCAAGCGTGGGCACGATCTTCAGCGCATCAGGCGCAGCTTCCTTCAAGGTCGCTGCTGCCCACAAGCTGTTGGATAGCTCTTGGGCCTTCATGTCCTTCGCAACAACAGCCACCTGGGCTGTAAGTGCAGGCACTATCTTCAGTGCATCAGGCGCTGCTTCCTTCAAGGTCGCTGCTGCCCACAAGCTGTTGGATAGCTCTTGGGCCTTCATGTCCTTCGCAACAACAGCCACCTGGGCTGTAAGTGCAGGCACTATCTTCAGTGCATCAGGCGCTGCTTCCTTCAAGGTCGCTGCTGCCCACAAGCTGTTGGATAGCTCTTGGGCCTTCATGTCCTTCGCAACAACAGCCACCTGGGCTGTAAGTGCAGGCACTATCTTCAGTGCATCAGGCGCTGCTTCCTTCAACGTGGCTGCTGCCCACAAGCTGTTGGACACAGCTTGGGCATTCATATCCTTCGCAATCATGGGGGCCCGGGCTGCAAGCGTAGGCACCATCTTCAGCGCATCAGGCGCAGCTTCCCTCAACGTGGCTGCTGCCCAGAAGCTGTTGGATAGCTCTTGGGCATTCATGTCCTTGGCAATCATAGGGGCCCGGGCTGCAAGCGTAGGCACCAGCTTCAGCGCATCAGGCGCAGCTTCCTTCAACGTGGCTGCTGCCCAGAAGCTGTTGGACGCAGATTGGGCATCCATAAGCACATTCGACAAGTGCGCAACACTCCACAGTACGTTGGCGAATGCCCTTGCGCTCACCTGACCCTTCCCCAGCATCGCTTGAAATCGCCGATTGAGCTTGGCTAGAATCGGGTTGCTCCTGTCACTCGCCTGCAGCTTACCGTTTCTTTTCCACGTTGCCAAAGAGTGATATGCCACGGAGGCATGGAAATCGTCGAACATCTCCCCATCCAGAGCTTCTTCCAGAATTGGGAAAAACTGCCTCGGTGATTGTGCTCCTTTCAACCTGGACGTCAAAATCTTGGCTTCGGCTTCCATTTTACCTGGTGGCTTCCTCCCCGAACTTATCTGCCGAACCATCTGGGCGCGAAAGGCTGGGCTTGGACATGGCCAGCCCGTTGGCTGCACATGGAGGGCGTGCCACAAGGGCGCAACTCGATGTGCCAGCGATCTCACGGCAGCCGCGCGATGAAGGACTCTGCCAAAGATCATAGTGGGAGTGGACACTCGTGCGATCGACATGGCTCAGCTGAGACTTGGCAAAAGCATGTCTTAAACAGCGTGTATGAAAGAGAAAATCTGCAAATGATCTGTGAGTCTGCAGGGTTGACTGATGGTGAATACGATTGGCCAGTACGGGAGAGGTGGACTGCACAGGTGCTTTCGAGCTCTGGTTTTTGCTCAAGCGCAGTTGTTTAACGGCGGCGAGGGGGCAAGAATATGTCAAAACTATGACCACTGATGGCACCCAACACAACAAACCTTGGACAGCTGCCAACCTGATCATTTCCCCAGCCAGGCTAAGGATTCTTTGAGCTCAAAAATCGTGGGCTTAGGCAACCACTATTTGATGTCACATAGGGACACAACCAACATAAAACACATGGGGATACAACCAACCAACATGAAATGTGTGGAATCAAGGTACGGAAATGTCCAAGAAAGAAAATGATGGCTTGAACTTTTTGAACTAATAGAACTCTCAGTCTCGCCCAAAAAACATATACAAAAATTCAGGCTGCAGCCCCCCTGCCCAACCCACTTCCGCGGCCTTCAGCGCCTTGAGCTGCGCCCTGGGCCCCACCGCCTCAAGCCCCACCGATGGCATGTTCACCAGCTCGTGGCGGATGGCGCCCGCCAAGGCGCCCACGTTGGCATCACCTCGAAACCGCTGGGAACAGCGGGATCTTTCTGGAAGTGGCTAAGAATTATCCCAAAAAGGTGGTGGGGTCTCAAGACTTGAATGAAGTGTAAAAAAGTCACAGGATATAATAGGTATCATCTGGTAAAATCAATCATATCATATCAATCATGTTCTACCTATGTGTCACTTTCTTTCCGTAAACAATGTGAACTTCCAGCTGCGCTATGGCGCCCTATGATCACCAGTTCGTGCCTTCCCTCAAATAATTTCAACCTCACCCCGCCCTGAGCCCAGTCGCGGTTGGCTTTCAACACCCTCAGCGGCGGCGCGCCGCTGCTGGCAGCACGAGCCCAGTGCGCCCAAGGCGCGCCCCGAGATCTCACAGCTGCCGCCATGTGGTTTTAGATTTGGTTCAACATTCGTCCGTGCTAAACATATGATCAAAAGTGTTGTTGTGGCTACGGAGAGTTTCATTGACTCAAGCGACTCATGAAGCAAAAAGAAATTGGGTGATTCTCTGGCTTTGGATTAAGACGTTAAGAGTCAAAAAAGAGCTGAGAGACGTCAGTAAAAGATGCACTGCTTTTTTGTAGATGGGCTGATTTGACACAGCAAAATACTGAACTCGTCATCATCTGTCTTGCAAACTAGTAATCATATACAGGTGTTCGTTCATCAACCGGAATATAGCATCAAATCCACAAATCACAGCGCGAGCACATAAGGCAAAGCAAAAAAGGGTGACCTGCTCCATGAAAATACTCCGTAAGCATGTCAGCGCACACAAACCAACTTGATAAGATGGAGAAAATATAAGAAAATCATGGAAATTCTCGGATCCAAGTGGTCAAAACCCCTTAAAACCCCTAAAGGGATTTCCCTGTTTCAAGCTTCGCTTGTGGCCTCCCAGCACATCGCTCCAGGATCCCCAACAATGCCCACAGCACTGCTTGGAGGTGGCGCCTCAACGGCATGGAAAGATGCATCGAGTTGATCAAGGATCGAAGACCACAGCGGAATGGCACAGAAGTGTCAACAAATTCCACTAATCCTACTGAGGTCCTACTGAGGTCCTACTGAGGTCCTACTGAGGTCCTACTGAGGTCCTACTGTCCTACTGGTACTTCAAACAATTTCAAACTCTTTGCCATGTCAAAGGATTTATCGCATTTCCTGGGATAAATTCAATCAACCACACCGGCTTGATCGTGCAAGAACCCCCCAAAAAACGCTCGACTATTGAATCTCCTGCAAATGAGGACCCTCTCATTAAAGCACACCCATCAGGGAAGCAACATCCAGTACTAGAGTAGACTGAAGATCCATCAGCACCTGAGGAAAAATCCAATCGGAGCACTTGGACGGATCAGATCTGCAATTTGGGCCACCCAACTATGCCAACGGGATCTTTACCTCGTGGTGCTAGGGGTGCCTGGCAATGCTCTCGTCCCACCATCAAAGCCGCAATTCTGAGAAACGCAAGCCCATAGCAAAAACAATGCTCGGACAGTTTGGATCAACCAAATTCAAATCACTTCCTTCAACACGGAAAAATAGACATGTCATTGACATGTCATGAGCCATGACTTAAAATCAGAATGGTGTGATACACTTTTCTTCCACCTCCGGCGCCGCAGTGGGCCAGCTCGGTGCCTGCAGGACCAGGCAACGGAGGATACGGAGGTTGCTGGCCATGACATTGCATGTGATGTGTATAGAAGTTGGGTGAAATCCCAGCATCCTGGCAACCTCACCAACCTCAGCAAATATGAACTCAATCACCATGTTCACCGACCCATGGCCATGAGGATTCAACCCCCTCCTCTTTTGGTGCAGAACTCACCATATTTTGCTGGGGATCTGAGCCACTTCCTTGAGAGGCCCATGGCGTCGCACATGCACCGCTGGGACGAGCCATTTCAGGCCCACCTCCAACGCGGATACCTGCTATGTCTGGGGGTACCGTGGCACAGCCCCGGTCAAGCTTTTCCGACATCCTTCAGAAATCAAGGCGGCCAAATGCGGCTAACATGTTTTGGCCACAAAATGTGACAGTGTACACAAATATATACCATGGCAAATGACAAGAAAGCTTGGCCACACAGCAGCATGTCCGACGTACTTGCAAGCCACATCAAAGCTGCGCTCAATCCAGGACTTCCGCCTGGGCTATCAGAGAAGTTGAGATCATCACCGCAACAAATTACCACAGGACTTCAGCGTTTACCATGCAAATACAAGAAACCCACCAAAGTAGACTACCCCAAACACCAACCCCCAATGACCCAACCCCCGACCCTTCAGCTCAGTTTCCTCCACATCCTGAAGCAATTGGCTGTGCTCCCGATGCCCCACGTTGGACCGCAGCCAGCGCATGCCACGGAGCGTCAGGGAGACGGACAGCAGGAGACAGGTGCAGAAAGTCACCAGGGCGAGCCAGCCGCTGATGTTTAACTCCTGGGATGTGGGAAATCCAGATCTTTGGGTCCAGTTTGAGATGTGAACCACTGATGAGAAGGTGTCAACCATATCAACTATATCAACCAACAAACAAGGAAGTATGAACAAGAAACCCGGTAGGGTCCAACAAGGCTGTGTACATTAACTAACCTCATGGGCGTTTCCTTCTTTCCATTTTCCCAGACCAACGTACCAAGTAAACCAGCGGGTGGATCGGGGGTCAAAAACATTGAGAGTCATGCCGTACTCCTTGCATCATCTGGTGGGCTCTGTGGGGATAAGATTGTCTCATGATTCACACCCCACAAATCATACAAATCATGGGGAACTGATGAGAAGTTTATAGTAATTCTATGCGGATTTCAGGAGGGGGTTATCGAAATGATAGGGATTTGATGAGGGATTTGATCAGACTTTTGGGGAAATTGATGGGGAGTTTATAATGATTTAATGAGAATCGTATTGGGATTTGATGGGACAACCAGCCAATTTCAAATTTCATTGATGCATGTTTGGCTACAGTAAAAACCTCAAACTGCTAAACACTAGCTTACATGAAGGAAAGCAATGAAAGCATTCCATGTATCGTGCAACTTGTGCAAGAAGCGCCATTCCCAACTGATCCCATGGTGATCGAGGCTGCAAACTGCTGTTGTTTTTCCCCTTTCCGGTCTGTCACTTCCCGATTCTGCGGGCTTCCTTCCCAAAGGATTTCCCTGCTTGGTACAGAAAGTCAACAACGCCTTCATGGCCACGCTGGTACACGAGATCCAGCACCGCGAACTGATCTTTCTGGCCTCCACCTGGTACACCTACCTCTGCACCCGCCTCCAGCAGCCGCATGGGCTGTGCCCATCCTGTGCAGCACGGTGCAGTGGTGTCAGGCCTTTTTCATCTTCCACGGCGGGACTTCGTGGGCGCTTCAGCAACTCTTCAAGGCCAACGGTATCGTTGTTTCTTGCTGCCGACATCATCTCTTGGTCTTCTTTGGCATCAGGTGGGCAAAATTCCAAGATCAGCTGAACCTGTACAGCTGCCGAGGTAAAAACCTCATGATCTGGGATCTCAGCAGCATCACCTGGATGAAAAAGTCGCTGTCTAAACCTGGAGACGCCAAGCCTAGCTGCCAAGGTTCGCTTCACTGCCTTGGCAGTTTTGCCCTCCACAACAGCGGCGTCAAGCATGGCAGCTGTCTCACCCGAGGCTGAGAAACACACCTCATCACACCTCCATTGCTGGTTCTACTTAGGTTCAAGCCGAGAGCTGTACCTAAAGCACCACACCAAGCATTATGACAACTTTTGATGGTGCAGGTAGCTTCAAAATGCCAAGGGTTGTTGGCGCGGAGAGTCTTTGATGAGGGCAACACAATGTTGCCAATGTCAGCACATGGTCCCACATGATGGTTATTGCTGGACAGAGATTGGTCGTGGCCAAGGACACCAACAAAGTCCAACAGGATTTGGGGTATTCTGATTTGGGGTTTCCAGTCATGGGGATATCCCAATAGCTGGATGGTGTATATATAATTTATAATGGAAAATCCTATTGAAATGGATGATTTCGGGCACCCCCATTCTAGGAAACCTCCATTTAGTGAAACCATGATGCTTTTCGCATCCTGTTACGCCGAGAGCAGAAAAGAATTTCACTGCAAATGTCAATCACTGTGTTACCAGCCCAAAACACGGAGGGCGCTCTACCTGTGAAACCACATTGAAACCTAGCAACACATGGACCTGGGAACCCATGATGGGCAAAGAACTTGAAACAGCTGCTTCATCACACCAGTCACAGGAGCTTTATGGGTTTCCATGGGCAACATGTATAATGTACAACTATACAATGACATGCATATATCATATGTACATAGTGGATATATGGACCGTATATGTATGATATCTACTTACTTTTGCCAGCTGCAGCGCTACTCCTCAGGATGTTTGTTACCCTTTCAGTAGGCAAATTGCGTAAAATATCATAAAATCACAACCCGGCAAAGGCTGAGCCGGCGAGAGTCTGCTTCAGCTTCAATCTCATCTTCCTCCTGGCACGTAAAACATTATCCCATGACATCCCATGACCCATCCGGCAGTTCCCATCAGCGACCGGGGCCTCGAGGTTGCTGAAGATGTTGGACATGCTTCCGGTGGAGCACTTGGCTCGGGACCCGGCGCCTTCACAGGTCGAGCCTCCTTGGCACATGCACACGCCCACCTCAGCGGCTTCGCTGCGAACAACGCCACTGCAATGTGGGGCTGGGAAGAGGAACAAACATCTGAAAATATATAAGATATTATATAAGTACATATAAACGTTAAAAGTAGAGTCATATAAAGTTATGTAAAGTCAAGCTGAGTGATGCTTCCTACCAAGAATGGACCAGTGAAAGCTAGACTACCCAATCCCAAAAGCATAAGACATTGCAAGACCCTACCGGGTCTTCAACCCCCAGGCCTTCGTAAAGCTGGTCATCACAGAGCCCACGCATTTGGCGTTCTGGACAGGACATGGTGTGATTGTGCGATGGAAGGTTGGAGCCCAGGTTCAACGTCATTTGATATGAAACTCCATGTCTATCAGTCTATCCATTCTTGTGTTCGCCTCATTTGAAATGATGTATTCTGGCCTTAAACATCTTTATATAAACTCTTCTTTGGCGGTTTTCAAAATGGTCCTCTCCTCAAGCCTCCCCAGGACCCTCTCCAAGTGGGACAAACCCCAAGAGTCCAAGAGTCAACGTCGACATCAGCTCCCTACCCCCCTGTCGCCTGACTCACAGAGCCGCAGGGAGATGCAAAAGTAAAGGGATCCTCAGTGGCTGCAACGGGAATGTCACAGGTACTCGGACGGGAGGAAACTTTCCAGTAGGATGCATGCGTGAACTAACATGGCAACGGACGCGCTATACTAGGATATACTAGGATGACCAGGATGTAGTATGTAGCAAATGAATGTAACGATATAATCCACCACCAGGTTCCTGTTGCCATGTTAGTTCACTACGAAAGTCGGGCCCAGGATCCGTGTCGCTGCACTTCTTGACCGATTTTCCACAGCAAGCAGCTGGATTTTTCTTACCTTGGACAGGTCTGGAGCTATACAGACTTGGGGTCGAGTTTGCCTGGTCACGTGAAGACTTGGATGTGGAAGGGCCTATTCAATCCTATTCCATCATTCCCGCACATGGAAAATCAATGAAAATTATGGAAATACATGGAAATGAGAAATTCACGGGAAGTTCATTTGATTTCATTTGACTCCTCGTTTGAAGCTTTGTTGCAACGATCGGAGCACACCTTCCATCTCCCTGACGGGCTCCTGAAATCGTTGGAGGGTTATACACCACCTGGGGTCACCTGGGTACTTACTTTGGGCATACCGCCCTGAATGTAACACGCGACCCCAAATATGGGGACGAAAAATTATTGTCCTCTTGCATATGGTAATTCTTGGGTTCAATGGTCAAATCATCATGCATGGCCATGCAAAACCAGGAATATTTGGGATGTCATCCCACCCGTTCAACAGGGGTGCCAGTGTGACTTGGGTTGAGTTGAAGTCACCACATGTTTCGCCGCCGCATCTTGGCCGAAGGGCATTCTGCGGAGTTGACACCCTGAGATATGGAATCGCAGACAAATGGCATCGACCTAAGTGGCCATCAACAGCAGAGAACAGCACAGACGGGCAGCAGGATTAGGCTTCAGGGAAGTCATGCTCCTCTGGGTTTTACCGATGTGTGGGGTGGAGTATGCCACGGAAGAAAACACCAAGAAAACACCCTGAACTGCAGAAAGGGACACAAAAACTCACTTGCTGGATGGGCTGTTTCAAAGAACTCATCTGATTCTTGGGTCCTTCGGGGTCCGCCTCCCAAATTCCATGGTTCAAAAAATCGATTCACCTTCTATGGCTTTGCTTGAACTGGGAATCCCGACATCATGCCACACATGGTCCCCAGCATATCGGACCCCGAGCTCTGCTTCTGGGCGTTCTTCGGTAGGCCTGGCAGGCCGCCGAACTTCGCGGGGTGCTTGTCGGAGAAGAAGGCGAGGCCGTCAAAGATGGAAGAGCCCTTCTTGCCCTTTGGAAAGCCAGGCAGTGAGAAGTCCTTGAAGTTGAAGCCGAAGGGATTGTTGGCACCTGAAGCTGGGATATGCTGGGATGCTGGGCTAATAAACATTAATAAACCATAAGAGCCTCATAGACTCACAGAATCTCACAGATCCAAAGTCTACCCACCCCAGTACTCATGCATCCACCAGGCACTGGCCCACACCAACGGGGACCATTGGCAAAATAACACCACCCAAAGCCTCATGGCCATGGCTCCGCAGCTCCGCCTGTTCTTTGAGGCGCTGTGATCTGGCTGAGTTGTGTCAAAGTGGCGCATCCCAATTGAGTCTCTGTGTTGCGATGATGTTGTGATTGGTGATGGGTCCCTGATGGTCTGATGAATTTTCATGAAAATCTAAAGTCGAGCTTCATTGTTTGCTCCTCCATCCATCATATTTGCCATGTCCTTGAGCCAGGCGTTGACCCGTGATCCTCCCCAGCGTCCCAGAAACTGCTGAAACTTGAAACCACCCCTTGTTTCCCATAACTACCATGAAACCAAGCCCAAGTACCACCATATACTATATACCTTCCAGGACTTCCAATCCTGACCTCCCAAGGGCAGGTCTGCTTGGCGCAACCAACTGAGTGTTTCGACTTTTGGACGATGACAAAAATCTACTCCTTAGATCTCCTTAGGTCGTCTCCTCCCAAGTAATCAATAACACTTTGTCGCTTCGTGTTGCTGTTGGGCACGCTGCAACCCCTGGTCCGAACTGCCTGGCGTGGGGTTTCGCTGGTGGGCGCATGCTGTTGCGCCACAACCTCAAATTCTGACAGAACTTCTGAGTGCCCCCAGTGCCAACCAATATCATCATTATCATCCCTTTGCCCTTTGCACATGGCGCAATATATGGACAAGTGGATCTATATATTGGATTTCTGGATGTTTTTACTAGCATCCTTTTCCATTCCATGGTTGACCTTGCTGATTTCGTTGGAAAAAACCATCTCCAGCAGATCTCTCTGCACCATCCCTGGCACTCGGGAGCCCGACCCCAAAGGACTTGGCGGCATCCGTCTGCCTCTTGAGCACCAGCTGGCGCTGCCGAAGCATCTTCTGCCTGGGTTCCGGGGTCGCACGAGAAACTACCCTATCCAATGTTCCATGAAAAAATACTCTCAATCTCATCATTGAAATTATCTACATGTCAACATCGTCTAAGCTCATTAATTTCAATGAATTACAGTCAGTACTCTGACTTCTTCGAAATATTATTCCAATATTAGCTACGGCGGTCTGAAACTTGGAATACGTGGAAGATGACGAAAACTAATTACCATATAATAACCATATAGAACTTAGAATGCCCTCAGTTGGGATGCCTCACATACTAACTTAGAATGACTCGGTACCCACTACCCACATACCAAAATATTCAATGTATATTACCTCAAAATGCAGGTGAAATCGATGAACAATGATCCGGAATGCTGTTAGTTCCCAAGTACAATAGATACCATATGCAGATTCCTTAACCATCCCCAATACCACCGTAAATTGGGGGTATAGTTTAGGTATAATAATCAATAATCAATATATGCTGCTTAAACATCGCTCAATTGTGGAGGCTGGCAGTAGCAGTGGTGCTGGCATTCGATTGGATGTTGCCATATGTTGCCACCAATCCGCACTCATCTCATCACCCTACTCCAACTCAAGTGCTGTCAAGGTCACTGCATGCCCAAAGCACCTGACATGTTGACAACTTGCAAGCTTCAGGAGTGCAAAGTCAGAAATCAAAGTTCCAACATGTTCCAACTACATCCAACTACATTGTCCTTTTAGGAACAAGGTCGGCTTTGGTATATCATGGTCATTATCATCTACATATTGGATGTTGAATGGGGGGAACCCTCTAAGTTAATCAAGCAAGCACCAGCTTCCTGCCTTCACGGGCCGAGAGCCGACCGTCGCAATCGCCTCGGGATTCCAAACGGCGGGCAATACCTGCGTCCACCCCAAACCTAGGATTTAGAGATTTAGATCTGTAGATGTTCATTCTAAGATGCTTATGCTTGATGCTTTAGATATGTCTAGATATGTCTAGATATGTCAAGTACTCGCAGGTTTGACAATGGAATGATTTCCATCTGAGGCCGTCATGTTTTCCATCCAGTTGGGTTTCTTCACCATTCTTCCAATTGAGACCCCCACACCAACCACAAAGCGATCCCTTTTCCGGCACGTTGGAGGCAGAACTCTCAGTACCAGGGAGGGCCAGCTGTTCCAGCCCTTCCCGTGCTCCCAGCTGAAGATGTACAAAGTCATCAGCGTCATCAGGTTCCTCCTCTGAAGCTCGGGGGCTCAGCCGCGAAGTCCCATGCGCAACGGACAAAACACCACAAAAATCTTGAAACAAATAGGCAATAGGACAATCACGGGCCCAAATCACATGCGAAGCTGCTATCGTGGCCCCAAATCACACTCCGATAAACTCCAAATCACACTCTGGCATTTTGAAGATAGAGTTCCCAAATGGATCAAATGCTATCGTATTCAAAAGTCAATCATGCGTCGACAAACCTCCCATTCGCCATCATTCCCCCCGTCCTCTCCAGGGTCGATCCGCACCAAAGGACACACCAAACGTGGGATCTTCCACTCGCCCGACATGCAAATCCAGGACCTGTCGTCCCTGCGCCTCATGCGCAAGCTGTGCTCGCTACAGCCGCACCCGATCTCCAGCAGAGCCACCCGACGACCCGCCAGGGCTTGAACCCAACGGTGGAAGCGGGCACGTTGCGGCTCGATGTACTTGGAGTTGAAGGTCCTGGGAAATTCAGCCGAACTCGTGCAGCAGTGGTTTTCAAGGTGCGATTCAACACGGAACACCCAAAAAATGGTGCTAGAGTGGTCATGTTTTTCTTGGAAATGTCATGACATGTCCATGTTGAATCAAGGCAGCTCCTGGCGTTGCTCCCCAGGTCATCGTCAAAAAAGGCCACGTTGGGCCGCGCATAGTCTCGTTCACAGTGGCGGCATGTGGGCAGCTGGTTCTGCAGTTTGTGTGTGGATGCTGGCAGCTGTGCCCCAAACAAAAAGCGATTGTCGTGGCCAATTGGTGACGTTTTGTTGATATTTTGGACTTTCGCAACCCCCATTTGGGAAGATATCCCATTAATTTATCAAATTAATTAAATTAAAGTAATCTTGGTGGGATGAGGAAGAGCAAGGCTACTTCACTCTGAAACTCCTGAGGTGGGACACTAATGAGAACGTGCTGTTTTAGCTCGCTTGGCCTCAGATCTGTACTCTAACTGAACTTGCAGGACAACTTAGGTTCACTTCCATGTCTTCCCCTGTCCTCTGGTTGATCCACTTTGGCTGGCCAAGGGTTGTGATTCTTGGTGCACTTGGGGTCACAGCACTGCCACATGTGCACGGAGCCATGTGCTTCAAAAAGGCGGTCTGGTGGAAAGCCGCAGCGCAGAAAGGCGCCATCGATGTTAGAGGTACAGATGAAAAAGTCGCCAACTTGCCTTGCTACAAGACCGGGGTGGGTTGACAAAAAGCCACGGATAAGGCCCAACAAGGATGGCTTAAGCATCAGGGATCATGGTAGCACTGGCAAACATGGCCAGCGCTAAGGGGCCAGGAGAAAGCTGCCAGCTTGTCACCGAGTACATGTCATGCGCCTATGTTGCAAAAACCCAGGGTTTTCAGAGTTCAAATGCAGATTTCCTGCATTTTCCGAATAGATCAGATCTGGATCACAATTTTATTCTAGCCGGGCCCTCCTTGGTCCTTGGTGGTTCATCCGAAGTTTTTCCTATGAGTAGGTTCTGGACCCAGTTATCAGTGGATTAACCCTAGTTATCCCATGTGAAACTAGGGATGTAACCTGCTTACAAGTGGGATGAGCCACCAAGTTGACCATGATGGCACCCTGATTCAAACGGACCATCGGAGCCTGACTAAAGCCCAAACCTTCAGCTCAGCGACTGGCAAATCTCCAGCAGTTTCCTTGGCTTTGCTAAATTGAGACAAAGAAAGCAACCAAATAAAGGGGGATCGGCATTGTCCAACAAACATGTGGCCACATTGTCGTGATTTTCTTGTTTGCCGATTCTCCTTCGCGTTTCTTGTGGGCTGGTTTGGCGTTATGTGGGTGTCACCAGCATTATTCCAGTCGAGACTCGGGACGATGTTTTTTTTCTCAAGACAGTGTTTTCCTCATTGCTTTTAAGGGTTGGTAAGAGATTGAACTATCAAAGTAACAAAGGATTGGAATATTGGCTAAATCGTGTGGCGACGTATCTGATGATACTCATGTAACCAATCAGCAGATGATAGCCTGATCACAATCTGATAGCTGCCCGTTGGGAATTTGCACTATACAGCCTTTTGCGGCTCTTGAGTTTTTGGTCGTAAATCATTGCTTATTCCCCACCTGCCAGGTGAGGGTTGTTAGATTTTATCAGAGTTGTTCTCCTCCTCCTCGGCTAGCTGTCCTCCTCCTCCTCCTCGTCCTCCTCCTCCTCCTCTAGTTTCTCCTCGACCATGTCTGCATCAACGTCCACCTCCGCTTCCGCCTTGCCAACTCTTCGCCAAGCTCTTTGCCAACTCTGCGCCAAGCTCCTTGCCAACTTCCCGGCTCAGTGTGCCCTGGGACCTCAACCTGGGACCTGCCCAGCTCAGTGTGCACCGCTGGACCTCAACCTGGGACCTTCCCAGCTCAGTGTGCACCGCTGGACCTCAACCTGGGACCTTGCCAGCTCAGTGTGCACCGCTGGACCTCAACCAGGGACCGTCTCAGCTCAGTGTGCACCGCTGGACCTCAACCTGGGACCTGCCCAGCCCAGTGTGCACCGCCGGACCTCAACGGCCAGATAGAATGCCAGAAGATATGCCAGATAGAACGCCAGATAGCATGTCAGAGAGAATGCCAGAAAATATGCCAGATAAAATGCCAGAAGATCTGCCAGATAGAATGTCAGAAGATATGCCAGATAAAATGCCATGAGATATGCCAAATAGAATGCCAGAAGGTATGCCAGATAGAATGTCAGAAGATATGCCAGATAGAATGCCAGAAGATATGGCAGATAGAATGCCAGAAGGTATGCCAAATAGAATGCCAGATAAAATACCAGGTAGACTGCCAGAAGATATGCCAGATAGAAGCCCAGAAGATTTGCCAGATAATATGCCAGAAGATATGCCAGATAGAATGCCAGAAGATATGCCAGAAGATATGCCAGATAGAATGCCAGAAGATATGCCAGGAGATATGCCAGAAGATATGCCAGAAGATATGCCAGAATATATGCCAGAAGATATGCCAGATAGAATGCCGGATCGAATGCCAGAAGATATGCCATATAGAATGCCAGAAGATATGCCGGATAGAATGCCAGAAGATTTGCCAGATAGAATGCCAGAAGATATGCCAGAACATATGCCAGATAGAATGCCAGATAGAATGCCAGAAGATATGTCAGATAGAATGCCAGAAGATATGCCAGAGAGAATGCCAGACAAAATGTCAGAAGATATGCCAGATAGAATGCCCCAATATTAAGACGTATAAATGTCATGGTGGGGATCACTCGAAGTAAAGTAATTATTGCGTGTTTTGTCTGCTCTTATTTTTCACGATGGTTCATGTATGCATCTAAAAATGCAAATGTTCATATGTTTGGATACATATATATATATATTTATTTATATTTTTAATTAGTTATCTTGATATCTACACATACTAAACATATCTAGACATCGAACTTCAAAATTCCACCCTGCCCCACCCTTCTGATCCCCACATTCTGCTCCGGGCGGCGCATAGCCCGCATGCGGCAGCGTGCTGCAGAAACGCCGCAGCATGGCGCCATGCCAGGCCCAGGCCTGGGAGTCGCTGGTTGCAATGGATATCTGCAGTAAAGTCATGTGATGAATGATGAATGTTCTGTTCAGTTCTGTTATGTTACTTCCATATATATATATATATATATGTATATATATATACATATATAGACACACATTAGATATAATATGTGAATATCATAATCTATATATATATATATATACACAAGTGATCAGTTAAGACATCATATGAATCATATGTAATCAACACTATACTATGTAACTGTGTACAAGTAACTGGAGCAACTAAGAGTTGATTGAGGTTGTGTATGGCCCGCTCACGCCCATTCATATGTACCTAGTAGCAATCGTGAAAACGCCAAGCCCCGAGTTTAGCCGGAACTAACCCCAGGACAGTAAGTGCCTGATCCACTGGAAGCCTGGCTACTTCTGGTGGAAGACCGCACCTTGTGAATGTCCTCGCGAAAGCTGGCGTGTCGCGCCAAGTTCATGTACTCCTCCTTGGTGTAGCTTCCATCCTTCGGTAGTCTTGACAGGACGGTTGAAATTGTGGTGGTGTCAGGGGAGGGCTTTCAACTTTGAGTCCTATATATGCAGACTTTCCATCACCAAAATAGTAGATCTCAGCGCCAAGTCCTGAGCCCTGAAGGTGCTCAATCCCGAATCCACCCCCATGCCAGCACCAACCAGCACCAGCAAGGCATCGCAGCCCTGCAGGATGTCTGCTCCTCGCTGCAGCTTGCTTCCTGTCCTCAGCGCTGCAGGGAGTAGTGCGGTAACTTGAACTCTGTAGTCATGTACGGTATGTTATGGCATGTTATGGCCAGTTATGCCATGCAAATTTCAATGGTGGTTTACTGCTCTATCTCTGCTCTATGTTGTCGGGAATCACTGCATGTCGAATATCCTGCACCTCCACTTTCCTACTGTCCATAGGGTTTCAGTGTATTCTTGAACCGTCGAACTGTCGGAGAAAACGCCTGTGCAGCTTTTCAGCCCAACTCCAGCAACCGAAACTTGGCCAAGTCTCCCTTCAAGGCTTACCTTCGGCATGTCGCCGTAGCCCTTGGAATCCTTGGCTGCCTTCAGTTTGGACGCGCCTTTCCAGGGTTTCATGCTCAAAACCACTCCAGCACTGCCCACGCCAGTGAAGAGCGAGGGCACCAAATCCTGGGCCGTCTGCTGCCGAACGTGGCTGTGGTCCTCATCTTCATCGTTTCAAGAAATAGCCGGGGTACCCACAGATTCACCCATGATTCACACACCCACCTTATCTGTTTCTTGTGTTTTCTCTCTATGGCATTTGAACATTCAAATCATGGATCATCGTCCACCCCTGCAAGCAACGGCGTGATCTTGCCAAGAGTCGTCTGTAAGCTCCTCTCCAGTGAAGGAGTGGTAGGCCAGGCCCTTTTTGGGCCGGAATTCTTTGAATTTCCTTGTGGCTGGCTCCCACTTGAGAAAAGAACCGCTACCGCGCTACATTTGAAGTAGTGTAGCGTCATGACTAGTCTAGTCCCAAAATTGGGGTGCAACCACAGTTGTTTCCCGGTTGCTCGTCAGAAGGGGGGATGAAGGTTGAAAGTGGGTGCTTCTGAAACGTGGGGATCTGATTCGGCACCATGTGATGGTCAAAACAGGAGATAGGCATAGATCTTGTTAATCCGATAACCCAGCACTAGCGAGCCCCGGGATCACGTTACACCGTACGTTCTACCTTGTTTCATGTAGGTTCCAATCAAAAAGCAATTCATCACTCTTTAAGTTAAGGCGCTTGCGCTTACCTCCCTTCAAATTGTACTATCGGCCACGCCTATTCATCCAAACCTGACATGAGATCATGACATCCCCAACAAAATAATCAAAATATGCTGAAAAAACGACGACCCAGCTTCTTTCCAGCAGCATCTTTGATCTTTTCCAAGGTCACAGGCTGAGACACTTCAATCAAGTGCTGTGCACTGCTATCGCTCATGCACATGGGCACTCGCACGCGGGCCGCCATGGCTCAACTAAACCAGGTGGCAAACGCAAGGGCTCCGAGCACAGTGGTTGTTTCCGACATTGAATGACATCTTCAGGTCCCCCGAATCTCAGGTTTTTATAATCTCAACGGATGCCAGGAATGAGTGATGCGGTGGGGCCCATCTGTTCCCACCACTGTTTGGGGAAATTTGGTTTGCTGTCCGGGCATGTGTGTCATGCGCCAGGTCAAAAACAACTCAGGTTTGCTTTGACATTCAATCCTTTCGATCTTTCACCCAGGCGTTTTGTCAGCAATGCACTGATTTGGCACTTATATCATCTTATTGAAATCTGCAAGCAAATCGACGCTCTGGGACCAGACTGGATAGAACCCACGGCCCCATCATGCCCCATCTTTACCCACAAGCTGGGCATGGCTGGGCTCCATTGCCCAGTCCTTGTGCTGTAAGGGAGTGCTGGGTGTCCCGGCTGACCATCGCCATGGCCCAAAGTGCACCCCCGGAACCACAATTGTGACTCGAGCCAAGAGCTGTTCACAGGACACGTGGGAAGTTTTTCAAGAATCAACCCCCTTTCAATATTGTAGCTCTTTGCCATGACATCAACTACTCAATCATGCATAGTGGCACCTGCCAACTCTATGGATGCCTATGGTCATCCAACCTGACTTTGACATGGAGAGTCGCCACATGCTGCCACCACTGCAAGCTCCTTCGTTTTGAACTATTGGGGTGAAACGCAAGGAGCTGGTGCCGCTTCCACTGGTTCACCTGTGGCAACGGAGGACCGGTTTGCAGCGCCCAAATTATCCTCAGTGACTTAGAAGCAATGGATGGGAGGTTCATGGCGGCTTTACATGGCTTTACCACATTGGTTTCTTCAACATCCGTTTCTTGCTGCAAGTTGGCTATGGAAGATGATTGGCAGCTTGTGACCAGAGGCACAGCGGCATGCCTTTTGTTGAGGGGAATCCCAAAGTGTTTGGATGTCCAAAATGTTGACCCTTGGAGTCTACATGATTGGGGGGGTTCCTCTATATTTCTCTCAACTTCCCATTGGGTCTTGTCCTTCTGAGGAAATGGAGGGTCCGGTCTGGTCTACCATTTGCATCCATTTCTTATAATTCCCCACCTGCCAGGTGAGGGTTGCTGGATAATATCAGAATTGTTCTTCTCCTTCTTCTCCTCCTCCTTCTCCTCCACCACCTCTGCCTCCACTTCCATGTTCACGTCCCCCTTGCCAACTCCTCGCCAAGCTCTTCGCCAACTTCCGCACGCAGTGGGCACTGCTGGACCTCAACTGCAAGGGTCTGAGCGCACTGGGCACCGCTGGACCTCAACCTGGGACCCTCCGAGCTCAGTGAGCACTGCTGGACCTCAACCTGGGACCCTCCAAGCTCAGTGAGCACCGCTGGACCTCAACCTGGGACCCTCCGAGCTCAGTGAGCACCGCTGGACCTCAACCTGGGACCTTCCGAGCTCAGTGAGCACCGCTGGACCTCAACGGCCAGATAGAATGCCAGAAGATATGCCAGATAGAGCGCCAGATAACATGTCAGAGAGAATGCCAGAAAATATGCCAGATAAAATGCCAGAAGATTTTCCAGATAGAACGCCAGATAGAATGTCAGATAGAACGCCAGAAGATATGCCAGATAGAACGCCAGATAGAATGTCAGATAGATTGCCAGAAGATATGCCAGATAGAATGCCAGAAGGTATGCCAGATAGAATGTCAGATAGAATGCCAGCAGGTATGCCAGATAAAGTGCCAGAAGGTATGCCAGATAAAGTGCCAGAATGTTTGCCAGATAGAATGCCAGAAGATTTGCCAGATAGAATGCCAGATGGGATGCCAGAAGATATGCCAGATAGAATGCCAGAAGGTATGCCAGATAGAATGTCAGATAGAATGCCAGCAGGTATGCCAGATAAAGTGCCAGAAGGTTTGCCAGATAAAGTGCCAGAATGTTTGCCAGATAGAATGCCAGAAGATTTGCCAGATAGAATGCCAGATGGGATGCCAGAAGATATGCCAGATAGAACGCCAGATAGAATGCCAGATAGAATGCCAGAAGATATGCCAGAACATATGCCAGAAGATATGCCAGAACATATGATATGCCAGAAGATATGCCAGGTAGAATGCCAGAAGATATGCCAGATAGAATGCCAGATCGAATGCCAGAAGATATGTCAGATAGAATGCCAGAAGATTTGCCAGTAACAAAACGTATAAATGTCATGGTGGGGATGACTCGAAGTAAAGCAATTTACTTATTTTATTTGGTGTTTCATGGGGGGTGACCCTTGAGTAATCAGCCAACCAGTGGGAAAAGGATTGGTCCCCAGCACTCTTTCCATTCCCAGATCCGGTCCTCACCGCTCCAGCCATGAGATGACTGTGGGTCAACTCCTGCACTTTGTGCCAAGAAAAAAAACAGCTGAACTAGGAAATTCTACTGGTGAAGGTCAACTTGGCATACCATTATCATCTACATATTGGATGTTGAATGGGGGGAACCCTCTAAATTAATCAAGCAAGCACCAGCTTCCTGCCTTCACGGGCCGAGAGCCGACCGTCGCAATCGCCTCGGGATTCCAAACGACGGGCCACAATGCCTGCGTCCACCCCAAACCTAGGATTTAGAGATTTAGATCTGTAGATGTTCATTCTAAGATGCTTATGCTTGATGCTTTTAGATATGTCTAGATATGTCAAGCACTCGCAGGTTTGACAATGGAATGATTTCCATCTGAGGCCATCATGTTTTCCATCCAGTTGGGTTTCTTCCCCATTCTTCCAATTGAGATCCCCAACCACAAAGCGATCCCCTTTCCGGCACGTTGGAGGCAGAACTCTCAGTACCAGGGAGGGCCAGCTGTTCCAGCCCTTCCCGTGCTCCCAGCTGAAGATGTACAAAGTCATCAGCGTCATCAGGTTCCTCCTCTGAAGCTCGGGGGCTCAGCCGCGAAGTCCCATGCGCAACGGACAAAAAAAACCACAAAAATCTTGAAACAAATAGGCAATAGGACAATCACGGGCCCAAATCACATGCGAAGCTGCTATCGTGGCCCCGAATCACCCTCCGATAACTCCAAATCACACTCTGGCATTTTGAAGATATCAGTTCCCAAATGGATCAAATGCTATCGCATTCAAACATAAATCATGCGTCGACAAACCTCCCATTCGCCATCATTCCCCCCTTCCCGTCCTCTCCAGGGTCGATCCACACCAAAGGACACACCAAACGTGGGATCTTCCACTTGCCCGACATGCAAATCCAGGACCTGTCGTCCCTCCCGGTCTCCTGCGTGCCACGCTGGAAACTGGGCTCATGCAGACTAGAGCCTTTGGTCAGCAGTTTTTGAAGGCAGAGGCCTTGATTCTCATGGATGATACAGTATTCCCCCAGGACTTTGTTGGTTAGAATGGGGAAATATCCATGTTACTTCTTGCATAGTATTCCTATATATTCCTATATTACCGATGTTCCTTCCGAAAATTGCCATCCTTCTTGGTATGTTTCAAAGCTTCACTGGCTCGCGCTCAACCATCGCTCCAAGGGCATGAAATTTCCGTCAACAAAAAACGCCGGATGCATCGAAGTGCCAACAACGCCCTTTTTCTGTCTGCGCCGCCAGACAATGATCGAAGCGAAGGTCAATGATGTGCAAAAGTCCTCCGACATTAGTCAAGGACCAAGGCTCCATCGCCCTTTCAGAGTCAGTGGGCCCATGGTGAGTCATAACTATGTTGTCTGCCTGACGACAACCAATGAAGAGGTCCTCCGAGTTCTCCTACCTACCTTACATAGGCAGTGGGGACTTGTTCCATAACTAGCCGAAAACGTTGGAACATGCGTGCTCACAGCCTTTCTCGGGCTCGCAGTGGTTACCATTGCAAGTGCTGGAGCAAGAAGTGCACTGGTTGGCCCAGCTACTTCCAGAAGGCCCATGCACCTGGAAGCCATCCAATTTTTGGGATGTCCCTGGTCATGGTTCAAAAGGACATCCCAAAAATTGGATGGTGATCAGATCTACGTTTGATACCCGAAGATCTCCGAAGCATAACATGTAACCAAAAGATGATTGCACATCCCAATGGAAAAACTATGTTCCAAACCAGCCTTCCCTTTAAAATGTCCACATCCTTAAACGCGACTACTTTTTGTGCCGGTTTCTTTCCTATGCCCACCTCATTGAAGCAGCCCGTCATTCCTTTGCAACTCTCCAGGCAGGCGTCTTTGGTCGCTGAAACCAGGGCGAGTTCACAGCCGATTTGGCAACTTGGCCGCTCACACCCACTGTCCGAACCACAGCAGAAGCCATCCTGGATGTGGCATGGCGGCTTCGTCTTGGGTCAAGTGAACCAGGAAACCTTGTCTTTAAAGAGGATTCCTAACTTTGAGATTGCTTCCAGGTTGGCAAAGGCTGGACCCTTTTGCTGCCATGAAAAAGTAAATCTATGATTCCGTCGCATCGCAAAGCTGCTGACCGCGAGAACTAACTACTTTCAATTGCCCCAAATAAAAAATGCCCAAAGATTGACGAGCGTCGTCTGCACACTTCATCTTGCAAATTTGGAGCGGACCAGGTGGAGTGGTGGTGGTTGTGGTGGGCGGAGCCGGCAAACCAAGGGAATGGCAGGCATGTTCACATCCACCCGCTGGCTCGCAATGCTCCCCATCGCAGGTGTCTGCGCACGAAGTGCACAAGTTCGAATGGCCCCAGGCGACATTCCACTGAAAGCATTCGGTCATAGTCTGGCATTTCTCAATGCAGGACCAAACCTCAGCGGTCGAAAAACTTCTCCAACCTTGACAAATATGTTCAGTTCCAAGGCATGAAAAGAACTGGGCGTTTGACCATGGTATTCACCACCTGTCAAGTGAGGGCCTCCAGATTGCTGGTCAATCTCATTTCGTTTTTCTCCCTCCTCCTCTTTGTCTTCCGGTTACTTCAGTTCTTATCGCCCGTTGTCTCACTTCGTCACTTCCGTCGGACCTCACCCTTGCCAAGTTTATATGTGAAACTGCCTAGTCACCGTTACATATTTAGATGTGTGTGTGTGTGCGTTGAGTTCAGTGTGTGTTGAGGTTGAGGTTGTGTGGAGTGAAGTGTGCATTGAGTGTGTGTGTGTGTCTCTCTCTCTCTCTATCATGATATTGCTGAGTGTTTCGCAACGGGCAGTGCGGCTTCAAATCCCTGCGAATATGGCAGAATATGTGCCAGCATCTACAAGAGAATCTATGCCAGCGCCCACGTCAGAATCCAGTGTCACTAAGATAAAGCTCATATACTGTGTTTCCAAGTCATGGTTGGAGGTTGGGGTGCGCTCCAAATAAGCAATGGATGTTTTGTTTTGCATTTTTTGGGACGCCACCTCCCAACATGAAAACTGCTTGCGCAACCTGGTTATATGACGAATGCTTTGAGCTGCCCAGAAACGCTTTCTTCATACAGCCCAACCTCACAACCTTGATGGCAGCTCGGAAGTGCACAACCACTATTGGTTCCGCAGCAAAAGCCTGCCAGCTTCAACTGATGCAACGAGGCTGCCAAACATTCACAGAAAGTGTAAGCATTTTCCGGTCAAAGTGGATGGGAAAAGTGCGATGGTGCCAAACTCCATGGCAAGACACGTAATGAAACTTGATCCATGGCACGCAGTCATCATCAAACAGTTCTACTTTACGAACGTCATCAAACGTCTATAACGAGTACGAGTACTTTGAAGTATCATCACAGTATCGTTCACTGTCCCATCAATGCCATGTTCCGCCTGCTGCACTGCAGGATGCCTTGCAACTTCCCACTGGGCTCATCGTTGTGACCGTTGTGGTTGTGATGATTTCATAGCTCTGCTTCACAAATGTGTCCTTCACTTCGCCTGGCGTCATACCCCTGTTGCAGGGCTGCCACCCAAAAAAAAACAAGAACTCAGGGTATGGTGACCGATGATGACCGAAAGTGAGGTCCCAAAGAACCCAAATTTGGATCAATTTGAATTAACAACGTCTGGCACTGGCCTAATGCTCTTTTCCCATTTTTTCGGCATGGCCTGTCTCACAGTCATAGTCCAGAAGCCGCACTCTCCACAAGAGGGTCCTGGAGCCATCTGGATGTTTGTCCACATAGACGCCAGTGCCTGCAGCACCAATGTAGCCTCTACCACGCTCTGGCCCAGTCCATCCCAAAGGTAACGTGACATTCTCGACTGCTTTCAGGGACACCACGTCCTCGCCGTCTCTAACCAGATTGAGGCAATGAGTGAAATGGATGAAAAATGATGAAAAGATATGAAAAGGACGAAGCGGAACGAAAAAAAAGCAAACATTCGAATCATTCGAAAAAGTGGACATATCGGTTTGGAACCTCTGGAAATGAAGAACCCTTGGTACATGGTTTAGTAATTGAGAATGGACTCTGGCCGTGCAAGTTGATTGGACTCAAAATTCAATCAAGCGCAAGGAGTTATGTCGCTGGACGCAAATGCCTCCAGTTTTTCTTGCCCACTCCTGCGTGGTCGTGAACCTTGCATAGAGGTAGGGGTATTCGTTGTCATGACCATGTCCATACCACTTTTGCGATGAAGCCCCTGGTGCTCCAAAGTAGTATAGATTTCCATGCCATGACCATTCGTCTGCAAGGGACTGATCTGCCTGGCAGCTTGTTTGAAGTTCACGATCTGATTTGGCCATCCGCTATGTCCAACAAAAACTGAAATGTTTGGCCATTCCAGGTAGGTTCCTTTAAAAGACTCATCGGTTGTGGTGGGGTTGTTTGAGGTTGCAATAGTTTGATGCGTGGGGATGGGCTTTCCAGATACAGGAATTAAACAGGCATCGGTCGGCATCGGTCATAGCTGTAAATGAAAGTCGCAGTTTAGTACCAAATGAACAACAGCTTAGGTGATGGCTGACTGACAGCCCCATCAACACAAGGTCAAGCTCAACACTTGGGTGATTCAACTACGAAGCCAACAGTTTTGTTTTTTGGTTTGTCAACATCGGGCCTTTGATAACAGTCTTGTAATACTGTGGCAATTGCACCGTCTAAAGTCTAAAGATCAGTTGGACGATGTCTTAATGTACAGTGTACAGGCCATACCCTGATAAATTTCCACTTTTAATTTTGTAGATTGCAAATCAAGATCATTCTACATTAGTTATGCTATGTGAACATTCTGCCACGTGTGCCAACAGGCGCAGTTGGGATGGTGTTAAGAATCAACATGTTCACCACATGGAGTGAGCAACACTTGAAGCTTGACCAGTACTGCCTGTGCAACAGGCAACTTGGGCCCAACTCAACCGGGTAGAACAACACGTATACATAAGTACACATACGTCTCTTAGAAAGGTAAGATACAGCAATATCAAAGCCAATGGACAACCATGTGACAAGTCTTCGTTGCTCACAGTTTTTCAATGCTGTTTTTCTATGAATTTGCCATGTTTAGCCGTTGCCATGCCGGTGCCGCCTTATACTTGGTCCACCTTTCAGGTCCGGATGCCACCAGCAGGCCATTCTCCAACTTCACCTCCGCGGGCGTCTCCCGCGGCGTGCCGGGGATGAAGAGCTGGAAGGCGGGATCCCCGAAGAGGGCGATGTTCATCATGACGTAGTTGGCGATCACCTGCCGGTCGCATCACTGAAAATACATGAAAATACTGAAATCGGAGAAGAGCCACAACTGCGGAGAAAAAAATGCTTCAGCGATACGTGATCTAATGATCTATCGTGATATCATGTGATATTGCAATACATTGCAAGTCGTAAGGTGCCACAGCGATCATCTCCATTTTCCCACGCCTCTTCACCTGGTTGATCTTGGAAATTTACGGCAATGTTGTTCCAACCTGGGGCCGCGAGACGCTCTGCACACTGGCGCTGTTTCTAAAGGGAAATCCCATCCACCAACCTCAAGAGACCCAGCAGATGTTAGGGTTAGGTCCTGAACTCCTGCATAACCAAAGCTCTTAGATCTCTTAGAATTTGGTGTTCCATGACCCAGAAAATGCACTTATCCTATCAGTCTAAACTGACGCACCATGGTGTTGGCCTTGACATGTACACGCCTGCTGGCCAGAGGGGTTTCCCAAACACGCCAAGAAAAAAGAAACATCCTGGGAATCCTGGGAATCTGATTCTAAAAAAAACAATGTCATTCAATGTCAGCGAACCATCTTTGAAGGCTTCTCCCATTGTCTTCTTCAATGCAATCTGATTCCAGAAGGTCGAGTGCACCAAGCCAGAGCCTGTGATAGCATTCCGCGGGCCACCCAGAAAACCCACTGCACCGTAGTGGAGCAAAGTGAGGACCACAGAGTCCTTGGGATCTGACAATTTGTCGAAGCCAGCGGTTGAACATCCACCTGACAGTGACAGGAGCCCGGCATCTGCTAATTGATGGATAATGGTTACACTTAAATCCAATTAAATCCCTTAACTGCTGATTTCATCCCGAATAAGCAGCCATTAGCCGGGCGGTGATGTTGCCCTGAGTAAAAGAGACGTGGAGATCAAAAGTCATTGGTAGTCGGTAAGCCGGTAAGCATCTCGCTGCTTCATCTGCACAAGGAAGGGAAATCCATCATCTTCAAATCATCTACAGCTGGAGATTTTACGCCATGATTTGCCATGTGTGCTCACCAAATGGTAAACTGAATCATGGTCGAATCTTTGGGCTTTTATGGGCTTTTCAAGCTGACGGTTCAGTTGCTTCCTGATTACGTTACCCTTGCATACCCTTGCCTGAGCTGAAGATGGAAGGAGAGAAGAGAACCTCTGAGGCATAGCTGAAAGAGTGCCCCATGCCACCAGCCCCCGCATGATCAAGGTGCAGGAAGGCTGAGACATGAAGCTTCTTGAGCTTGAGGATGTCCAAATATTCCACAATCTCAGGGGCTGCAAATCCCACATTCTCCAGGGCTGGACGCCACGTATCCGCAGAGGATTTTAATTTGCCACCTGGTCGCTTCAATATGCATAAAATGAACAAGAGTCAGTTGGAATGATATTATATAGCTGTAGCTGATCATCCCGAAATTAAAAATCTGCTATCTGCCGCATGGCTTAGGTTTGGATTCATGAGATTCATGGGGATTCCAGAAACCAGGCCACAAAACCACCAGTTCACCATTGGTTTCAACCTCCCAATATCGCTCACTCAATGCCATCCCAAGGGAGGTAAACTCAACAACACGGAAAGCTTGGAAAAAATATGGAGAAAATCATCAGAGCGACCCATGGCGTACTTTCCCTCTGATTCTGGATCACGGACATACTCATAGTTGGCAATGCGAGAAACCAATAAGCTGCCAGAGCTCAAATCTCGGGCCACCACACGACCCAAGGCCACATCCATGAACATGTCCTCATCCAAATCACCTGATTGTTCAAACCATTTCAAACCCAGAACACTTTTCTGAAAGAAGTGCCGAATCAGAAAATCATGGAAAATCTGCCTCCAGATTTAGCGCTCAAAATGCGCAAAAAGCTTCCGCAGGCTTCCGCGACTATCCGCGACTGCCCCATGCGTTTTGCACGTCAGCAATGACACCTTTCTGATACTTTCTGCACATCCTTGCGCCCAGCCCCTCCCAAAAACAAGAATCAAATATGGATTACTGTGAAAAATTGTTGCACGACCATCGGCTATCCAGTCACCGTAAGGAGCATCGCGACACTTCTCTTCGAAGAAAAGTGTACCTGTCTCACAGTGCAAGGGGATGGCCTGCGGCCCTCCCACCAGGGCCAGGAATTTGGGCATTCCATGGGCAGCCACGTGCCGTTGAATCTGGTCCTTGGCCGCAGCCGCCGAGATGTCCCCCTCGAGGGGAAGGACCGCCCCGTTCCGAAGTGTTGCTAGCATGGGAGCCAGTGCAGACCTGCGCGGAGCAACCCAGCTGCTCAAGGCAAGCTATAGACCCACTTGAGACAAATAGGACACACATGCATCAATGACCAAAACTGATTGTATCTGATTACGCTTAGAAAATGTCAACCACAATGCCACCAGTCATGGGTAATGTTCATTATATAATTTGCATCGTCAACCGCCAAGTGACAGGGACTGGAATGGCGACATGCTTTGGTCTGCAGGGTTCACCACCGCCAAGTACTCCGGTTTGCCCAAGGCGTTGAAGACATCCCCCGCCGTGTGCAACGTCGAGACGGTCACGCCGCCAAATGACCATCCGTCTGATCCAACGTAGGTGACATCAGTGATCTTCAGCTCGGTAAAGATGGACGTCAAACCGCTGCCATCATCCAAGATCAGAGGCACAGACTGCTGCGCTGCCAATGGAGCCGCCATCAAAGCAGCCTGCGAGCTCTGCGATTTCACAATGTGCCCCGACCGGTGCACACCATGGGGGATATATGGGATACCACTTTAAACTCAAGGACTCCACATGACTTTTTGGGGGGAGACGCCTCCTGATCTCTTCCAAGCACATGGATCGAAGAGGCTTAAGAGTTAAGAGTCAAGAGGTTACAAAAAAAAGTATCGGAAGCAACCCAATGAAAGGGGAAGGCCAGGAAGGCCAGGGAAGGCCATGCCACCCTGTGGATTGTTCCACCTAACCGGCGACATGGGGGATCTGCTCATTGAAACCAGTACATCATGATAGCGGTAAACTGACGAAGGACGCAAGACGGAGCCCACGAACCCAATGCAAACCAAAGGAAAAAAATGAAAACTCCCTTACAACACTGTTGTAGAACACTCCACCGCAACACTCTTGCAAAACACCTTTGTAGAACAGCCATCCTGGACATGCACCTTTTTGACTCTCCGAATCATGCCGCTCCCATTTCGGAATGTGGCGACACCATTGTGCTAGTGAACTGCAAGTAGATACACTTTCGCGCAGTATTTAGACTTCGACCGTGTGAAAGTAAAACTTGAGGCCAGGGGGGAGGTAAGAAAGCTAGCAGGGCTGGGGTAGGGTGGTAATCATAAAGGGGGATTAGCAAGGTGAAGTCGGAATGCGGCAACGGTCTTACGTGGTTTTTTGGAGTTGCTGCAAGTCATAAACAGCGCCAATTTTTTAATGTTGATGAGGTTGCTGACCAGAACGATGAAGGAAACTGATGATGACCAAAGTGATGGTAACAGGAATGAGTTGGTGACGACGATAATGAGGACGAAGAGGATGACGAGGATGATGAAGATGATGGGGATGATGAGGATGATGAGGATGCTTAAAAAAAAATGAAGATGAAAATGAGGATGGTGAGTATGATGAGCAGGGCTGTTGTAGGGTTGCAAAATCTATTGAGTCCAGCAAGCGAAAACCCCCCAATGCAGTAATCGTCTCTCGCCAAGTGTTGTAACCAAAAGAAACGCAATATCAAAAAAAACGCCCCCCCAAATGGCCAAATGGAAGCCCGAATCTGCTTAAAGATTTTCGAGACGATGCAACATATGTATGAAAATGATAGGGCTGATGATGAGGATGAGGATGTTGTTGACGATGATGATGATGATGATGACGATGACGATGACGATGACGATGATGATGCTGATGATGACGACGAGGAGGAGGAGGAGGAAGATAATTATGATCATTTGGAAGCCGGCAAGTTTCCGATGATGATTTTATAGAGTTGTTGGTTGGTTTACTGAACATGACGTCCTGAAGATGAAATACTGAAGAGGACGACCCTATACCTGCAGGAAACCAATGGCCCAGCGGGACCAGGGGATGAGGATGCTGATCAACAACGAGGAGGACGAAGAGGATGATGAGGATGAGGATGAGGATGATGATGATGATGATGATGATGATGATGATGATGATTCTGATGATGATGATGATGATGATGATGATGACGATGACGATGACGATGACGATGACGATGATGATGACGATGACGATGACGATGACGATGATGATGATGATGATGATGATGATGATGACTATGATGATGATGATGATGATGATGATGAGGAGGAGGAGGATGAGGATGAGGATGATGAGGATGAGGATGAGGATGAGGATGATGATGATGATGGTGATGATGATGATGATGATGATGATGATGATGATGATGATGATGATGATGATGATGATGATGTGGATGTTGATGTGGATGTGGATGTGGATGTGGATGCTGCGGATGATGGGGATGATGGGGATGATGGGGATGATGCTGAGGAGGGTGATGATGGGGATGAGTTGACACAAGCCTAATAGCTGTAACAGCGAACACGATCTAGAGCACGATTTTTGGCACGAGGGAGAGCACAAAAAAGCACGATCTAGAGCACGATTTTTGGCACGAGGGAAAGCACCAAAAAGCACGATTTGTGGCACGAAGGAGACAACCAAAAAGCACGATTTTGTGCACGAAGGAGAGCGCCAAAAAGCACGATGTGGCACGAGAGAGAGCACCAAAAAGCACGATTTGTGGCACGAAGGAAAGCACCAAAAAGCACGATTTTCGGCCAAGGGAGAGCACAAAAAAGCACGATCTAGAGCACGATTTTTGGCACGAGGGAAAGCACCAAAAAGCACGATTTGCGGCACGAAGGAGAGCACCAAAAAGCACGATTTTGTGCACGAAGGAGAGCACCAAAAAGCACGATCTAGAGCACGGTTTGTGGCACGAGGGAGAGCACCAAAAAGCACAATTTTTGGCACGAGGGACAACAACAAAAACCACGATTTTGTGCACGACGGAGAGCACCAAAAAGCACGATCTAGAGCACGATGCTTGGACAAAGGAGAGCAATGCACGAAGGAGAGCACCAAGAAGCAAGAATTTTGGCACGAAGGAGAGCACCAAAAAGCACGATATAGAGCACGGTTTTGGCACCAGGGAGAGCACCAAACAGCACAATTTTTGGCACGAGGGACAACAACAAAAACCACGATTTTGTGCACGAGGGAGAGCACCAAAAAGCACGATCTAGAGCACTATTTTTTGCACGAGGGAAAGCACCCAAATGCACGATTTTGTGCACAAAAACAACGCTCGCCCAAAATATAAAGAAATCCTTTTTTTGACTGTTACAGCTATTAGGACGGACTCCAGGGATGAGGGTGATGAGGGTGAGGATGAAGATGAAAATGAGGATGATGACCCTCTACCAGCCGGAAATCTCCTCTCGGGGGGGCTCGGGGGGGACCAGGGGGATCGAACCTGGGCCTGCCGGGGGTGAGGGGGGTCTAACTGGAAAGTTTCAGGGTTTCCAACTCCCTGCCTATTCCTTGCTAAAGCAAGAGCAACTTCAGCTAGCACAGCTAGCTTTCGTGAAAAGCGACCGACGGCGATCCAAAAAGTGACGCTTTGACACTTTTGTGGCACACTTTTGTGGCGAGCGGTAATGCCAAACCCGTGGTGAAAAAACCTCCATCCAGATCCCCACGGCAGGAACCTACCGCTGCGCATTGGACAAAAAAAGAAAGTTCAATGTGGTTGCGGCGTCTATGGTGGCTCCATGGCCATGTGGCTACCGGCACACGAGCCGACGTCCGAGTTGTAATCTTCACATATCTTCACGCCGAGGTGCTGCGTAGTTGTCACATTTCGCCACCACCGCCTTGGAAGTCTCGGGCCAAAAGTGTTTCGCCAGCACCAGCGATGCCGAACATGGGCTTGTCGCCTCCAATTGGACAGTGTTGGCAAGACCAGGCATGCTTTGAGCTGCACCAACCATGAAGGTGGTCTCAGGTTGGAAACCTGCAACAGCAGCTTGCAGGGAAAGTTGGGAAAGTTGGAATAGGGCTGTCCCACTATGCTATGATACATTCCCATACATTCCCATGGTCCATGATAGGCCGTCTTTGGACAACTGGGGTGCCAAAGGGCATTATTTTTTCAATTGTTTTCAAACCATCAAACCATCCATGTGGGCAGTACCGTTGCGCCATCCCACTTGATGGCAAGTCGCTTTTCAGAAAATCTTCAGCAGCAGCATCCGAAATTCCACTGAGGATGGCAGGCTCCTTGCCAGTCTTTGAGGCCGCCGGGATCGTTGCCTCGTGGCCAGGGGAAACTGCCCTCCTCCGGCAAGTACACCGCAAATTATTTGGCCAAGGGGCCAACTGCAACCCTCTATTCTTGAGGGCCCGGTGTGTGACCCATGCATGCCCATTTCAGTATAAGGTTGATTATTTCACCCCAAGATAATCATTGGAATCAATGGCAAGTTGGTGATTAGGGTACAAACCACAGTATATCAAACTATGGAGTCCATAACCACCACTTTACCATTGGTCAACCAATTATAAATGATGAACCCAATCAAAACATAGAGCAGTTAAACCCCTACTTAGGCTAGTAGTATTCTAGTAGTACTGTAATTGCCTAGTTTGTATCTCTGTGCACCTGGGCTTCACACATCCTACTTGACCATGCAAACCTTGAGCCATGGGTCATGCCAGACTTCCCAGGCCAACCCCAACATTATTATGCCCTTGTTTCGCTGAACAGCAACCCCTGGAGCTTTAGGTCGACCTCCCACCCAACCAGCCAAAGGCACGAGCATCAGCATGGGCTCAGCTGGCAGAAGAAACAGACTTCGTTCAAAGCCCGGAGGTTTTGACTTTGCCACGATGACGGTGGGCGCGGTAGTTGTGGTCCTGGTTTCACGCCCGCTCCGGTGCGGACGTTTGAGGCACGTGGAAATCGGTCAAGATTTTCCAAAGCATTGTCTCCAAAGCTTCTTTAAAGGTCCTGGTACTCATACCACGTTGTACAATGCAGAAGTGTTTACCAGGGGGTTCCCATACCTTGACCTGGAGAACACCCTGTTCATTACGTGGCACATGCTCTGAATATCAAGTTCTCCTGGACATGTGGCCTTGCCTTTCAAAGGACACCACCTATATCGGCTGCTAGCATCCGTTAGCAAAAACAAGGTTGTTGTCCACGGAGTCTCTTTGGATATGGGCATCCTAAACCTCAAAAAGTATAACTACGGTGCTTGCTGGATTTTCAATAGTGAAACCTTCCCATCAAAATTTGACTGATCCCATACCCATCGAGATTGATGATGCTCCGGTCAGCTGCTGATTGCAGCTGAGCGTCGTGGTGACTTCTGCTTCGTTGCCACATGGGCAGAGCCGGGAATAGCTTCCGCCCGCGTTTCCACCACAGCTGTTCGTCAATTGGATGCCATAGGCGCAAATACCAACACAGTTGCCACCACAACAGGACGCATCGCTGCAAATAGCAGGCATGTTCTCATAGCCCCAGCCTGAGGTTGTCAACATGGATTACTGGAGCGAAAAAATGCTGACCCGCATGAGAGTGCGCAATACCCAGATGCCAAACGGATCTGGTCCAAACTCTGCATGACCCAATTGAAACTATCCTCTCGTGAGCTGTTGGGAGGGATGTTGGGGGAATGCTTTCAGAACCTCAATCATCGGAATAACTATATTAGGTGGTTCTTCAAACTCTTTGCCAGAGTTCCAGGCCCCTGTCAACCTTATCCCCTTGTCTAACATCACTTATGAAATCATAAACAACAATTGATCAAGGGCTTTTAACCAAGCAAGCCAGGATTCTTAGCTGGGAGTTTCCCTTCCACCCACCACATTTTGTCGTCTCTCTCTCTCTCTCTGGCTTTTTTTGGAACCTGATGGTCTATTCAAACTTTGAAGCCTGCAGCCTGCCGAAACCGCCGACCCCATCTGCCAGCGTCCCTACCTGCTGTGCCGTTGCATGTCAGTCCCGCTTCCTGGGCAGCAGCAATCACCTGCTGAGCGCTGTCCACGGAAAAGATCTGCGAGCCATGACAGAACATCCTGCGGAGCTGAGCTCGAGGGCCTCAACGTGGTGAAATTGGGATAGGCCATGATACGCCTTGATGGTTCATTCAGGTGATTTAAACCATGCCACTGAGAACATGGACAAACCTGGCCCTGAGGGGCATATCTCAAATTTTAAAACTGCAAAATCCAGTTGTTCAATCATGGTCCCTGTCCATGGACACCGTGCTTCAAAATGCTGAGACATCAACGTGTAGGCCGTGTAGGCACAGTCTATATTCCAGGCACGGGGGCAAAGCATCTTCACGAAACATTAAGGTGGTCAATCGAAGAAACATCTCTGAAGATCCGAAGGCTTCTTGACGAATATTGAATAACCCATCCCTGAAAATTCATTTACAAAAAAATACGGATACTGTTTTATCGGCATTGTCATCTCTGCCATTATGGTTTTAAAAATGTTCAGCCTTTTGCAGGCTTGATCTCATTGGTTGTTGGCGGTTCTTCACCCATTCAGATGCAGTTGAAACAGTTTGACACATACAAACTGGATCAAACTGGGTTTCAGGGAAAATTCCAAACGGAAGACCATGGCTTTTCCACCCGCGGAGGCTTCCCCGGGCGGTCCCATAGCTTGCGCAGCCAACGTCGCATGATTCACCTGGACCAGCCAACTTCCAGCTGAACGCCTAGGCGAATCAACCGAGTCGTGTTCCCATCATCCATCATCCCATAGCTCAAGAATCGCCAATGATCATCCCAAAATGATCCAAAATGGTGGTTTTAAGTTGACAATGTCGACAAGAGGATACCCTCCGGTAATCATGGAAATCACGACTTCCAACTGATCAACAACTGCAACATCGCCAGATTGAATCACCGGAGGGTAGATGAAACAACTGAAACAACCATTCAGTGTCCGCTGCAGTCGCAAGTTCGCTCTTGGCCACCGTCTTCTGCAATAGCACACGGCTGGACGCAGCAGCATCACAGCTGTCCTCGCTCGAAACACCTTTGGCAAACAGCAAACATGCAGTAAAGAACATCAGCTTCATGAAAGCGTTCATGACGACAAGCGACACAAAGCACGGTATTGAGAGGGAAAGTGTTCTGATCAAGAAATTGCTGCATGGAATCGGGCATTTGTCCACTGGACAAGTTGTTTGGTGTGTCTTGAATGCCCAAAGGTGCAGGGCATGCCAGGTGCCCAACATATGGCTATACCCCAATTTCACATCTACAAGGACATGTTTGAAGCATTTCATAGCACTTCACATATCTGTCACCAGCACCAGTAAGGCATCACAGCCCTGCAGGATGTCTGCTCCTCGCTGCAACTTGCTTCCTGTCCTCAGCGCAGTGCTGCAGGGAGTAGTGCGGCAACTTGAACTCTGCAGTCTTGCACAGTATGTTATGGCCAGTTATGCCATGCTAATTTCAACGGTGATTTACTGCTCTATCTTGTCGGGAATCACTGCATGTCGAATGTCCTGCATTTCCACTTTCCTATGCAGTAAGAGGGGTTTCAGGGTATTCTTGAACCGTCTAACCTGTCGGAGAAGCCGCCTGTGCAGCTTTTCAGCCCAACTCCAGCAACCGAAGCTTGGCCAAGTCTCCTTTCAAGGCTTGGCTTCGGCATGTCGCCGTAGCCCTTGGAATCCTTGGCTGCCTTCAGTTTGGCCGCACCTTTCCAGGGTTGCTCAAAACCACTGCAGCACTGCCCATGCCAGTGAAGAGCAAGGGGACCAAATCCTGGGCTACGGAGCCTCTGCAAAAAGAAAACATGGCAAGAAACCTGGCTGCGGTCCTCAACTTCATCGTTTCAAGAAATGGCCGGGGTACCCACAGATTCACCCATGATTCACACACCCACCTTATCTGTTTCTTGTGTTTTCTCTCTATGGCATTTGAACATTCAAATTATGGATCATCGTCCACCCCTACAGGCAACGACGTGATCTTGCAAGAGTCTTCTGTAAGCTCCTCTCCAGCGAAGGAGTGGTAGGCCAGGTCCTTTTTGGGCCGGAATTCTTTGAATTTCCTTGTGGCTGGCTGAAGCAGTGTAGTGTCATGACTGTATAGTCCCAAATTTTGGGGTGCGGTGCCACCACACTTGCGTCTAGAAGTTCTACTGGGCCAACGTCGGATTCGGAAACTTCAGCGTCGGATTCGGAAACTCCCAGGCCCTCGGATTCGGAAACTCGCTGCCCCCCGGATTCGGAAACTCCCAGGCCCTCGGATTCAGAAACTCGCCGCCCGCCGGATTCGGAAACTTCAGCGGCGGATTCGGAAACTTCCAGGCCCTCGGATTCGGAAACTCGCTACCCCCCGGATTCGGAAACTCCGAAGCCCACGGATTCGGAAACTCGCTGCCCCCCAGATTCGGAAACTGCAACCTCGGATTTGGAAACTTCCAGGCCCTCGGATTCGGAAACTTCCAGGCCTTCGGATTTGGAAACTTGCTGCCCCCCGGATTCGGAAACTTCGAAGCTCACGGATTCGGAAACTCGCAGGCCTTCGGATTCGGAAACTTGCCGCCCCCCCTGGATTCGGAAACTTCAACGTCGGATTCGGAAACTTCGTCTTAGCCGCCCGGATTTGGAAACTGCACGGACACACTGATTCGGAAACTCCCAGGCCCTCGGATTCGGAAACTTCGCAACCGCCCCACTTTGCATTGAGGACTACTATTGCATGTAGGGCTTTGGGGGGGAAGTTTCGAAAATGACTTGCAATCGTGACAAGAACTCTATGAAAGGGAAGGATTTGCATTGAGGACTACTATTGCATGTAGGGCTTGGGGGGGAGTTTAGAAAATGACTTTCAATCATGACAAGAACCCTTTCAAGCGAAGGATGTGCATTCAGGAATACCATTGCATGTATTCTTTGGGCGGGGAAGTTTAGAAAATGACTTGCAATCGTGACAAGAACTCTATGAAAGAGGAGGCTGCCAATGGAGGAGTACCATTGCATGTAGGGCTTTGGGCGGGGAAGTTTAGAAAATGATTTGCAATCGTGACAAGAACTCTATGAAAGAGGAGGCTGCCAATGGCGGAATACCATTGCATGTAGGGCTTTGGGGGGGAGTTTAGAAAATGACTTGCAATCGTGACAAGAACTCTATGAAAGAGGAGGCTGCCAATGGAGGAATACCATTGCATGTAGGGCTTTGGGGGGGGGAAGTTTAGAAAATGACTTGCAATCGTGACAAGAACTCTATGAAAGGGAAGGATGTGCATTCAGGAATATCATTGCATGTAGGGCTTTGGCGGGGAAGTGTAGAAAATGACTTGCAATCGTGACAAGAACTCTATGAAAGGGAAGGATGTGCATTCAGGAATACCATTGCATGTAGGGCTTTGGGGGGGGATTTGGAAAATGACTTGCAATCGTGACAAGAACTCTATGAAAGAGGAGGCTGCCAATGGAGGAATACCATTGCATGTAGGGCTTTGCGGGGGGAAGTTTAGAAATTACTTGCAATCGTGACAAGAACTCTATATGAAAGGGCAGGATGTGCGTTGAGGAATACCTTTGCATGTAGGGCTTTGGGGGGGGAAGTTTAGAAAATGACTTGTAATCGTGACAAGAATTCTATGAAAGGGAAGGATATGCATTGAGGACTACTATTGCATGTTGGGCTTGGGGGGGGAGTTTAGAAAATGACTTGCAATCGTGACAAGAACTCCTTACAAGCGAAGGATGTGCATTGAGGAATACCATTGCATGTAGGGCTTTGGTGGGGAAGTTTGGAAAATGACTTGCAATCTTGACAAGAACTCTATGAAAGAGGAGGCTGCCAATGGAGGAACACCATTGCATGTAGGGCTTTGGGGGGGAAGTTTAGAAAATGACTTGCAATCGTGACAAGAATTCTATGAAAGGGAAGGATGTGCATTCAGGAATACCATTGCATGTACGGCTTTGTGGGGAAGTTTAGAAAATGACTTGCAATCGCGACAAGAGCTCCTTACAAGCGAAGGATGTGCATTGAGGAATACCATTGCATGTAGGGCTTTGGGGGGGAAGTTTAGAAAATGACTTGCAATCGTGCCAAGAACTCTTTGAAAGGGAAGGATTTGCATTGAGGACTACTATTGCATGCAGGGTCTTGGGGGGGGAAGTTTAGAAATGACTTGCAATCGTGACAAGAATTTGAAGGGGAGGGATTTGCATTGAGGACTACTATTGCATGTAGGGCTTTTGGGGGGAAGTTTCGAAAATGACTTGCAATCGTGACAAGAACTCTATGAAAGGGAAGGACTTGTATTGATGACTACTATTGCATGTAGGGCTTTGGGGGGAGAAGTTTCGAAAATGACTTGCAATCGTGACAAGAACTCCTTACAAGCGAAGGATGTGCATTCAGGAATACCATTGCATGTAGGGCTTTGGGGGGAAGTTTAGAAAATGACTTGCAATCGTGACAAGAACTTTTTAAAAGGGAAGGATTTGCATTGAGGACTACTCTTGCATGTAGGGTTTTGGGGGGGAGTTTAGAAAATGACTTGCAATCGCGACAAGCACTCTATGAAAGGGAAGGATTTGCATTGAGGACTACTATTGCATGTTGGACTTTGGGGGTGGCCAAGAACTCTATGACAGAGGAGGTTGTGAATTGGGAAATACCATTGCATGTGATGCTTTGGGCGGTTTTTTTTTAATGACGCTGGAGTTTCGGAATCGGAACACACTGAAGTGCCTGAATCGAGGCAACCTGGAGTTTCTGAATCGGGATGTACAGTGGAGTTTCTGAATCGAGGCAACCCGGAGTTTCTGAATCGGGTCAACCCGGAGTTTCTTAATCGGGAGAGAGTGGAGTTTCCGAATCGGGACATATGCTGGAGTTTCTGAATCGGGACACGCTGGAGTTTCTGAATCGGGACACGCTGGAGTTTCTGAATCGGGACACAGAGGAGTTTCTGAATCGGGGCAACCTGGAGTTTCTGAATCGGGGCAACATGGAGTTTCTGAATCGGGACACAATGGAGTTTCTGAACCGGGGCAACCCGGAGTTTCTGAATCGGGAGAGAGTGGAGTTTCTGAACCGGGGCAACCTAGAGTTTCTGAATCGGGGCAACCTGGAGTTTCTGAATCGGGGCAATCTGGAGTTTCTGAATCGGGACACAGAGGAGTTTCTGAATCGGGACACGCTGGAGTTTCTGACTCGGGACACAGAGGAGTTTCTGAATCGGGGCAACCTGAAGTTTCTGAATCGGGACACAGAGGAGTTTCTGAACCGTGGCAACCAGGAGTTGCTTGAATCCTTGGAGTTTCTGAATTGGAATTTCTGAATCGGAGTTTCTGAATCGGGGAAAGTTTCTGAATCGTAATTTATCCATGTGCATTGAGGACTACTATATTGCATGTAGGGCTTTGGGGGGGGAAGTTCAGAAAATGACTTGCAATCGTGACAAGTACTCTATGAAAGGGAAGGATTTGCATTGAGGATTACTATTGCATATGTAGGGCTTTGGGGGGGGAAGTTTAGAAAATGACTTGCAACCGTGCCAAGGGTGGAGTTTCTGAATCGGGACACACTGGAGTTTCTGAATCGAAACACGCTGGAGTTTCTGAATCGGGACAGAGTGGAGTTTCTGAATCGGGGCAACCTGGAGTTTCTGAACTGGGGCAACCTGGAGTTTCTGAATCGGGACACAAAGGAGTTTCTGAATCGGGGCAACCTGGAGTTTCTGAATCGGGGCAACCTGGAGTTTCTGAATCGGGACACAGTGGAGTTTCTGAATCGGGACACAGAGGAGTTTCTGAATCGGGGCAACCTGGAGTTTCTGAATCGGGACACAGAGGAGTTTCTGAATCGGGACACGCTGGAGTTTCTGAATCGGGACACAGAGGAGTTTCTGAATCGGGGCAACCTGAAGTTTCTGAATCGGGACACAGAGGAGTTTCTGAATCGGGACACAGAGGAGTTTCTGAATCGGGGCAACCTGAAGTTTCTGAATCGGGACACAGAGGAGTTTCTGAATCGGGACACGCTGGAGTTTCTGAATCGGGACACAGAGGAGTTTCTGAATCGGGGCAACCTGAAGTTTCTGAATCGGGACACAGAGGAGTTTCTGAACCGTGGCAACCAGGAGTTGCTTGAATCCTTGGAGTTTCTGAATCGGGGAAAGTTTCTGAATCGTAATTTATCCAGTTCGGCCAAAGTCATCAGCGTCATCGAATTCCTCCTCTGAAGCTCGGGGGCTCAGCCGCGAAGTCCCATGCGCAACGGACAAAACACCACAAAAATCTTGAAACAAATAGGCAATAGGACAATCACGGGCCCAAATCACATGCGAAGCTGCTATCGTGGCCCCGAATCACCCTCCGATAACCCCAAATCACACTCTGGCATTTTGAAGATATCAGTTCCCAAATGGATCAAATGCTATCGTATTCAAACGTAAATCATGCGTCGACAAACCTCCCATTCACCATCATTCCCCCCTTCCCGTCCTCTCCAGGGTCGATCCACACCAAAGGACACACCAAACGTGGGATCTTCCACTTGCCCTGCCCGACATGCAAATCCAGGACCTGTCGTCCCTCCGGTCTCCTGCGTGCCACGCTGGAAACTGGGCTCATGCAGACTAGAGCCTTTGGTCAGAAGTTTTTGAAGGCAGAGGCCTTGATTCTCATGGATGATACAGTATTTCCCCAGGACTTTGTTGGTTAGAATGGGGAAATATCCATGTTACTTCTTGCATAGTATTCCTATATATTCCTATATTATCCGATGTTCCTTCCCAAAATTGTCATCCTTCTTGGTATGTTTCAAAGCTTCACTGGCTCGCGCTCAACCATCGCTCCAAGGGCATGAAATTTCCGTCAACAAAAAACGCCGGATGCATCGAAGTGCCAACAACGCCCTTTTTCTGTCTGCGCCGCCAGACAATGATCGAAGCGAAGGTCAATGATATGGCCCTTTCAAAGTCAGTGGGCCCATGGTGAGTCATAACTATGTTGTCTGCCTGACGACAACCAATGAAGAGGTCCTCCGAGTTCTCCCACCTACCTTACATAGTATGGCAGCGGGGACTTGTTCCATAACTAGCCAAAAACGTTGGAACATGCCTGCTCACAGCCTTTCTCGGGCTCGCAGTGGTTACCATTGCAAGTGCTGGAGCAAGAAGTGCACTGGTTGGCCCAGCTACTTCCAGAAGGCCCATGCACCTGGAAGCCATCCAATTTTTGGGATGTCCCTGGTCATGGTTCAAAAGGACATCCCAAAAATTGGATGGTGATCAGATCTACGTTTGATACCCGAAGATCTCCGAAGCATAACATGTAACCAAAAGATGATTGCACATCCCAATGGAAAAACTATGTTCCAAACCAGCCTTCCCTTTAAAATGTCCACATCCTTAAACGCGACTACTTTTTGTGCCGGTTTCTTTCCTATGCCCACCTCATTGAAGCAGCCCGTCATTCCTTTGCAACTCTCCAGGCAGGCGTCTTGGTCGCTGAAACCAGGGCGAGTTCACAGCCGATTTGGCAACTTGGCCGCTCACACCCACTGTCCGAACCACAGCAGAAGCCATCCTGGACGTGGCATGGCGGCTTCGTCTTGGGTCAAACGAACCAGGAAACCTTGTCTTTAAAGAGGATTCCTAACTTTGAGATTGCTTCCAGGTTGGCAAAGGCTGGACCCTTTTGCTGCCATGAAAAAGTAAATCTATGATTCCGTCGCATCGCAAAGCTGCTGACCGCGAGAACTAACTACTTTCAATTGCCCCAAATAAAAAATGCCCAAAGATTGACGAGCGTCGTCTGCACACTTCATCTTGCAAATTTGGAGCGGACCAGGTGGAGTGGTGGTGGTTGTGGTGGGCGGAGCCGGCAAACCAAGGGAATGGCAGGCATGTTCACATCCACCCGCTGGCTCGCAATGCTCCCCATCGCAGGTGTCTGCGCACGAAGTGCACAAGTTCGAATGGCCCCAGGCGACATTCCACTGAAAGCATTCGGTCATAGTCTGGCATTTCTCAATGCAGGACCAAACCTCAGCGGTCGAAAAACTTCTCCAACCTTGACAAATATGTTCAGTTCCAAGGCATGAAAAGAACTGGGCGTTTGACCATGGTATTCACCACCTGTCAAGTGAGGGCCTCCAGATTGCTGGTCAATCTCATTTCGTTTTTCTCCCTCCTCCTCTTTGTCTTCCGGTTATTTCAGTTCTTATCGCCCGTTGTCTCACTTCGTCACTTCCGTCGGACCTCACCCTTGCCAAGTTTATATGTGAAACTGCCTAGTCACCGTTACATATTTAGATGTGTGTGTGTGTGCGTTGAGTTCAGTGTGTGTTGAGGTTGAGGTTGTGTGGAGTGAAGTGTGCATTGAGTTGTGTGTGTGTCTCTCTCTCTCTCTATCATGATATTGCTGAGTGTTTCGCAACGGGCAGTGCGGCTTCAAATCCCTGCGAATATGGCAGAATATGTGCCAGCATCTACAAGAGAATCTATGCCAGCGCCCACGTCAGAATCCAGTGTCACTAAGATAAAGCTCATATACTGTGTTTCCAAGTCATGGTTGGAGGTTGGGGTGCGCTCCAAATAAGCAATGGATGTTTTGTTTTGCATTTTTTGGGACGCCACCTCCCAACATGAAAACTGCTTGCGCAACCTGGTTATATGACGAATGCTTTGAGCTGCCCAGAAACGCTTTCTTCATACAGCCCAACCTCACAACCTTGATGGCAGCTCGGAAGTGCACAACCACTATTGGTTCCGCAGCAAAAGCCTGCCAGCTTCAACTGATGCAACGAGGCTGCCAAACATTCACAGAAAGTGTAAGCATTTTCCGGTCAAAGTGGATGGGAAAAGTGCGATGGTGCCAAACTCCATGGCAAGACACGTAATGAAACTTGATCCATGGCACGCAGTCATCATCAAACAGTTCTACTTTACGAACGTCATCAAACGTCTATAACGAGTACGAGTACTTTGAAGTATCATCACAGTATCGTTCACTGTCCCATCAATGCCATGTTCCGCCTGCTGCACTGCAGGATGCCTTGCAACTTCCCACTGGGCTCATCGTTGTGACCGTTGTGGTTGTGATGATTTCATAGCTCTGCTTCACAAATGTGTCCTTCACGTCGCCTGGCGTCATACCCCTGTTGCAGGGCTGCCACCCAAAAAAAACAAGAACTCAGGGTATGGTGACCGATGATGACCGAAAGTGAGGTCCCAAAGAACCTAAATTTGGATCAATTTGAATTAACAACGTCTGGCACTGGCCTAATGCTCTTTTCCCATTTTTTCGGCATGGCCTGTCTCACAGTCATAGTCCAGAAGCCGCACTCTCCACAAGAGGGTCCTGGAGCCATCTGGATGTTTGTCCACATAGACGCCAGTGCCTGCAGCACCAATGTAGCCTCTACCACGCTCTGGCCCAGTCCATCCCAAAGGTAACGTGACATTCTCGACTGCTTTCAGGGACACCACGTCCTCGCCGTCTCTAACCAGATTGAGGCAATGAGTGAAATGGATGAAAAATGATGAAAAGATATGAAAAGGACGAAGCGGAACGAAAAAAAAACAAACATTCGAATCATTCGAAAAAGTGGACATATCGGTTTGGAACCTCTGGAAATGAAGAACCCTTGGTACATGGTTTAGTAATTGAGAATGGACTCTGGCCGTGCAAGTTGATTGGACTCAAAATTCAATCAAGCGCAAGGAGTTATGTCGCTGGACGCAAATGCCTCCAGTTTTTCTTGCCCACTCCTGCGTGGTCGTGAACCTTGCATAGAGGTAGGGGTATTCGTTGTCATGACCATGTCCATACCACTTTTGCGATGAAGCCCCTGGTGCTCCAAAGTAGTATAGATTTCCATGCCATGACCATTCGTCTGCAAGGGACTGATCTGCCTGGCAGCTTGTTTGAAGTTCACGATCTGATTTGGCCATCCGCTATGTCCAACAAAAACTGAAATGTTTGGCCATTCCAGGTAGGTTCCTTTAAAAGACTCATCGGTTGTGGTGGGGTTGTTTGAGGTTGCAATAGTTTGATGCGTGGGGATGGGCTTTCCAGATACAGGAATTAAACAGGCATCGGTCGGCATCGGTCATAGCTGTAAATGAAAGTCGCAGTTTAGTACCAAATGAACAACAGCTTAGGTGATGGCTGACTGACAGCCCCATCAACACAAGGTCAAGCTCAACACTTGGGTGATTCAATTACGAAGCCAACAGTTTTGTTTTTTGGTTTGTCAACATCGGGCCTTTGATAACAGTCTTGTAATACTGTGGCAATTGCACCGTCTAAAGTCTAAAGATCAGTTGGACGATGTCTTAATGTACAGTGTACAGGCCATACCCTGATAAATTTCCACTTTTAATTTTGTAGATTGCAAATCAAGATCATTCTACATTAGTTATGCTATGTGAACATTCTGCCACGTGTGCCAACAGTCGCAGTTGGGATGGTGTTAAGAATCAACATGTTCACCACATGGAGTGAGCAACACTTGAAGCTTGACCAGTACTGCCTGTGCAACAGGCAACTTGGGCCCAACTCAACCGGGTAGAACAACACGTATACATAATGTAGAAATAGGCTATGGGCCTACAACAACCACAAAACACAGTAACCCGGTTACGCACTATTTCTTGAGCCAATGCAATACCGTATAGAGGGTGAAAAGGGTAGTATATACACTAGGACTGTGCAACAACACCCCCCGTGCAGTGTAATTACCGCACAGGAGATGAAGCTGCAAATTAGGCTATGTACAGACTAGTAAGGGATGCCGTTATGTTAAACCAACCAAGAACACAACAACAAAAACAACCAAACCCGTCCGCGGCCTAACCTTCCATCGCCCTTTGTGCTTTCACCTCAGGTATGCAGCAATGACAAACATGTGCAACAGCGATTGCAATCCATTCAATCTAACATCAAGTTGTGTGAAAGACGGATGCAGTGCAAGTCAATTCGGTCGGATGCATTCAGCTTTATTTTTAGGCTCGACTGGGCTTGTGGTCGAACATGCAAGGTGGAAAGAAAAGGTCTTGGCCCAATACTAGGCCAGCGTTTCCACGCGGCAACAAAAGTTCTTGTGGTCGCCCAGGAGCTTGCCAAAGCAAAGCAATTTGAATTATGGCAAAAGCTGAATTCAATGTTGTGTGAACCCGCAGGGAAGCTTTCAGAAATGCTTCAAAGATGCCTTAACTTCGCAAGGCAAGAGCTTCCGCTCTGCGGTACATGCAACTACCAGCCGTGTGCTATGCAAGAAGGAATCATGGCAAGAATAAGATGAGTGCCAAATGCCTGCTTCAAATTATATGCATTCAAAGCGTTAATGAAACTTTTGTGAACTTGAATGAGTTGGCAAAAATTCCGACTTAGCACACTTGTGTTGGAAATGATGGTGGAATCGCTCACCCACCTGTGCAAAAATGAAGCTAGTCGCCTAACCGAATTAAATCCGAAAAGGCAACAGCTTCCGCTGTGCGACACCTCACATTGAAAGGAAACTACCCCGCCTCAGATGAAGATAAATCCACCAGGCGAGAGGTTCCCCTCCGCGGTGCCTCAGCGATAGCCCGACCAACGTCGATCCCTGTATTGGTGGCCTTGATTTCGACGGCGCCAATCTTCCCACTCCTGGTCAGTCCACTGATTGTAGTAGTCGTTCCATTCCTGCTGACTGTAGCCATGAGTGGGCCCCTGATGAGAACCATAGCCAGGACGCGAGGACCTGGTGACATCTGGGTTCTGCTGCTTCGTTGCAGGCAGGGGTCGGCTTCCGCCTTCCGTGTCCTTTGCCTCCGTGAGGGGGCGCAAGATGTCGTCGACATAGCTGAGAATGTCGGCATACACATCCTGCTTGGACAACGCAAGGGATTGGAACGTCGTGTTGGCGACGCTCAAGACCTCAAAACGATCGGCCACAGGGATCAAAGCATAGGCGGCCGCGAACTGGTTGGCTCTGTAAAAGCGGTTCTTGTACCAGATGAGTACATGATCATCCACGATGATCGTCTTCATCTGCTCCTCTTCGTATGCGACCATGCACATACGCGCTTTGTACTGCCGAATCTTTCCAGTTCGGATCTCCTCGCGGGTGCGTTTGATGGATGGAAGCACCACGTTGCCCAGAACGGTAATCCAATGCATACACCGAGGTGTAAGGTCTTGGACCGCACAATTGAAGGCGTAGTGGGCGTCCGTTCCCAGACGCTGTAGCAAAGTCAGCCCTGCTTTTCTCGCCTGCTTCATGTATGAGCGGGCGTGATTTTTGAGGACTGCAGCAGCAGATCTGATCTGCTTGGCACCTTGAGTGGTGCCTGCTACATCGTCGTCGCCCAGAAGATCCAACGTCAGCTCGAAGCCCAGCTTCTCGGCCAACTCTTCCAGGCGGAACACCTGACACGCACGACGCATGTCGGACATTGTCGCCAGCGACAAGCCGCATGCAAGGCACACCAACATCCCCTCAGGAAAGATCTTCCTGCACCGGGGGCATGTCAATTCCGGCATTGCCAGCATTGAAACATACCGCCAGCGCGTGAGGTTCCCCTCCGCGGATGGGTCAAATGCCTCCTGATCGAAGCGATCAGAACGGCGTTCCCGCGCGTTGTCAGGGGCGATGTCGAAGCCAGCAGCAGTTGCCGTCGGCTTGCGTGCCACACAGAGGAGATTGGTGAAGTTGAGCGGCCTTTGCTTGATCTTGGCAACTCATCGACGACAGGATATGGTGTCGGAACTTCCTTGTAAATGAGCGGACGTCGCAGAGTGATGACATCCTTCCACTGATCGTACTCATTCACGAACATGTTCTTCAACACCTCCAGGTCCGAAATCTCGTACCTCTCAAGTTCGTCGTAGTTAGGAGTGCCCTTCCGAGCCTCGTTCTCCTGCCAAGTGAGAGCGTTCTCGGAGGCCTTCTGCCGAAGGTACTTCTTCACCCCGTTGTAGCCATGGTTCGCCCAGAGGTATTGCGACTTCTCGCAATCGAATGCGTAGATGAGGCAATGATTGGGCACCCAGTCCTCAGTGATGAGTGCACCGGCCAAGGTTTCCACCAGGCGAAGACCATAGTGCAAAGCACAATCGGTGTCGATCGCGATGCACAGCGGTCGGTTCGTCCTGACACCAGGATCCTTGCCTTCGATTTCCCAAGGCGCATGGCGGGTCATATATACATGACCCTTGCATGAAGTGGCCCCCGGAAAAATCCCCGTGCAAATGATCTGCTGGAGGGAGTCCCATGAAGTGTAATGGTAAATAACCTTGAACTCTTCTGAGACCTCGGCTTCCGCCAGGTGAGGATAAATGGGGACCCTTGGATAGAATCCCTTCTTCAAGTCCTCGACCGTGAACTGGTAGTCAAGCGAGATGATTTGCTTGACCAATGGAGCCGTTCCCACCTTGTCGATGAGGGACTGGTCATGACCTTGGCACGCCTTCACATGCGTGATGCGATACGGCATGTCCATGGTTGTCAGTTCCCCGACAATTCCAGCCTGAATGCGGCACATGAACCTGTCCTGAGTTCGAAGGATCAGGTACAGGTCCTGTCGCGAAAGCTGAGCACGATGCCGCTTTCGGAGGTACGTGTACATGGACTCAAAGTTCAAGTACAGCTCCTCATCAAATTCAGGAGGAATATGGCGATGGTGCGCCTCGAGGAACTTGTGGTCATAGCCACGCAGCAGCCCGGTCACCCTCTTCGAAAATTTGAAATCATCGTGACCGAGTCTTCCAAGGTCCCTCACCTCAGGCCTGGCAGGTCAGCACACCGGATGGTGAATTCCCTGCGCTCACCCGTTCCCGGGGAGAAATACCACTTGGGATACCCATGTGGTCGCAAGGGCGGTTCAGCCGGAGGCTGAGGTCCACCCGTTCCCGGGGGAGGAGCACTTGCCATAGGCGGCTCCTTCTTGGCCATCTTCGGGGCAGGCTCCGACGAAGACGTAGCTGCAGGCGCCGATGACTTCTGCGGAGGTGCCCTCGGTGAAGTTGTTGTCAACGTTGCAGGCGGTGCCTTAAAAGGCAAAGCTTTGGGCATAGGATGGTCCGCAGCTTCCGCTGGGAGTGCAGGTGGCTCCGGCTTGGGGGATCCAGTTGCACTCTTCGGAGTCGGTGGCGGACTGGGCTTTGGGGACGCCATGGGAGACGTTCCCGTCGCCGTTGAAACCTTTGGGAGCCGCGGAGCAGGCTTGGGCTGAATCATGGTAGCCTGATCCCTCATCTTGGGTTTGATGAATTGGCTGACAGTGTCCCCGATCACCTGTGCGATGCCGGTCGAAGATGATGCCGCTTCGGATGAGGAAGCCGCCTTCGACTTGGCCTTCGACATGATCTGGACAGTGGCAGCAGGGTCACCCGCGCGAAGTTTCTCCTCGGCGGTCTTGGGCTCCTCGAAGATCTCCCTTTCCATCTGACGATGCTTCTCCTCATCCGTCAAGTCAAAGCGACGAATGATGACCGCACCACTTTCGGTCTGCTGCATGGATTCCTGCCGAAGTTCGAGCTTGGCAGGGTCACGTGTGACGTCGGTGTCCAAGATGTTCACTACGCCAGAACCATCCAACTTGAAGTCCACAGCATGGATCTTGTTCATCAGATGGGAGCGCAGCTTCCGCTGGCTAAACATTGATGCTGAGCCGCCGACAATGGGTTCTCTGAAGACAATCTCCTCGTCAGCGTCCGGCTCGTCAATGTCACGCTCGTCGGAAACACCAGGCAACCGATCCAAAAAGGGCTTGAGGATGGCGTCGATGAGCTCACCATCCATCTCCGGCTCTTTGATCTCATGCGGTTCAAAGTGCTCGGGTTCCCCCGGCAGTGCAGCGTCCACGGACTCCAAAAGCTGCCAGTTCGATGAGGCCACAGTGGCATCATCCTGCACCGTAGGAGCCTGCGCGACTTGTGCACGTGCGGGGTCAACTTCGTTGGGAAG